CGGAGGATCTGTCAGATGTCTTCCAGAAAGCCACAGGCTCCACAGGATCATTTGCATCACGAGCATAGGGACTTGGCGCTGACGGAAGCCTTGTCGCAGGCGCAGGATCTCTCCTCTCAACATCTGGCAGAGCCGACAGACTTCCATTCGTCTCTTCCGCCAGACTCGTCTCAGTTCTTCTCGGGCTCGGTGTCAAGGTCGAGCTTACCTGGAAGGCTGCGAGACACTCAGCTTGCGTCTAACTTTCCGTCTGAGGCTGCAGGACAGACTCGGGTGGCCGATTCACGGTGAGTCTTGGATCTGACCGGTTTTGATGGAAGGGGAGGTGTGGTTGCTGACAGGTAGCTTTCGTTGCTTCTGCGGAATAGACTGGGGGATTTCACCATGTCGGCCTATTCAATGACAGAAAGCCAATATCTACCGGGGCAGATGCACCACCACCATCATCATCCCAGTACGCTCTGTCTTGTTTTTTGCTTCTTTTTTAATACCTCTTCAACCAGCAGATATTAATTTAATGACTGCAGGTTACGGCTGGGCGAGCAGACAGACACTACCTCTGCAACAGACGACGCCATCACTGGACCATCAGCATCCTCTTTCACAGACGCATCAATACCCATCTCCCAGTCTCTCGTCAGGGTACAATGCCCAGGCAGGGAGCCATGCGCAAAGTTATTATCCTCCCGGGGGGTCGCACTATCTGCCCACACTTCACACATCTTCACTACGCCATAATCCATCACGAAGGTATGCTTCCTTCTTCTAAGCGCTGGAAGCGACCATCAGTTAACGTATGCCGTGCCCAGCCCGCCCATTATACAATCGTACCCCAGTACTTCGGTGGCAGGAAACTCGACATCACTAGCAGAGCACCAACAGGCGGCTTTTGTTCCATCGTGAGAACTCTTTTTTTTTTTTTCTCCTCGAAAAGCCCTATGTATCAGTATGCTGATTCTGTCTTTCCTGCAGGTCGCCTCCGTACCTCCTCAACCAACAGGAATACTATCTTCCTGAACCGTCTACTCTTCCGTTCGTACCCTACAGCCTGCCTCGGGAAGCAGGGTGGAATCTAAAAGCTAATCAACACGCAAAACAACAGTAATTCTCATTCCTTGACCGCTCCCCAGCACGCGCCAGGCCTGTTACCGACAACAGAGTCCATTTATTCTTCACCCTCCGACTCGGCCGCCCCCCCTACAGCCCCCTCAGAACCTGAACACCATGTGCGGGTCATCAGCTCACGACCACGACCGCAATGCTGGGACCACGGCTGCAACGGGCGTGAATTCTCTACCTTCAGCAACCTACTACGCCACCAGCGTGAGAAGTCCGGGGTCGTCGCCAAGGCCGAGTGTCCAATCTGCGGTGCTGTCTTCACGCGAACCACGGCGAGAAACATCCACGTTGCGCAGGGAAAGTGTAAAGGGGGAGCAGGGAGAGACCCATCGACATAGTGATGCAATCGGTTTACTCGGCTCTACTTTTTTTCTTTTTTTTTTCCGTTTCTTTTTTTCTTTGAATTACTCCCAGAAATGGCTGACGGGGTTTGCGTCAACCTATTGGATAGAACCGGTCATACATCATAATTACTCAGCAGGAAAGGGTTTACAAAAAGGAGGTATCCAAAATTCAACCAGAGCCCGAATCGGCTTTAGACTGTTTCATACGCATCATTCTTCTCATCCTGTGTACTATAGCTATATAACTACTATTAACGGATAACTACTCCGTACCCCCCTGTCTCTGTTCGCCCCCTACCCCCCCCCCCCCCCTTCCCAAATCCCAATCCTAATCCTAAACAGTGGCGCAAGGCTAGTTATTGAAAATCCTAATGCAACTTGCTTGGAAGAGATCTTATCATTCCTCGCGTACCCCGAGCTATGGCCTCCAATCGAACTTGGAGGACTCAGCAATAATGCGCCTGTATTAGTTACCGCCCCCACGAGGGCCCTTCTTGGCACACGGGTTGGAACTTGGTTGGTTGCTGTGCCCCGTAAAGCCAGCGTAATGGCCCTTACCATGGCTTCCTTGAACGATATGGGCATGTGGTCATGCGGCAGAGAGGACGTTGATGGGCTGCTGGGTAGATCGGAAGGCGACAGCGACGTTATAGCGGGGCGACATGCTAGGCTGGAAGGGGGCAAAACTGTTCATATTACGGAGAGGTAGTATGTGGTAGGTACTTAGGTGATACTTATGGAGTAACTAGAGTTAGTTATACGGAGTACTGGTGGTAAGGTGCTGCTAAAACAATAACTATTGTTCATTCTCCAAGGAGACGGAGTTTGCGAGGACCAGAATTGGGATCATGTGACATGTCAGGTGATACCACATGACATCCTGCCCGACACTAGCCACAGTAAAGCCTCGATGCGCAAGCCACAGCAACTCTATGACACTGTCACACTGTGGCTGGCACATCACCTGATCCAGCCGTGAATCATGATCGTCGCTCCTGCCAAATATCGCCGTTCTGACTCAGGAGCTGCAACTGTCTGCCTTCAAGATGCCGACTCGGTGCTTCTAGTCAATAACACAGAGAGTCGGATATCAATACATCGTGCCTGTCACCGATCCTATCCCGAACATCTGTCTGTCTCTTACCAACCCGCAAAATGACTGTGTTTGGAGTCATACCACGGCAGCTTCAAATATCATCATCCGATTCAGCACAACATCGAATATATCTCCAGCAGTTGGATAAGCTATAATTGTTCTCTCGTGTCTGCCACCTCTTCATCATAGATTTGTTGCTTTGTTTTCCCATCGGGTTGATCCAACCATGGCATCCATCTTCACCTATGACCCTCACCCTCCCCGGGTCTCTTCGCCCTGGTCGACTTCAGGATCTTCCACGCCACAGGTCAGCGCGCCGTCTAGCCGAGGCGTGGGAATGAGATCGGCCTCCAGCGCGCACCTGGAGCACTCCGATTTCAACTGTCTGTCCGACTATGGGATCACGAAGCTCGAACCAGAGCCCCAGGAGGGCCCGACCGAGTATAAACTCCATCTTCTTTTGCGCCCGCGTCGATTGTACTCGTCCATGTCCACCGGCCATCTGGTCGGGGGATCCTACCACTCCAAGGCCAGTCTGTCGTCTTCCTTGCCCATGAATGCGAGCTATGATTCGAATGCAAAGCCCCTGCTGCCCCGCTCGAGCCAGGGTCGTCAGCAACGGTTGCAGCAGTTGACCACGCAGCTTCTCTGGCGCCTCCAGCAGTCATCGCCTTTTCATTCGTCCACCACCTCTAGTCTGGTCCTGCCCATGTTGCCGGAAGCCACCCCGCAACTGGACGTCCTGGCTAAGCCTGGTCGGTTGCTTCCAGGCCTTGAGGAGAGCCAGGGGGCTCTCTATGAGATTGGCGTTGCTGACGATGGGACCTTTGTCGGGCTGACGCAGGATGAGTTGGACGAAAGTCTGACTAATCTCCAAGCCATGGCAGCCAGCTTAGGGTGCAAAGTAGAAGTCCTCCGCCGGGTGTTGGTGGGAGAGTGTGAGTGGGTTGAAACCCCCCTCATTCCCGACCAGGATGGAGCTTCGAAAAACGTTGCGGAAAGTCTTTGGGTTGCCGAGGCTCTTGTGAGCCCGGATCTAGATCTTTACAAGACGTCCTCCATGAGGGCTGACACGGTGGATGACAACGCTGCCGAGGTAAATGTCGCGGTTTCGGTTGAAGACAACCATTTGCCCACGGAGCAGATTCGCATCTCTATCGCAGGAGCGAGCACGGCGGGAAAGTCCTCTCTGCTGGGCACCCTGACCACTTCCTTGCTAGACAATGGGAGAGGAAAGAGTCGGTTGAGCCTCCTGAAGCATCGGCACGAAATTCCATCTGGAATCACCAGCTCCGTGGCTCAGGAATTGATCGGTTATGCTGCAGCTGGGGGCGCAGCCACAGAGCCTACGGACGTCATCAATTACGCCTTTGGCAATATCGCCGCATGGGACGATATCCATGCTGCTTCTGCCGGCGGCCGCTTAGCGTTCGTGTCTGATCTCCCGGGCTCGACGCGCTATGTCAAATCCACGATGAGAGGCCTGGTCAGCTGGGCTCCCCACTACGTGCTCCTTTGTATCCCAGCAAATTGTGGAGAGGAATCGACGGCAGACAGTAATACCCCAGCGACCGAGGATGCGTCGGACATGGACCTGTCTCTCTCGTATTTAGCGTTATGTGTCAAGTTGGGAGTTTCCTTCTTGATCGCTATCACCAAAATGGATCTTGCCTCCCGCGCCGGGTTAAGAAACACTCTTGCCCGGATCCTCTCGGCGTTGAAAGTGGCGGGCAAAAGACCGGCAATGTTGCCTGTGGCCTCGGACGACAAGACAGCTGGCCTCCAAGCAATCCCCAGCGTTGTCGCCGAGGAAGTGAAAAAGGTCATCAACACTGCGAACGGAGACTGGACGGCAACTGTACCAATTGTCCTCACCAGTGCTGTTGATGGCTCGGGCGTGGGAAAACTACATGCGCTCATTCGGTGGTTGCCGATTCCTCAGGCATTGCCTCTTCGCCCAAATTCTCATTCGGATCTGGCAGCAGAGTCATCATCTCCTGCCCCGGCTACTCGGCTGTTTGACGTGGATGAAGTGTTTGAAATTCCCCTGTCGAAGGTGTACTCGGGCTCGCCCAAACAGGCGTCTGATGAGAACCGCGGCGTTGTCCTTTGCGGTCTTGTTCGGTATGGATCTATCTCGATCGGCGACGAGCTGGCGATCGGTCCGATCTCCAGCGATCCCTTGGGCTCCTCCACTGGCCCGAGAAGCCGGTCAGAACATCTTTCGGGCACAGCATTGCCATCGACTTCGTTGCGCAGCAGACCGTCCTCTGGCGAGCTGGCAGGCTCCTCGCTGCTTCCTGGCAAATGGCAACCCGTCCGCGTTGTCAGTGTCCGCAATTTACGTCTGCCTGTGCAGAAACTGGTGGAGGACCAGGTTGGCACAATTGGTGTAGAACCTATCTGTTCCCCCCGTCTGGGCAAGATTCGCAAGGGGATGGTCCTTGCCGACTTCCGCCACTGCGACTCGTCGTCGGTACCCGCCAATCCTGCAGTCTACCACGTTGGGTTCGTGGCCACGTTCGCGCCCAGTGAATTCGCCTCGGCGGTGTCGTCTCCGCCTCTGCTCCTTGGCGGCAACGCGATCGTCTATATCGCCAATATCCGGGCTGTAGTCAAGGTCACCTGCGTCACCCTCTCCGAAAACGAGATCCATTCTTCCTCTTTGCCGCCGTCGCCGCGCGAACCCGAATTTTTCTCGTTTGACAACGACCCGGACGTCTCCCGCACCATCCCTTCCCCAGATGTCTCCCATGACCAGATCAAGCTGACCTGTACGTTTGTCACGTCTGTCGAATGGGTGCAGGTCGAGTCACCGGTGATCCTCATGCCGGGAGCATCGATGGCCTGCTCTACGACGGGGACGCCGGGGGCTCTTTCGGGTCTCCAGGGCTTTGTGGGTCGAGTCTGTGATGTGTTGAGTGAGGGGGATTCGTAATAGCTATCAGAATTTCTTCTTATTTGTTTCAATTCTCTCTTCAGTACTACCATTTCTGAGTCCATATTTTCATAGATTAGTACTCATTTGTAGGTGATAATATGTAGGCACGTGCACCACTCTGGGGTACTCTGCTTGGCCAAGTAACCACTAACTAGTTAACTAATTTGACCCAACAGACAGACAACCATTTCTCCGCATGTCACCTCGATGAACAGCTTTCCCTGCTGGCCAGAACATGTGTTTACCGTGACTCGACGTTCACGCTCAGGCTGTGTTCGGGCTCAGCCCGCTGGATGAACCTTCACCTCTCCTTCTCCCCCTCCCCCTCCCCCTTGACAGCTTGACGACGTCGACCCACCCGGATCAGCGCTGAGGATTATCTACCCCTCACCACGACCATCGGTTATTGTTTTACTAACAAGATCATGCCGTTGACGATGGCAGGGGATGGGCTGTTTGGCGATGAGATGTTCCATTCGGACATTGGGCCGTCGTCTGACGAGGACGAGTTTGTGTCGAGCGAGAGCACGGCGATGGGGGACGCGGACGAGACGGCAGTTCCGGGGGAAACGGCGATTATTCCGCAGTCTGTCGAGGATGATCGAACCGATACAAGACCCTTGGCTGCGACAAATCGTGTTCACGAAGGTGGTGGTGGTGATGTGAACGGCGTGCCGGTCGGGAGGGACGATGCCAACAACGCCGCAGTCAAGTCGTTGCAGTTGTTGGATCTTCCTATGGACATTCTCAAGGATATTGTCAAAGAGGTAGGACTGCCTTTCTTTTCGGTTCATTTTCAACCAGTTTCATTTTTGTATTGATTGATACTTTAGATTACGCATACCAACGACCTGACCTCCCTCGCCCTCACCTGCTCCACCCTGCACGCCCTGGCGATCCCAAACATGTACTCGCGCTTCGATATCGTGTGGCCAGAGACCCAGACCACCTCGGAATCACATAATGGGGTCGATGCGCTCTCGTACGGCCTGGCTACGCTGGTGATGGGCGAGGACGTCTTCCACGAGGGGCCTCGATCCACCATCCCGTGTCCGTGCTGCGGGTATAAAGATAGAGGGGACCAACAAAGTCGATCGGCGGCGAGTGGCCTGCGCCATGTCCGCCGAGGGAATTATTACGCCCAGTATACTCGCAAGTTCTCTGTGGGGAACGGGCCCTTGATGTGGGTGCAGGAGTATGCGGTCACCAAAGAGACGGGCAAAATGCTGGGGACGCTGGTCGCCCTGGCCGTGGTGCGGATGCTGAACCTCGAGACATTCATCTGGGACATGCCGACGGGGGTCTTGCGGGACGTCTGGATTGCGCTGGCTTCTCTGGCAGACCGGCCGGGCCATGACTGTCGGCTAGATACTGTTTGGGTACGATGGCACGACAACTCGGAGAACGTCCTGCGATCGCTGTCCAACGGGCCACTTCCGGCCCCGGGCGGCCTCTCGATGCATCCGGTTACCAACCCGACGTCGTCGTCGTCGTCGTCTTCGTCGTCGATGCCAACGTCATCTTCGCTCCAAAAGTACGCTCATGTGGAGTATCCCTCTCTGTCGATGCTGCCGGCGTTGAAGAGCCTCACTGTCCTGGATATCGATGAACCCTCCTATCTGGATGAGATGGCTGTGCTTATCCAACGGTCCTATTCAAAGCTAAAGGAGCTACGTATAGGTATCTCCGCCAAGGCCGCAAAGGCGGATTGGCTGAAGCCATTGGCAAATTGGGCGTACTCGGATGAGCACCAGCAGCCTTCCCCGCCGGTAGATAATGGCTCTGGATGGCCGAAACTGGCCGGTGCATTGGAGGTACTCTTGGTGAAATTTGAGGGGCTTGACCGGTCGACCGGTGAGGTTGGTAGATTGGAAAATGCCTTGGCTGGAGTACAGATGACTACAGAACTGGATCACCAAGATCTCTTGTCCGCCCAAGGCCAGGAGGGAGTCATAGACCGACCCAACCAGCCTAGCGGTACAGAAGATGCAGAGAATTCACAGACTGAAGGGTCGCAAGGGCAGCAGTCGTTGTCGATTGAGGGACAGGGCATGGGGCTCTCGTCTCAGCAGATCCAGACGACGCTGAAGAAGTCGCGAAGATTGATCTCGGGCTCTGCCGCTCATCCTGCGTATGTTCAATTGAAGTTGGAGACTCTTGAGCTTGAGCGTGTGAGTCTCTGTGTTTCCTTCACGTTTCTCGTGGTCGACTGGACGCGAATCACGACATTAACCATTCTGCGATGCGAAAACCACGAAAAACTCTGGCGAGCTCTACGACGCCGCTTCCTCCCCTCTGCAGCCTTCTCTCGGCATCCGAAGAAGGGAACGATGGGGGCTGACAGTTCGATCTCACCATCCGAATATGCGTTGAAGATCAAGAATCTTCACACGGACGCCGTCTCGCCTCCCCTCTTATCATTTCTCAAGGATAGCATTGCTCCGAATACCCTTGAGAGTGTTTTTCTGCAGGAAGGCCCTGCGTACGACTCGGTGGTCAGCATCGACGCCATCTACCGCAGTATCATCCGCAAGCATCGCCTCAGCCTCAAAAAGATCCTGGTCGACAGTGCGGAGCGGTCCTCCACCACGGGGATGGAAATCGTCAACAACACGCGCTGGCGCAAGTGGATGTTTCCGCGCGAGATGATCTCGTTCATAACTAGTGGACGCATGCCGCAGCTCCGTGAGCTGGGTATGGCTATCCACTATAAGGACTGGGTATTTTCTGTTCTTTACCCTTTTGTTCTTTTTTTATCTTTTTTTGCAAGAATGCTAAGTGTAAGCAGCACTTCTTCCTTCAACGACTGCCATACATCCCTCATCTCCGCGCGCTGTACGTGACTCACATGGGCCACCTCATCCATCGAGACCCCAAAGAATTAGTCTTACAGATCCTGGACATCATCACCATCCGGCCTGAGGTAGGGCTGGGCTACGTCGGGGTACACTCCAAATGCTACGAGATCCTCGAGAGCAAACGTGGCGACAAAGACGACGACTCGGATGACCCGGACGACCCGCAAAGCGAAGCCCTACACCCTGACCCCAGCGGGAGCGGCTACGAGGACGAGGAAGAGAATGACAGCGACGACAGTCCGTCCGAGGTCGGCTCGGAGGAAGTCTCGGTCGCGGAGCGGTCCTCCTCCGAGGATGACGAGGACGACGAGGACGACGAGCATGCAGCGGACGCGAAGCGAGCGAGCTTCCGGCTGCGCGAGATTCTCTTCTACGACGACAAGATTTCAATTTTCAAGGTGCGACACGGGGTGTTGTAGCCTACGAGATACCATGGCGATATGTATTATTTAGAAACTACTCGATTCGTAGTATTGTAGTATTAGTATTATATTTGTAGTATTTTGGTATTCGTAGTATTGTAGATATCCTCCTCCGCCGGTCACGTGCGGCGGACCCATCAAAAGTTCCAGCTTGACGAGCTCTCGCAACTCAGTCAAGCACCTCCTCTTCTCCGCTCTAACCCTCCCTTGTTTTTTTCCTTTAATCTTTCATTCTCCATTTACACAGATAGACACGATGAAGCTCGTTCGGTGAGTACGCGCCAAGCGAGTCTAGCCGACATGCTAATCCTTAGATTTCTGATGAAATGCGCCAACGAAACGGTGACCATTGAACTGAAGAATGGTAGCACTCTCTTTCCTCCGAATTATTTCTCTCTTTATATCTTTCAATAATTCTAATATATGTCCAGGAACCATCCTGCACGGCACCATCACAGCAGTCTCGCCGCAGATGAACACGTCGCTGCGCACGGTGAAAATGACGCCCAAGGGCCGCGACCCGGTCTCGCTGGACACGATCAACATCCGCGGCTCGACGATCAGATACTATATCCTCCCTGATAGCCTGCCACTCGACTCGATGCTGGTAGACGACCAGCCGAAACCGAAGAACAAGGCGCGCAAGGAGGCCGATCGCGGCGGGCGTGGTGGTCGGGGTGGGCCTCGTGGGCGTGGTGGTCGGGGGCGTGGTCGTGGACGGGGAAGGGGTTTTTGATCTATGATATTACATTGAAGGAAGGGTTAATTAGTTCTATCGGGTTCTATCATATCATTGCATGTCTATGATCCTAACGACAATGAGTCTAGAGGAGGTAGTATATCAAGTAGATCTCCATATCCGTAATATAACCAACTTCTCCCATCCAGCCTGCATGCCACTCCGACCGACAATCTCGGCCTGCCACTCACCTGGCCATGCAAGGATGCTTTCTCGAACTTGTGCCGGCTTATTCTGCGCGCAAAGAAGCACATATGCCACGCCGTGATCGGCCAGAACGTCCGGGACAAGCTCCAGCAGCCGATTCGTGGTTTCCATCCCGTCCGCGCCACCCGCGTAGGTCAATGAGAGGAGATACGATTCCGTCTCGAAGGAGGGTTTCGATGGGCCGTACGTCTGGTCGTTGGAAGGAATGGGCGGCAGGTCTGGCGTGGGGACGTACGGCGGGTTGAAGAGGAGGACATCGACGCTGCCGGGGCGGAGGGGACGGCACAGATCTGCTGTAAGGGAGTCGAGGTATAGCGATGTCGTTGTCTCTTGTTGTGATGTAGCCTCCTCCTTCTGTTGGGTTTGCACTGCTCTTTGGACGGTTTCCCGTGTTGCGAGACAGGCGTGCAGGTTGACGTCTGTGCCGATGGCGAGGACATCCCGCCGCCCGAAGATACTCTGCGCGTTGGCCGTCGCAAAGCCCAGCACGACGCCAGAGCCGCAGCCGACTTCTGTGATCAGGGGGGCAGGAGTTGTTGCGAAGCGTGTCGCCAGCCAGGCGGACTCGGCGGGGGAGGAGAGCGTGTCGAGGAAGAGGTAGGAGTCTTCGGCCGGTTCGTACACGGTGTTGAAGGGGACATGGGAGGTATCTGGAGTGGGGAGCATTTTTTTTCTTCTTTTGTTAAAGGCTGTAGTATATGTATAAATGTGCAATGGTTGTTGGTTACTCGCTATCAACTTTTTGAGGAAAAATGACGTTTCCGTCTCCGACTCCGCACTTCTTCTTCTCTTCTCCTCTCCAACTCTTACTCTTACACCTACCCTTCGCTCTTCCCCCCTCACGATTAAAATGCGAATATCTCCCCGCCTCCTGGCCTCGCCATCGGCCATCAAGTCGACTCTGCAATCGCCGCTCCCCCTCCTCCCCCCGTTGCCGCTGTATCGGCGCATCCTGCGCGTGCACCGCAAGAAGCTGGACCCCGAGAGCCGGACCCTGGGCGATTTATACGTGAAGAGCGAGTTCCGGGCACACAAGAACGTGGAGAATCCATTACACATTGTACGTGTTCGATCATTTCGACCAACGTGTGTGGTGGCTAATGAGTAGATCGGCTTTTTGACCGAGTGGCAGCTATACGCCCAGCAGCTGGAGCAGGAGTCGTGGGTGGGCGAGAAGCTGGACAGAGCCAAGCTAGACAAGATGAGTGGTGTGTTCTTTCTTTCTTTCTTTCTGTTCTATTCTATTTCTATTCTGCTAGATTTCTTCTAACACTGCTAGATCAACAACTCGGCCAGCTGTACGAGCTGATGCAGTCGATCAAGAACAAGGATGACCCGGAGGAGTCATAGACATATATGTACAACTGTTACTTCTCTTCTCTGGCTGTGTATAACAATCTGTATGAAATTGTGCCATTCCATTGATAAGCTCCGCCCTGTGACATGATAACGAGTATCTCAGTATATATACCTTCCATAGCCTCAATCTTTTAATCGAACAACTACAACAATACACCCAACTATTCTACTTCTCATTCTTTTCTCCCCTCATGCCTTCCATTCTCGAAAACGTGGATGGACTCATCCCCCCCCCAGAGACAGCTGTCAAAATGGCCCCCCTCTTACACCCCCGCAGCGCGACTCTGAAGACCGGCGAGCTGGTGACCGTCCACCCGGTCGTCGACGGTCCCTCCAGCCTCGCCTCTGGCCTGATTGATTTCCTGCACGCGGAATTCAGCGCAGAGATCGCCCGGGGATGTACATATCCCATGGAGGAACCGATGGAGCGGGATAAATTCGCAGAGTACTGGTTCGGCACGTTTGCCGTAGTCGTCTTACGGGGAGACACTCAATTGACAGCGACTAAAGAAGATTGGAGCCAGGATTGTCTGGGGACATTCTACATCAAGCCTAATTATCCGGGTAAATATATACTACTTTACTTTACTTTATGTTTGAATGCTAATGAACAGGCCGCTGCTCTCACGTCTGCAATGCGGGCTTCCTGACAACCTCCTTAGCCCGAGGCCAGGGCATCGGTATAGCCATGGGAGAAACTTATCTGGAATATGCTCCGAAATTGGTATGTCCCTGAATTTTGAAAAGGTGTGTCTTGCTAATAATCAGGGCTACAAATACTCCGTCTTCAACCTCGTCTTCGCAAATAACCCCGCTTCCATCCGCATCTGGGAGAAGCTCGGCTTCAGCATCATTGGACGCGTGCCCAAGGCGGCGCGGCTGGCGAATAGTGAGGAACCGGTTGATGCGTTGATCTATGGTAGGGAGTTGGCATGATGTACATAACTAGAAAACACATAGATATATGTACAGGTACGCACTATAACTAGTACATAGAATGCTACACTACATTACAGAAAGACATAAAAACTATTGGAGATGAATGACGCCACGCAATGCTAACAAGAGGTATGATACAACAATCTGATGGCCAGGCCAAAAAGTAGACAATGTGCAAGATGAGAAGAATAGGTTAGGAGAATAGGTGAAGTTCAAGATCAACCAGATAATCAAAGTGAATAGGAGATTGATCAGCAAGGCACAAGTTACCGCCATGGAGGACGCTCGCCCAGCGAGCTCTCCCGCCCAGACCGCGCCTTGGGCAGGGGAAGCAGGCTCGTCCGTCGACTGCTGCCAGTCGTCGAATGGCCTAGCGCAGTCCCCGGGCGCGCACTGGGTTTGGTCGGGCTCAGAAGAAGACTAGGGTCGTTCTCCTTGGCCGCCATCTTGCTGCTGGCAGGGATGCCTGCAAAGCTCTGCCGGCTGCGAGGCACGTTCGCCATCCGGCCAGGTCCGGGCGTTGCAGTTGAGATGGACCGGATGCCCAGTTTGCTGTACGGCGGCGGATCCAGGAGAGATCGCGTCGGCGTGGCCGTAGGTGTGGGCGAGGCCGTCCGCGCAGGGCTTCGCGAGGTCAGCCGGCTCGAGACCCGGCTCGCGGCACGCACTGATGTCGCGGGACCCCCGGGTGCGGGCGAGGTCGATGGGTTCCGCTGGTGCATCGGCGAGCGAACTGGAAGTGTAGACGGCGGCCGCGAGAGGCGACTGGGCGCGGAGCTCTTGCGGAAGGCGGGCGGCGTGGGTAGCGACGACGACGGTCTGTAGATGTGGCCTACTTCCAGGTCGCCCGTATTCACGCTCCCGTTCCAGCGCGGTCGGTTGCTAGGCGGCTGCTGCGGCGTCGCCAGCGGCCGCACGGGTTTCTTAGCCATGGGCGTCGGCGTGACGGCAGATCGGGTCCGGGTGGCCGGCGGGGACTGGAGACCACCGGACGATGAAAACGGCACAGGAAGGGAAGTCTTGCGAATGGTCTTGGTCGTCGTCGCTGTCGCTGGCTGCGGGATGCCCGATAACCGCCGAACTTTAGCCAGAGCGGGGGTGCTACGCGTAGTGCTGCTCGCGGAGCTATCGCGCCGGCTGGAATTGCCCATCGGCGTAGCGGCGCCCTTTTTCATGCCGGTGCCAGCAGTCGACATGATAACGGACGAAGCCGGTGAGCTACCCGGGGTGTCAACAACGCTGCCCGCCGTGGCCGGACTGTCCATAGTGAGGATGCTTGAGATGGAATCACGCAGGTGATGGTGTGCATGGGTGTGTGGAGTGGCGGCGACAGCCGCAGCAGCGCAAGGCTTCACGAAATTGATCTCCTCAAGACTGGAATCCATGACCTTGATGCTGGCCTTGAGGGCATCGGTGCGTGACTGCATGTCAGCCAATAGGCTCAGGATCTCCCCGTTGACGGTCAACCGGTCGTTGATCCCCTTCTGGATGATGGCGATGACCCGTTCAATCGCCGGGACGTAGTGAACCTTCTTGGCCTCGTAGTTTTCGATACGCTTCGCCAGCGCGGCTTGGTTGTTCAGGTGCGCGCCACTTTCAAGCGACTCTTGAAGCTTGCCGATACTGCGCTCGACCGAGTCGAACATCTTCTGGGCCTGGCCACCCGCATTGCGGAAGACAAGGATCCAGCGGTCCTCGCCGAGCTCTTTGCGCAGCGCCTCGGCGTCGGTCTCGAGCGTCTTGTAGCTCTGTTCCAGCTGGCGGCGACGGTCCTCGAGCTCCTCGCACGCGCTGGGGAAGATGGCTTCCGCCCGCGACTGGAACATGCTCAGCCGCATGGGCAGGAAGTCTAGCGAGGCCCGCAGCGGCTGCATCCGCGCGAACAGCGCCATCAGGTTCGTGTAGTTGGAGTCATCCTGCGGCGTCTGGATCACCGGTGTGTCTGCCGCCGCCGCTGCCACGGGCGTGCCTATACTGTAACGCTTGGTGGAAGACGGGGTATGGTGATGATGGGAGGAGGGATGGTAGTGGGCCGGAGTCTCCTCAACGATCGTCTCCAGCTCGTTGATGTCCAGGCCGCCCGTGGGCTCTGGGTCGGCACTCATGGTCTGGTGACGTTTCTCCTCCATCTCGAAGATGAGGCCGCTGAGGTTGTCAACCTCCATGCCGACATCGCCCAACACGTTGGCCCACAGCTCCTCCCACTCCATGGCGAGCTCGACATGACCCTTGACCCCGCGAAGCTTGGCCTTGATCTGCGACCAGTTCTGCAGGATGGACTCCATCTGGATAACGATGGCGGTGAGGGCGTCAGGGCCGACTTGGCCAATGTCCGGCCGCAGCTGAACCTCCTCGATGGCCGTGACGTAGACATTGACCAGGCTCTCGAACTTGGTGATCGCCTTGTCGACTCCCTCTAGACCCTCTCGCCCGCCGGCAGCGGCCCATTCGACGTCATCCTCGGCATCCAGTCCGCTGAGCACGTCAGAAGCCTTCCTGATCCAGTACTGTATCTGTTCCGCGGCTCCCGTCAGCGCCTTGACAGCGGCAACCGCGTTAGCGATGGCCGCAATGCTGGCCGCCAGGGAGGTCGGCTGCGGAAGGGTGATGGACGTCAACTGGGAGAGCTGGTTACTGAAGGAGACACGGGAGAAGGAGTATATCGACTCGGTGCGGTGTAGACCCATTGGGTTGAAGTACGACGCCTGCGTCTGCGGTTGGGACAATGACCGCACCGAGGCGCTCGAGGGCAGCGGCGGAGTGTCCTTCGGAGGGGGCGGCGGAGGGTTTTCTGCATCCTGTGTGCTGCTCTGTATGTATTTTTCAAAATCTGTCTGTCCAGCTGTCTCTGATTGAGTTTCAGGTTCGAGTTCCGGCTGTGGTTCCGTTGTCACTGGTTCCGGCGGCACCGGGGGCATCTCGACCACCAACATTTCTGGTTCAGGATCGGGATCCACGGTACAGGCGTCTTCTTCTTCTTCTTCTTCTTGTTGTTGTTTTTCCTCCTCCCCTTCCTCCTCCTCTTGTTCTTCTGTATCTAGATCAACCTCCAGCTCAGGTCCCAAGTCCGGCACTTCGAGATATTCAACACCACCGCCTGTTGTCTCGTCCGGCCCCTGCTGCTGGCCAGTGACCCTGTTCCACGCCTTTCCACGTTTCTGGACCTTGATCGAGAGATTCTGATGGGCGCTGTCGATCTCGTTTATGTGTTCCTGTGGGATCCGACCCACGTTGTTGATGGCGCGGACAGGGAAGGTCGAGGGCTTGTTGCTGCCGTCGAGCAATTTCACCCGGGCAGCCAGGCCCGGCGAGAGTCGACGTAGGATGGAGGGGAAGACAACGAGGTTTTTATTGTTCGCACTGGTATTGTTGCTAGACTCCGCAGCGGTGTTGCTGTCAAGCTCCCAGTCGTCGTCCGTCAGGCTGCTGGCCGTACTGCGCAGCGACGACTTGGACTGGACACGACGCGGCAGGAGAACGCCCGGGCTGGAGATCGAGACGGTCGGCGGCGAGGACAGCAGCTGCGGCGTCGTCGAGATCGAGAGTGAGGTCGATGTCACTGGCGACGGAGACGCTGAGGGCAACGACGCGTCGGAGGCTGCGGTCGCAGTGGGTGCCGAACCGGTGAATATGGCACGCATCGATGGAATGTATCCCTGTCAAACTGATCACTGTTTATCTTCTCCTGCTTTCTCTCCTCCCTCATTCCTCTTTCTCCTGGACTTGTCCGTTCTCTCTCCCCCCTCTCTCTATTCTTTCCACTCTCTTCCTCCTTCACCGTCTTTCCCTCTGTTGTCCCCACGCTAGTCTCCGTCTCTCACCTTCTGGCTCTCTCCTTTTCGGCTTATTGTTATTTTTTTTTTTGAACCAGTCACTTAACAAGCGACTACATGGCTTGAGATCCCAGACAAATAGCTCGACATAGGCGGCGGTGCAAGAGGTGGTGGTGTTTAACAGTTGCTGGTGGTGGTCAGGGAATAGAAAAGGTGGCCGTCGGGCAGGAAAGTCGTGGCTGGATCTCCTTAGTTGTAGTTCTCCGTAGGCGGGATCGACCGCCCCTGCGGACCCTGTCTCAGGGGGGGGGATGGATAGTAGAAAGTGAGGGTATTATTTTATTTATTGTGGGTGTTCATTGTGAGGTTTATTGTGAGTTTTTTATTCTGTCTTTGAGTCTACTGGTCATTGATGTAGTGGTATATGCAAGATTTTAATTACATTTAAGTGGTTGTGTATGTAGTATATAGCCCATAGATGAATAGCTAGACAAGCTAAAGCCAGAGGAGAGACAGACGGACAGACAGACAAAGCTGGGAGTGGGCATGAAGGGGGTATCTCAGTGATAAAGGACAAATCGACTACGGCACCCACCGGCAGGGAGGCTGTTTCAGAGGACAGGAGATGCTTTCTCAGAGGGAGAGGGGTGAGAGAGGCTCATGGAAAAAAAGAGAGGATGGTGAGAGATCACCTTTTTGGAAGCTGGTCTAGAGCAGCAGCATCGGCAGCGAAGATCTCCGTGGGCGAGGTTCCAGAACGTGTCCCCGGACGCAGCTCACGCCAGTCGCGGACGAGCTCCTCGCGGACGGCGCGGCACCAGGTCAGCAGGGCGGCATCGAAGCGGCGCCAGGCCTCGTCGCTGGCGCCGTAGACGACGCCCATGACATCCATGTCCAGCTTGGTCTCCCAGCGGATCTCGGACGCCTTGAGCCAGAAGCGCAGGTTGTCGGCGCAGCGGTACGGCTTGGCCACGTCGGTGTGGAACGTTTTGATCTCGCCAAACGGCCGCTTCGACTTCTTCACCGCGATATTGTGCATTCGGACCAGATCTCGCCCGTCACGCAGCCGCTCCAGTAAGGTGGTAGGTACGGGCCGCCCCTCGACGGGTTCCCAGGCGGGCAGCGGGGGTTGGTCAGGTTCGAGCAAGCTGCTCAGGAAGCTGGCTTCGCGTTCCAGTTCGCGGCCCTCCCACTCGTCCGTCGCCCACACCCAGCTCTCGCGCTCGCGCACCTCGTCCTCCTCCAGCTGGGCGTCGCGGGCCAACAGGCCGCGGACGTCCGCCATCCAGCCCGTGATCGCGTCGTGCTCGTCCGCCCTCATCCCCGATGTAAAACCGCGAGCCGCCCACCGTTTGAGAACCTCAAGCACATTGAACAGTTCCTGCCGGATGTCTCGCTCGCTCTTGATCAGTGCTAATCGGTCGGGCCGCTCGTGGGCCGTGTAGTAGATCCGCGCTGCCCGGATGGCCAGCGTCACCACGTCCAGAATCTTCATCCCCTGGATCTCCTGCCACCCTTGCGGGGTGCTGGCAGCGGCAGCCGCCGCCACCGCCGCGGACTGCCGTAAGGCGTCCTCCTCCGTCTCGGGCAGGTCGTCTGGCGACAGACTGATCCGCGGCGGCTTCAGGTCCGGAGACGGACCCGTCCGCCCATCCATCTCTTCCAGTTCTGTCTCGGCCCGTCTGAGAGCCGTCAGCAGGTCGCGGCGCAGCGACCGTAGATCCGGCGGCGGCGGGATATAGTGTGTCTTGATGCTGTACGTACTCACGGTCGGCGGCAGCATCACCTCGTACCCGTCCGAGTCACAGTCCGGCTCCAGCCCACCCTCGTCCGTCGGACTCTCCACCAGAAGCTCGCCATTATCCTCGCCGTCTTCTTCGATGAACCGTGAGTTCGGCGTCAGCAGCAATCGAGGCACATTCTCCGCCTTTGGGCTCTTCTTGTATTCTCTTGCATGTCCGCCCTTCCCATCCAGAAGACCCGTGCGGGCAAAATAGTACTGCAGATGAGCGATACTGCCCAGGCTCATCACACTCTCGCGGTTTTTCGCCGACTCGGCAAACTCAGCACCCTGCGGACGAATGTACCCGCGGCGGCGTCCCGAAATCGACACCGACGAACGGGCGTCGGCGCTGGTGGCCGACGAAATCGACAACGACGAGATGGACGAGAAAGTTCGGTCGGGGGAGGGGCAGGAGGAAATGGCGGGCGTGGGGGAGACCGACGGCGAGGGCGACGAGGGTCGGTCGTCCATGATGGGATGAATTGTGTGTGGTGTAGATCGATCAACGCTCGCAGAGGACCATCTGGAAATTATTGCCAGAGTCTGTTCGTCGGCTCGTCTTGTCTTGTCTCGCCTCGTCTCGTCTCGTTCTCGTCTCGCCAGATCGTCTGCAAGGAGAAAGGGGGGCGTTAGTTGGTTTAGTCAATTAATTAGGCCTTGCCCGTTTGTTTCGTCTCTTTCTCCTCTCGCCAGGGGGCGCCCACTCAGGGCGGGGCCAGGCCTTGCAACGGCGTCAAGCCATCTCGTCGAATGGCTGAGGTGAGGCTCGGGCGGTGGCGATCCTCGTGCTGGAGACACGAGAAGTTCAACTGCCTGAGAAGATGGAACTCTCCTTGTTGATTGTGAGTCTGACGGTTGATGTTGATGGTTTGTTGTTCCCAGATGCGGTTTAGTGGCTCGCGTCCCACGATTTCTCTCTGACTTCTTGACCGCCACTTGGAGTTTTGGGTTGATTTCGACGACGCCGACGAACTGGTTGACCAAGAGTCCTATTCTTGAGATAAGTGATTGAACTATGATCGAACGGGATACTGACAGCTATAAGGAAGATTTGTAGGAATCAAGGAGCCCTTCCGATGGCTACCAGAGAGGAGAAGTCGTCTAGTATACAGGTCTAAAGAAATCTACAGAAATCCCAGTCTCACATAACGTCCTTGCGTTCCCAGCCCGTCGGTTTGAGCACATCAATAGCCTTGGTAGGGTGCAGCTTGCTCGGATCTTTATACTTGGAGGCGTAGGGGTTGGGATCCTGCGCCTGGTCCAGGTTGCTGAGCGTGTGGTTGACCTCGCGGTGCTTGGCCTCGTCGGCGCGGATGTACAGCAGTAGGTCGCGCATGGAGCGTTGGCCCTCGGGCATCTGCCAGTAGGTGATGGCGATCTGGGGCGCCTCCAGGGTCTCCCACTCGGGCAGTCGGCCGGCCTCGAGCTCGTTGATGGCCCGCGTGTAGGTGATGACCGCCTCTTCCTCCAAGTAGCCGACAAACCGGTGGCAGATGCGAGGGGAGAACAGGTATGAGAAGAAGAAGGCGTTGAAGAAGACCCCCTGCGCGCCCAGCACCGACAGCCGCATGAACCACCCGGGCTCCGCCAGCTTGAGGAAGGTTAGCAGGTGCATCCGCTCGTTGTACGCCTCCTCCAGCAGTGTCTCGATCCACCCGTTGTCGCGTCGCATCTTTCGCAGGCTGCGCAGGTGCCGCAGCATCCCGCCCACCATTCCTGGCACCCCCGCGATGCTCTCCAGGAAGATGAAGCGCGTCAGCCACTTCTTCTCCGTCATGGCGAACCGGGGCGTCAGTGCCGCCTCCGTACCCTCCGGGGGATGTCGGTACCCCGTCACCGTGTCCATGCCCCAGCGCAGCATCCGCACCGTGCCCAACGCGATCCAGTCGGCCCAGTTCTTCGCCTGTCGGTGGGCTATGGTCACGTCTCGCATCTGCTGCTCGGTGTATCTGATTCTTAGCCATGTTCAACCACTACTTCTCTTTCTTTTGCAGAGAGCCACTTACATTGGGTGAACCCATGAGGAGTCCGTCTCCTTGATCCGAGGCGTCTCTGGTGGAGGGAAAAACTCCTTTATCTTGGTTTGCTGCGGCGTCGACGTGATGTACCGCTTCATAGTCTTGCTATGAAGCGGCAGCCGCAGCTCTGCAGTGCCCAGGGCTGCGGCACTGGTGTATATCCTTACGCAGCGCAGGCATGGTGTCGATCTTAATGTGACATTCATGGTTTGATTGATTGATCTAGTCTGACCTGAGATTTGGCAAGTCTCACGAGAAGATGCACAGTATTTATACTCTGCTTGGGTGAGTGTCCACCCGGATCAAACCGCCGGAGTTTATACTTCGACAGTACCTGCAGCCAATTCTCCACGGACGACGACCAGAAGAATGTCACTCAAGGTAACCCAACCACAGGCTTCTAATTGGAAATCACCCCGCAGTCGAATAATACTAGGCAGGGCTCAGACAACTGCTAAAGATGCTTTATCCTAAACGGAATTGCTTCTATCAGCAAGTATGACGTCAGTCGAGGTGAATCCTCCCCTCCGACAAGATCCGAATACGTCCCCCTTGCATTCTATCCATTCTACGGTTCTGAAGCAGAATTTTCTACCCGTGTTCTTCTGCTTCTATCAAAGTTCCAATTTTCCATCTGTCCTTGAGTCATTGCGGCGGTTTTCGGGAATTCCAGGAGCCAGTCACCTGCCACGAGAATGAGCCGGAGGCCGTCAATAGATCAATAGAGTCATCAAACTATGCATATTATATTAGCTAAGCAATGTTGTAGTTTCTAGAATTAGAGAGTCAGTATGATTTCACTAGTTAGAGTAAATATTAAGTCATTGGTATATTGAAAATGTATACGTGAATAGTGTATATATCTTTCCATGATTTAAATAACCTGCAATAACTATATTGCCTCCTGTGGATTATCCAATTGTTAGCCAAATCTTTTAATCTATATAATAGGGGAGTGTTAAGGCATAATAGAATAATAGTAAAATAAGGCCGAAGAAAAGAAGGAGAGGAAGGAAAGAATGCTATGTGACTGTTGATTATTGCAGCCTTACAAATAAGGCAATGAAATCAGGCAGGCAAAGGGTGACGCCTTACAAACATGGCCATATAACGTGGGGGAGGGTGACCTCCTTCATTCTCTTATCATTATTCCAAGAAGATGCGAACAAAAGCGAGTCAGAACCCCCACTGTGTTTCGAGAAGTGCAGGGGACGTGGAATAACATATAAATTGAAGATGCCTTCTTTCTCTACTTCCTGTTTTTCTTCACGTTCACTCTCGCCATCATGATGAAAGCCGTGCAGGTCCAAGAGTTCAACGCTCCCTACCATGTCTCGGAGGTGCCCAAACCAGTACCCCAGCCTCACCAGGTGCTTGTCCGCATCAAGGCCGGTGGGTTCTGCCATACGGACCTCATGGCGTTGAACCACGAGTTCAAGGACACGAGGCTGCCGTTTATTGCGTCTCATGAGCCTGCGGGGATCATCGAGGCAGTGGGCGATCAAGTCACGGAGTTCAAGGTCGGGGACCGAGTGGGCACAATCAACATGGATACGTCGTGTGGTATGTGATATTAAAAATATTGAAATTGAAACGTGTCTATTCTTATTGATGTTCTAGGAAAATGTCCTGATTGCAAGGCTGGGATACCTGTTTACTGCGAAGGTAATCTAATGAAAGGGATTACTGCCGACGGGGCCTGGGCAGAATACATGGTTTCGTATGACTTCCTTGCCTTGAGTAACGGTGATGTACAGTCACTGATGGAAACCAGGGATGCCCGGTTTACGGTCAAGCTTCCTGATGAGATGGACTTCAAGACTGCCGCCCCCCTGATGTGTGCCGGAATCACCATTTACCGGGGCATTGTGCAGGCCAGGGTGCCCAAGGGAGGCTCCATTGGTATTGTTGGAATCGGGGGGTTGGGACATATCGGTACGCAGGTTGCCAAATGCATGGTATGAGACATACACACACACGCACACACTCTCTCTCTTGGATGGACTGTTCAAGATTTATAGGGCTATAAAGTCGCAGCTGTGGACGTGAAGCAGTCAGCATTAGACACAGTCAATGCATATGAGTACCGCCCAGATGTCTGTCTTCTGGCCACCGACCCCGTGGAGAAATCCCTGGAGCAGATCGCAACCACCATCGGAGGCGAGTACCCTGGTTTGGACGCGACGATCCTGGCGACAGACCACCCGGCCGCGCTGAAGCTGTCGATCGATCTGACCCGCAAGCACGGCACGCTCGTCCTGCTGGGCCAGCCTGAGGCGGGATTCCAGATCCCCTTCCACACGTTTGTCTTCAAAGACCTCACCTTGATCGGCTCCTTGATTGCAGACATAGATCAGGCAAAGGAGCTGCTCGACATGTTCACCAAGTACAAGCTGCAGGTTGCCGTCAAGGAGTGGAAGCTCGAAGAGGCTGAGCAGCTGCGCCAGGAGTATCTGGCGGGCGGGTCCATCGGCAAGAATGTCATTGTTTTTGACTAGCCGGGGAGCGCAGATATATATGGAGAAATATGTTGCAACTGAATGAGATGTATCCAAGCCTCCTGTTTCATGTAAAAGTTAGTGGATGCCTTGATGCCTTGACGCCTAAGGCTTATATCATGCCCGAGGAAGCCTCCTCGATGATACAAGGCGAGAAAGCAAAGTCAAGTCAAGAGCGTTTTCTCTACTCTCCTCTCATGATAATGAAAGGTCAGTTCATTAAGGACTCAGGTGGAGATGACGTCTTGTTCGAGAAGCCGAGATGCGATCTGGGCGGGTTCGGTTTCATCCTGGTTTCAAGGACTTTAGGTGGTTTTATGCTTATTGCTGTATACCCTGTTTGAAGTATATGATGACTAGTTAACTAACCTCAATAAAAGTACCATTATTATTGAAGGAGTTGGATGTACTGTCTACCTTTCTAGATATATGACTGTAGGTTGTGGTAATATACAAATATAGCTTGTACGTACTCCGTATACTAGAGTATAGTATAGCTAGTATTAGATTACTTAATATAATCCTTTAGCTTAATCTATAATAAGTAACTTTACGATTAGGCGCCTATTTTATTCAGGGTCTTCCTGTAGGAGTGATTACTCAGTATAACTATTCATACTATATGGAGTACTGACGCTTCATAGAAGAGCCATCCTCCATGGTTATAAAAGGATAGTAGAGTTATGTAAACTACCTAATCAATAAATTATATTGACCAAGTATTATTTTGATCATTCTTCTACCTTTCCTCTTCCATCACGGCATTGAAGAGTACCCCTGTAGTCCGAGGTGTCTCATGCATATAGCCGGCGTGATCCTAGCATGGACCCTGGGTTTACAGTTGATTAACGCCATTGACAGGGGTATGGAATCTCTACAACCTGTCTGCGGGGCATGGTATAGATTTTAATAACTGACTTGTGGATAGACTATTGTAGTTAGTGATTACCTAGTCTTGTAGTCAAATGCTGGTAACTAGATTGAGAGAAGCACGGTCGTTTCAGCGGCCATCCTCCTCATTATCGCCATAATCTAGCCATTCAAAAGGGAACCAAGACCAGAATATTGAGAAATAGAACTACTCGTACGTCAGTGCCTCTCTTTGCATGAAAAATCCTCTGGCTATACCGCACAAGATCAGGAATTTCCCTTTCAGTCAAGGAGATGAAGAACCACATCCACAGAAGCGAATGTAACCGTTGACCATCTGACTCTAAGATGTCTCCAGAAATGAAACGGAGTCGGTTCGGCAGATTCTCCGACTCCAACAATCGTGGTCCCTTTGGGCGGGGGGGAGGGGGGGAAATGCGAAACCCTGACGCTTGCTCGCTTTCTTCCTCATGAAACGCTTTCAGTGTCAACAGACGCATGTTCATTTCGGTCGACGGTCCGTGGACCCGTGTTGCAAGCTATACTGGGTGGGACTGTCATCCGGCCTTCCAATAACTTGCAGGATGAGGCTGTCAAGGGGACCAAGAAGAAGAAAGGGAACGGGTATAAAAGGAAGCAGAATCGCCTGTCTTGATCAGTTGTCTCAAACACGACCAGATTCAAGCTCAATCATCAGAATCTGACCTGGAGTCAGATTCTCGTTCAATTCAATTCTTTCATTCTTTTATACTTCTCCTTTTCTTCTTTTCATTCTCTCCTTCTTCCCCTTTGCAAAATGCTCAAAATCAACAGCATCTGGATGCTGCCCGCCTTCTGGGCCTTTGTTCGCGCCCAGCAGGTCGGTACCTATACTTCAGAGGTTCATCCGACCTTGACCTGGACTTCCTACTCCAGCGCTAGTGCCTATGCGACCCAGACCGGTTCTGTGGTCATCGATGCCAACTGGAGATGGACCCATGATGTTGACTCGTCGACGTAAGTTCCCGTTCTCCCTGTTGGATAGTCAGCCTCGGTTGATCTGATATGTGTTTGTCTCCACAGAAACTGCTACACCGGCAATGAATGGGATACGACTCTCTGCCCTGACGATGTCACCTGTGCGGCCAACTGCGCCCTGGATGGTGCAGATTATGAAGGAACGTACGGCGTGACCACCTCTGGGAGTGAGGTCAAGCTGGACTTTGTGACCGGGTCGAATGTCGGCTCGCGTCTCTATCTGATGGAGAACGACGACACCTACCAGGTCTTCAAGCTGCTCAACCGGGAGTTCACCTTTGACGTCGACGTCAGCGAGCTTCCATGCGGTCTCAACGGGGCTCTCTACTTCGTCACCATGGACTCCGACGGCGGCATGGCTCGCTTCCCCAACAACACAGCGGGAGCCAAGTACGGCACTGGATACTGTGATGCGCAATGCCCGCGTGACCTGAAGTTCATTGACGGCCAGGGTAACAGTGAGGGTTGGGTGCCCTCGTCTAACAACGACAACACGGGTGTGGGAGACCATGGTTCCTGCTGCGTCGAGATGGATGTCTGGGAGGCCAACAGCATCTCCACTGCTCTGACACCGCACTCCTGCGATACCGCGACCCAGACTCTGTGCGAGGGCGATGACTGTGGTGGCACGTACAGCTCCGACCGGTACGGCGGCACTTGCGATCCGGATGGATGCGACTTCAACCCCTACCGTCTTGGAAACTTGAGCTACTACGGGCCCGGTGAGACTGTCGACACCAACTCTGTCTTCACTGTTGTGACGCAGTTCATCACCGATGACGGCACCGACACGGGCACTCTGTCAGAGATCAAGCGGTACTATGTTCAGAACGATGTGGTGATCTCCCAGGCGACGACCTCGGCCACTGGTGTGTCGGGCTATGACTCCATCACGGCCGACTTCTGCACGGCGGAGAAGACGGCGTTTGGCGACACGAACGTGTGGAGTACCCATGGAGGATTCACCTCTATGACTGAGGCCATGACCAATGGCATGGTGCTGGTCTTCAGTCTCTGGGACGACTATTACGCCGACATGCTCTGGCTGGACAGCAACTACCCGACTAACGAGTCTGCCTCGGACCCGGGCGTTGCTCGCGGTACTTGCTCGACCAGCTCCGGCGTCCCGGCCACTGTCGAGGCGAACAACGGCACCGCATATGTCACCTACTCCAATGTCAAATTCGGTCCCATTGGTTCCACCTTCTCCGGGGGCACGGGCACCACCACCGATGTCGATACTGGCAGCGGTAGCAGCGGTAGCAGCAGCAGCTCTATTTCCACCTTGGTGACCACCACCAGAGCTGCGTCCACATCCTCCACGTCCACGTCCACGTCCACGTCCACTTCCACGTCCACGTCTACCTCCATCACCACTTCCGTCTCGAGCCAGACCACCACCACCGCTGTCGCCGTGACTACCACATCTTCCGGATCCACCGCTGTGGCGTCTCAATACGGCCAGTGCGGCGGCGACAACTGGACTGGAGCAACAGAGTGTGCCAGTGGATATACCTGCACCTACCAGAACCCCTACTACTCTCAGTGTTTGTAGGTGTACTGGGGACTGAGAGGGCGAGTCCATGAGTCATAGCAGCTTTATTAAAAAGAAAAAAAAATATCAACACGAGAAGGGGTGTAAGAACTTGCAATGTCCTATCTCTGCTGTTTTTTTTTTCTCTTCTTCCTTTTCAATTCTTCTTACCGAATCTTATCAATTGTGAAGATTATTTGATCTGGCTTTTTACGCATATTGCAGATGACGCGCAGACGTAGCAGGCTAGTCTATCAACGAGGGCATGAAATGAGATTATCGTTTTGTTATGTTGGTAGAAGTTCCCTTTAGAGAATAGATGTCAGTGGACGAAAATCAGATAGACGTAAGCTAAACGACCAGGCAAGGAGAGAAGATGGATAGCAGGCAGTAAGATGTAGACTTGACACTGTACTAAAGCCTTGGAGTCATGGTTGAGCGAGAAGACTCCTATTAAACCCTGTGGAAAGAGAATATGCTCACAAAATACAGGGCCAGAAAGATTGTCGAGACGAGGGTGAAGACCAATATCGTCTTCCTGTGATCTTCCTGGATCTCTAGCCTGTTAACCCGACCAATTCACGATAGAGCTTTAGCCTTTCCTCCATCTCTTGGAAGAGGCAGCTCATCGGATGAAGCGCAGAGTTGTAAGGATGGCGAGACACCACAAATGTTTCAAAAAAGACCTTATTGTACTGCATATAGAGCACAGCATGTCAGCATATCTATTTTCTGCCTTATTCTGTCAATGGATACGTACAGCCATTTGATATTCCGACCTCCCTTGCCGTGTCGTGGTCGACAGGACTAAAACCGTGCTCTTTCCCGTCGGCGAGCGCTCGTGGGACACCCCTCTGACAGAAAACAGAGATAACCCTATGCTAACTCTTACCTGAGTCTCCTGAATTAATTCACGCCTATCCTCCAAGTTTCCAGACCAAGGTTTGCCTATCGTCGTCGTCGTTGCCAGAGACAAGCAAGCCTCTCTAGACAATCCGAGGTCTGTCGGGAGTCACTTTGCCTTTCTGTTTCCCCATTGTGTGTTGTGAGCTTCACGATCCATTGGGCTTGAGACATAGTCGATTGAAGCAGGCTTCGAGGCCATAACGGTGAGGCGGTCGCCCGGTTGGTTGTTTTGTTGTTGACGACGAAGTGAAGATGGGCTGGAGGGGTGGCACACGTGAGATGTCAGGTGACAGCAGATGGTAAATATATCAGAGACCATCGAATTCAGGGCAAGGAGAGACGCAGGCAATTTATTGCCCAATATGAGTTGACGGGGAATCACGAGTCATGTTCGCTTCAACGGGCCCTCTTGGAGTTGCTCCTACTCTTGGATGTGCGAGGAGGAAACGCCGGGGCAGCGAACTCGGCCTCGACGGCTGCTACTGTGAGCCATGGTGTGTCCGTGAATTATGAAGATACACTGCTTAGGTGCTGGGGCTTCTAATTCAGGGTGCATTCAGGTGGCAGGTTGCCTAATGAGGAAGCCATTGAAGCCATATTGGTAGAGATAGTGGAGTTGGCATTGCCCATGCTCAATAATGATAACAAACAATATCAGTTCAGTGAATCCAGATGAGATGACAAAATTGCTACAAATTAATGTTCGATAGATAGCTGCCACAAGGTAGAAGCTCTGATGATTGAGGGTATCAACAATGGGGAGTACAGCAGCTACTCAGTATAGTATGGAATGAGTATGGCACGACCGTGTAAAGTTAAAAGATTAATTGCCATTGAAAAGGAGTCTAATAAGAAAAGAGTCGTCATGAGATGATATTCAACCACTGATGTCCATCTCTAAACGTTGGATAATATCCGATCATACTGTTTTGACAGTAGCCATCCCTTCAACAGAGGCTGGTCCCAAAGAATATGGTAGAACTGAACTGGGCGAGAATTGTGATTCTTTCCACTGATTCGTGTTCCGGCGCCTAGAAAGTGTCGAGGCATTCCTTCTCGGATGGAACCATAAAAAGGTGGTATGTGTTTTCACTCGACGCACAGAATAGGATGCGAATGGTGGAAGCTTTTTTGTTCTTCGTGTACTCATTATAAACCCCCTGAAGCCACTGATTGTGGAAACCAACAATGAGGCAGTTATCGACGGAGTGTCCGACCCGGTCCCGCCGGATCCGTTTACATTCTCATTTTCCTTCGCGCAGCAATCGTCCGCAGATCCTGGTACACCTTGCCCGGCTGGGCGCCCAGAACCAGACTGACGATCGCCTCCCGTGCCATCTTCATGTCCTGGAACCCACCCAGGATGTGAATCTTCGATCCGGCGACCACGACGCGGGTCCGGGTGGCGTTCTCGATCGCAAATCGCGTCTTGCCGTCTTTTCCAGCGATACGGCCGATCGCACGGGAGAGGTGGTCTCCTTGGAGAGTTTTGATATCCTTGATCTCGAACGTCTCCATGTACCTAGAATGATATTAGTATGCAAAGAAAAAAATCAGAGAAAAATCACCGAAATAACATACAGATCGTCAAGTCGCAGCAGGGCAATCGCATCGTCCACGTCAAACCCGTACGCCAAAGCACGGATGAAATCCTCGCCCTTCTGCAGAGCGCCCGTGTCGGTGGTGAAACGCGAGTTACGCAGCTCCACAGCCTTGTTCTTCATGTTCATCCTGACCTGCAGGTGCAGATGCTCGCATAGCGGGGTATAAATCTTGGGCCAGGAGGCCTTGATCGGAGAGAATCGGTGCGGCGGGATGGGCACCTTGCGGGTCTCGATGTGAACCAGGTGTCTCGCCGACGGCTGCTGGTCCTCGGGCGTCATCTTCAGGGGAGGAGCGGACTCGAGATCGAGCATAAACTCGTCGTCGCCTAGTGCGAGTTAGCAACTGCAGCGAGGGGAGCAGTGGCGACCACCGGACCACGCCAGGTACAAAGAAATCTCTTACCTGCATTCTCGGGCTGAGTGGCAGGAGCCGGCGACTCGGCCTTTTCGCCGCGTAAAGCTGTAGGGGCAGGCATCGTGAATGTGGTGGTGCAACGTCTTGTCGATAAGCGCGGATTCTGGCGATAATTTTTTCCAAGTGTGAAAAATTCACGATCACGTGGTGTGATGGACACCTCAGGCAAATATCAGGCAAACACGCTTTCCTCCACCTCAAGAACAGCCAACAATCTTCCCTTTACTCTTCCATCAAGAAACTCGGAAATATATGGGTTTTTATCTCACATATCTCTGAAATAACATCTCAGTGATTGAATAATTCCTGAATCATCACTAAGTAAGATTATGACTACTCTACAGGAGCTAAAGATGAATATATACAACGATGCTAGAGCTGTCATATTTCGCCATATTTCTCAAGTGAAGTCGCTCTACAATCATATTTTAATCAATTAACACTACCAGAATCTTCCTGGATGACAGTTTGATCCAGATGCGCAGCATAGCGGCTTCTTCTCCTCAGCGTGGCGCCGTATATCTTGAACAACAACGGCATGGGAGCCAAGCCGACAGAGATGGAGCCAAGAAGAGTCATTGTCCAGTGGACGCCAAGTCCTTCGTACATGGGATGGGCAGCCATGACCATTCCACCAGCAACGAGATAGCGAGCCATGGTGATGCTCGCCAAGGCGATTGCGGCATGCTCGCCGTAGCTGTCAATGATATATTCGTAACTGCTGACATAGATCGATATCAGAACTATTCCGAACAAAGCACATGCGAACAGACTGGACCAGATGGAGATGGAGCGGTAGTTTGTCCAGCCGAGCCAGAATAACGAAACAGGGAGCAACGGGCCAGCGACGACGGCCGGCCACAGTCGAAACTCCGGCAAGAGAGAAGCGCCGTGCTGGTATGCCGTCTTTCGGCGCGCCCAGGTGTACAATGCTGGAACGGCCAGCATGGCCACTGTCTCGCCCACGGCTATGGAAGCGAAACATGCGCCTGTTTGGGCCGTGGACAGGCCGTATGTCTGTCGGAAGATGTAGTCGAATCCGGACAGAAAGGTGAAGAGCAGAGAGTACAGGAGAACGAGATAGCTGCCCAGCACGGCAAGAACAGGCTCCGTGGCAAAGAACTTTGCTGAAAGGTGGAGAACCTTTTTCAAACGGTGGAAGATCTCCTCGTGTTCCGCATGCTCGGATGTGTACCGGCCATCCCCCGTGATGGCGCGCAGATGCTTTGCTTTCCACTCGAGGATGATGGGCAGATATGTCTCGGGTAGGAAGAGAAGCGCAGTCACCCACGCGGTACCGGATATGATAAGTGTGATATACGCGGTCCATCTCCAGTGCAGACGGGGATTCGCCACGACCCAGCCGCTCACAGTCGGCGCTATAACGGGGCCGGCGACATTCGCCCACGCAAGAACGGGAAAGACAAAAGTTCGTTTGACGGGACGGAACTGGTCACCCACACTGGATCCATTGATTGCTAGCGTTGTGCTGGAGAAGAGACCGACAAAGTACCTGCATGCGATCTGGCCGGCAAACGTAGGCGTCAGGCCACTGCCGAGCACGAAGAGCAGGTAGATGAATGTCGCGCAGAGGTAGGTCGGATTCCTGCCCACAGACTCGGAGATAGGCCCAGCAAACAGCGACCCAGAGGCAATCCCGAAGAGATACATGGCTGTCGACAAATTCCCGGCGACATTGGATACACCAAACTCCCTGTTCGCCTGGGCCTGGACTAAGGATTCGGCTGCACCGGCCCAGCCCTGCGTGAAGACAAGGAAGACCAAGATGGCGATGTTCTTGCTTCTGCACAAGAGAGACCAGTTCCGGGGATTCAAAGACGGGTTGTCTTTCGCCGTGACCACTTTACGACCGATTGATTCCCCTGGCGATATGTCGTCTCGCCTAGATGGAATCCCTGCTTCTATCTTGCCTCGACTCTCGAGCTCCGTCTGCCTGCGAATCCGTCGGCTCTGCACGATAGACCACATAGACAGACATGGATCATATCTTCATCAATAATATGTCAAACTGGTAAGCTATCGTGCGACCTGTTGCCTCCCTGGGAGCTTATGTAAGACATGACGATGATTTGTGTCACAGCATACCGGCGGGGGGGTACCTTATTGATATAACCTAGATAGAGGATATACTTGTAGATCAGATGAGATTTTTTATGACATACGGTTTTACTGAGATGGTAATAAGGTACAAGTATTATCGGCCAGAGAGCCAAGTACTCGCTTATGCATCAAGTAGACTAGTTTGATATATTCTCCGATATCATCCTTCATGCGGGGGTTAATTAAGCTTATTCTATTCCACAGATAAGGTAGATAGAATTTGTCCATGAATTGTTAACATGAAACTTAGCTTTGCTTCTATACCTAGACCTATGAATTACAGAAAGAGTAGGCTAGACTACTTGAATAGAGATCTCACTATAACCTTCATAAACTCATGGATCTCCCCCGCATCATCCGTCGCGGCATTATTCAAATACGCGATCTTCAGATCCGAAACCACCCCGACCTCCAATATACACCGGAGCAGCCACCAGAGCTCGAGCGCGTGTCGCGAACAACCCTGGTACTGCAGATTATCGCCGGCCTGGGCGCTGACGGTGCTCCAGAGCTGCTTCCAGCGAGACGAGGCGCGGAGGAGAGTGGGTGAGATGACGGTGCTGAGGCAGCTTGCTCGGGCGACGAAGGCGATAGAGTGGAGGGCTATCAATTAGGATTAGGATTAGCATTAGTTAAGGCGTCGATCGACATGTTTGGGGAAGAAGTACCGCTTATAATGACTAGAAGTTGAAAAGGACGGAGGTCTTGAATAGCGATGTCAGTGGCTGGATCGCCCATGATCTGTGTGACGAATGTTTTCAATGATAGAGAGCTGGAAAGGTCCTGCTGATACTTTTTGGCTAAATTTGCGAATTGACTCTCATCGTCTGCTTCGAAGAGGTCGTCGCTGGATTGGAACCCGCCCACCATCTCGGAGACGGTGATTTGCGGGGGGTTTTTGAAGACAACAGTCAAGTAGCAGTCCATTAGGAATGTCCATGATGCGAGCCTTTATAATAGACCGTTAGCGATGATACGTGATGAGATCAGAGATGAGACCGTACTAACCTTAGCTGGATCTCCGTTCTCACAAAACTCTTCCAATCCCTGTCAACGGAGTGACGACAGTTGAAGATCCCAAACGAGCGCAGGGCAGAGACAAGACTGGGGTGTCGTCTGGTGCGAATGCGCCGAATCGTCTGCATGTCGTTCATGCCGAACTGGGTACATTCGACGATGAGAGCGGCCTGCAGAATCTCGATATAATCTGGAAAAGAGTCTGCTGCCCCAGGCGGTAACTCGAAGATGGGATGACTGAAGATGTACTCTTCCGCAGCGGGTAGAAACCTTGGCGCCGCAGCAAGAGAATGTTCATGCGAAGGGGTATAGATCGCACCCGCTAGAAACACTGCCAGCAGCAACTGCGGGGATACATTTTCTGGAAGACAAGTGGGACGGTGGACGACAGGTAGATGGCGATGAAAATGATGAAAGTAGGAGGAGAAGAAAGCAGAAAAATTGGCAATAGTGAAGATGGATTCTGGATTCAGCTGGGTCTGCTGCGCTTGCTGAGCCTGCTGAGACTGGCTTTGCTGGCTATCTGCAATCGTAGAATAGAACTGCAGCTGGAGAACGATTTCGTTCAGCCGGTACTCCAACGCCGAACACAAGGAATCCGGGAATGACTGCAGCGGAGACTCCGGATCAACCAAATCCGGCATTTGAAACGGCGACCAGCTCGCGGGACCCTCTAGGGCTGCCCAGAGATCCGTAGCCGAAGAGGAAAAGTCCGACGAGAGAGGCAGTTCCAACAAGGCAGAGGGGACCTGGACCGATCTCCTGTTGGGATCGGTCGGTTCGGCAGCGATCAGTTCTTTGGCATTCACCACCGAGTCTGTCAAGGAGAGGAGGAAGAACAGCGACAGGCCGCGGTCTGGATCAACTCTATCGGCCGTATGATCTACCGTGCTGCCTCTCTGCTGTGACTGCTGCTGGGCACCTCCTTTCTCGCATGATTGCTGCTGTTGCTGTTGCTGCTGCTTCGGGCCGCTGGGCTTTCTCGAGCACGAGATGGCATGTCTCCGAGCGGCTTCCCTTGACAGTACTTAATTTAGCAAGAGGAATGAATGAAGACAGTAGAATGAATGATGAACACGAAGAAACATACGGCTTTGGAAATGTTTGTTTGCAAAACGGACAATTTGAGAGGGGCCCCGAATCGACCAATCTCGTATCTGCTCTCTCATTAGCCATCGCCAGAACCACCGCAGAGAAAAACAAAAGGGCAGGCCGTCTAACGTGTTTTTTGATGCCGGATGAGATGGCTATTTCTCATATACGACCTTCCACAGACGGAGCACTCAAACATGATGGACGACCGTCTGGAGGGATGAATCAGAACCTCTCGAGGAAGAAGAAAGGAAGGGAAGCAGAGAGTGGGCAGATGAGATGACTAAGCGGTGGCCAGTTGGCGATGGTAACCAATAAGAAAACAGTCATTATCTCAGGTACAGTGGCAGGGATTTATCAGGGGAATAGTTTATATTTTGTAATGGGTAGTGGTTAGAAAGGCAGTTTTCGGTGCAGTCTCGATACGATCTCGGCGTAATCCTCCTCTTCATCGGCGGTGATGAGGTCATGTCGGATCAGAAAATCAAGTAAAACGTTCGCACTCGCCGGTTTGAACCGCCCATCCAGCATGGCCTGTTTGGCCTGGTTGACATCCATAAGATGGAACTCATGGATATCATCATCGACAGGCGTGAAGACTACATCAGATCCCACCTCCATATCGTACACGTACAACAGACCCGGATTCATAAGACCAGGAATCCCACCCGCCCTCTCGTCGCTGATGTTGAACCAGGTCACTGTCCCTGCCGACCGGGCTTTGGTTCGGATCAATGATTCGCTCAGGGCAGCTTCTTCAGACGCCTCGCGGACGAGACAGTCAAAGGGGATCTCGCCCTCTGCCACTCCGCCCGCGACCGTGTTGTCCAGCATACCGGGATACGTCGATTTATTGAAGTTGCGCTGCGGAATCCATAGCTTGATTCTGGGTTCCGGCTCTGATTCTGTCGGCGGTGCTCGTGTGTAGACGGTTAAATGGACGCCGCACCCGACAATGCCAAACAGAGAGATGGCAGATCGTTCAATGGACACGGGGAACTTGGCTCCAATGACGGAGAATCGTTCATCGCGTTTTTGACCTAGAGAAGGGAAGATATTTTGCTCTCTAGCAAGGTCAAGCACTTGGTCGATGCTCTGTGAGCACAGTTCTTGCCAGTTCGCTGCATCACGGCGCCGTAACAGATGAACCTGTCGCTGGGAGGAGTTCAACTGGAAATCCTCCGTCCACGGCATGCTTTGAACCACCCAGTCGAGCAGAAAGCCATGGGGTCTAATGTCGTCAGGGAGATGGAACGTCCACAGCGTGCTCAGTTGTTCCTCGTAGGCATGGCTGTTCCCAGGATCGGGATAGGGGAAGCTGGATAATTAATTGCACAATCCTATGTATTGAATGGAAGAAAAGCAAGGAAATACTCACTTGTCACAGTCTTTGACTACGTCGAGAAATGTCTTCATGATGAGGGTCGTTTGTTGGTGGCGGAAGAAAAGACGAGGCGGAGCGGAACAGAGAAAGGCTGTTTCTGCCTTGGAATCCAGGCAGCAGGATTTGAGCTCAAGGCATCAAGGCATCAACTATCTATGTCAGTATTAAGAACAGCTGTGAGTCATTTTATTTGCATTTTTATATCATGGCAAAAAGGTATCTAGCTCACGTAATTCTATTCTCTACTATAAACAAGGCTTAATCAATATTGATACAGACAAAGGTCACAGCGATCTGTCCATTGTGTACTCTGAAGCCACATCAAGATCCAGATACATCCTTACCCGGCTGTAGACAGTCATCGGCCGAGCTCCTTCGTCATTGTATGTGCTTGGTATAGTGTATATAGGAGGGCGTCCTGCCTCTAGGTCTCGAGGGGGGGCTATACGATGAAGGTCTTGCCGGACACCTACTATAGCCAGCCATGCCGATGCTTAGTAGAGTCAAGAGAAAAAGAAGTAGAATCAATTTTACTAACCTTTCTGCATGAGACTGTAGCATAGTATGTCTGAAACAGTGTTCCACAACTTGGCGAGGACCGTCTTGGCGTAGACTGCCATAACATGAAGCACTGGGAAGGTTGAGATCACTTGCGCGGCGGTCTGGATGATGGAGAAGAAAAATTGGACAGAGAACATGTCAGCAGTAGCTGGCGCAGAGCAAGCAAGGCTTGAATGAAAATACTATGCCGTGTGTGTGTGTGTGGTCTACATCTTCCGGATCCCATGGTCCTTATATAGGTCGAGTGCCACGTTCCCATCACTCCTTTTGCCTGTTGGCTTGCGATTATATACTCAAGTACTTCTTTTCTGATATGTTTGATATTTTTCAAAATTTCCGGAGCCGCCGAAAATCCGAGAGTTCTGGGAGATGCAACAGCAATCATAGGCGTGAAAACAAGTCCCCTGGTCAGTTTCAAACACCCGCAATACAAGATTATAGTATCTGCAGCTTCCATTCACCGTGTGCTTCGTACTTTTGCTGCTTCCGTGCCATGGTCCATCACCCGCGGAACCCGGGTGCGTTCCGCCATCGACACCGAACGGTGCTGATCTGATCACAGCCTCCTGTTAGAGGAATGTGATTCGCAGGGGATTTGCCGGGGAAGCGGGATTCGATAGATAGATAGAACTCAGCCAATTAGTGGATAGAATCAAACATAGGAAAAACGAGGCTGTCGAAAGTACCCCCAACAAAGGTACCCCTGCAAAGGTACCCAACAAAGGTACCTAAAAACCGCTCTTATCGAAAGGCCCGTCTACTCACCGGTTATGACGAGCTGAAGGGGGAAGACAGACCCTGGCTGTTCGAGGGGGAAACGTACCTGCATCCGCGACACTGTCATTACAAATAGATTTTATTATCATAATCGATGCCAGATGAAAAGGTACCTTGTTTTGATCCTATCTGATGACTCATTTGGACTCGTTCGGGCGCAAGAGCAAGGTGGTGTCGCTTGACTGAAGCCCAGCTCGTAGTTTACCAGGTAGGAGGTACGGAGTGCCAGGCGCGGTGTCGTGACTCTGTCATGCCGTCTGCCGTGCCCTACTACCGTGCCCTAACTTCTTGATCGGGAAGGACCACGTGATGGTAGCCTGCTACTTCCATCTTCCCTCTTCCTTTCTCTATTCATTCACCTCTACCTTCCTTAAACTATAAGTCCTGTCTACTGCTGAAGCAAAATAATATAAATCACATCTGACCGTCGGCCTTGAGTTGTCCTTTTGTCTCCTCCGTCCACCGTTCCCGCCCGCGTACCATAAGCAATAGACTACAGCGAAGTGAAACCCTGCCATATCTCCTTCACTGTCAACTATCTGCGATGACAATGTGCATTTAATGAAAGCATACGAATTCGATCTCCGTCCGACGACGATAATGACCCATCTCGAGAAGAAGTTCCGCATCGTGAACGCCGACCTGGGTTTGTCTCCGTGAGAGCGTGGCGAGGGAATAATTTGGAGGAGAATATGGCAAAAATTGATTCATTAGATACGATTCACTTCATGGTGAAATATCCTGTCACAGATGGAATACCAGTTGCAGATCTCTCCCGTCTGCGTCGCAGGTATATCCAGATTGAGATCATGGAGGGAAGACCCGTAAAGACAAGAGCGACCATGGCGATAACAGTACTCGGTGACCACACCATGATGGGCTGGTAAGAGTGTGCTCAGAAGAAGCCCGGGACCATCACTGCAGTTCTTACTTAAATAGAGGGGGATGGAACCAGGCACGGTGCTCTGTGAAGGCCATCATCATGCGTGGAAAAGCAGATTCTGCGTATAGCCAGTCATAGAGCTGGCTTGGAAAGCTTTGACAGCTAAGGAACTGATCTGCGACACTTCAATTCCAGATTTTGAATTCGTCAAATGGGAAACAGTATTCAAATCCAAGTTCGGCCTCGAAGAATGAAAGCAAGGCCGTGGGCCACCATGCTGTGGCTGAGCCGTTCGAGTTCCTGACATCTCGATGGACACTCCGTTCCAAGTCTGGTCCTGTCCAATCAAGGAGTTGAGTGAGTATGTACTCCGTATGATCGCAGGTCAGGGCTATCAGATGAGCCCCCGTGGACTCCATGCGCAGAACCAATTCTGGTCCCTGCCAGTAAAAACAGGATGAGGCTGCACAGGTGTGGGCCAACACAGTTTGTAATCTGTTGGTGGAGGATAAAGACATTTTGGCCTGGCCCAATAAACTGCTTCTATTTAGATTGTGCCAACGCGACTTACCTCCAAATCAAAATCTGGTGTTGGCCAATCATCGCGGGTTCATCCGACAGGGTTGTGGCTGCAAGGCTGAGGCGGAGGAAGATAAAAGCTCAGGAAGCACCTTCCAATCCCCTGATGATGGTCAGTAACAATTATTTTCTCATCTTCATTCCTCTCGCTTCTATTTCCCCCTGCATACACTTACAAAGAGTTAGTATTGAATCGCCATGCCGAAGAGAGCGCCTCGAATCTCAGATGAAGTATGGGAACGACACAAAGAGGAGATTATCGCGCTGTACTCTGCGTCAAACTTGACTCTGGAGCAGACGAGAGTCCGGATGGAATCGAACCATGGTTTCCAGGCGAGGTACTATCAACGAGTTTTTGACACTTGATCAGATGCTGATACTCCCGACAGCCAGAACCAGTATACTAAACGGTTAAAGGACTGGGGAGTCACCAAGAATTCCCCGACAAATATATGGCCGACAGTCAATGCGAAGATGAAGAAACGAAAGCGTGAGGAGGGCAAGGACAGCGAAGTCTCGCTTCATCATAAACCACTGTCGAGCAAGAAGGTGCAAAAGGAGATTGCACGCCATGTCACCTTCACACAGACACTTGGAAACTTGGAGTCTGCACCAACCCCCGAGGGAGTGACCATTTCCACTCCGGCATGTATTTCAATTCCTGGATATCGTGAGGTCTATACGAAGAATCTGCCCTCGCTGCGATTGAGAGATGAGGTTCTATCCAATTGTATGCTTTCTGCCAAACTTTGGTATATCTTGACTGACCGTTAGCAGTTCAGAATATGCTGAAACATAAAGATTCTGATTCTGGGTCCCTCTTCATATGGCACGGATATCACAACCCATCAGACAACGGTCGTGGCTCGACAAAGACTGTGGGCCTTCCGGATTCATCAAGCTGGGAACTTGAACGAATACAACGCCTTCAATGCTATGTGGAAAAGGTCTCTGGCTCAACTGAAGAATGGCAGAAATGGGTGGCGTTCCACAGTTCAAACTGGATCCAGGGAGCATGGGACAATCGGGATTCTCCGTCGACCCTGGCATCCAATATCACCTCTTTGGTTTTCATGCTCGCCAACAATATCCTTTTGGATGATGAGATCGGCAGAATCGCCAGTTTCCTTCGGGCAAATAACGCGCTCACTCTTCTCGTTGATTTCTGTCTTTCGACATCACCTTTGGCCAGAATCTTCGGGAAAAGACTCTTCATTGGTGCTGTCAAATCAAAAGACTGTGCAACTGTTCAACGACTTATCGAAGGAGGATTCAATCCAAGCTTGGTGTCCAAAAGCACGGATCTTCTTGAAATAGCAGTTGACAACATGGACTCCCCAATGGTTGATTTGTTGTGTAAAGCGGGTGCAAAGTTTCGAGACAATGAATATGCATCGCTGCTTACTAAACCATCTTTCTGGGAGCCAGGCAATTTCAAGATGGTGCAAACGCTTGTTGCCTTTGGGGCCATTACGGAATTATCTCTCAAGAACGCCGGCCATCAAGGGTCATCTCTGATCTATGCCGCATCATCAGGGAGCCTGACCGCTGTACACTTGCTGCTATGCAAGGGTGCAAACGTCAATGCCTATATATCCGACAAATATGGTACAGCACTGCAGGCTGCAGCTGCAGGAGGCCATCTAGAGCTGGTTGAAATGCTTATTGAATCGGGGGCCGACGTCAATGCCCCTGATGGTCCTGGATATGACCGGGAACCCTCAACCTACTTTGACCACTCTGGAAAGATCGCCATGCAAACGTCAATACAGACTGCCGCCGAACAAAACAATATCCAGCTGGTTCAAACCTTGTTAGTAAATGGGGCATCTCCGAATTCTTGCCCCAGGCCTACCCGGTACTGCCATCCGATAAACCCCTGGTCCCTGAGAAGTTCTCTCCAATACGCGGCTACAAATGAGAATCCCGAGCTTCTGGCTCTGCTCCTCTCATATGGGGCTCAGCCAGACCCCGATGTCGGAATGTCTTATGGCCATACAGCCCTCCAGATAGCAGCCGGAGTGGGAAATGAAAGAATTGTTTCATTACTGCTTGACGCCGGAGCCGATGTGAATGCTCCTCCTCATAAACCCAATGACAAAACAGTGATTGAAATAGCACTTGGAAAAGGTCACTATGCTATTGCGGACATTTTGGCCCGGCATGCTGCACTGCGGGGAACCCCTACTATGGATCCAAGAGAATTCGATGACCCGCAGGCTGCAGCGTTGAAAGATGACGGAAGGATTGGTCTTCTGCATGCAATTTATGACGAGAACCTCACGATTCTGGAAACTTTAATCCAAAATGGTGCAGATGTTGATCCTTTGGTGGACTATTTCGAAGAGACTCCGCTCTATCAAGCTATCAAGGACGGTTGGTTTGATGGGGTAAAGTGTCTATTGGAACATGGTGCTCAAGTGAATAAGTATGCCCCGACCTTCGATGATGTTCTTGCGCCCGACAGTGCGTTGGCACTGGCAATTCAAGGAAATTTCGAGGAAATAGTGGAGTTGCTCCTGGGCTATGGCGCCGATGTAACCGGTCACAGCAAATATGGCCCATCCAGCGCTCTGAATTATGCACTATGCCTTTTTGACAACGAGGAGATCATCAGCCAGCTTCTGAACACCGACGGGGTCTTGACAGTCACACATCTCGATCTACCACCTCTTGCAGTGGCTACGTTCCAATGTCAGGATAAGGCAATCCTTGAGCTCATCCTTGACGAGATGGTAGCTCTCCCAAAATCATTACGGGATGAGCACATCCAAATTGCATGGGACATACTACTAGCCAATGAAGACCGGGTCAATTACTACTGGCTCCATGATATGGGAGCCATAGACGTCTTGCTGAAGAATGGCGCCGATATCAATTCACGACACCATGATGACAAAACAACAGTTCTAACTCGAGGCATCCGGGCACCAGCTGAATGTATTTTGGATCTGATTGAGAATGGAGCTGATGTGAATACACCTGCCACGGAAAATAACGGAACACCCCTTCAAGAAGCAATGCAATGGGGTAACTGGGATACCATCAACCTACTGCTGGAGCACGGTACGGATATAAATGCGCCACCAGCAAGAAACGGCGGTCGGACAGCTCTCCAGGCAGCTGCAATTCACGGCTACGTCGCCATCGCCATCACACTCCTGCAACGAGGTGCAGTGGTTGATGAGCCAGCAGCTCCAATTGGTGGGATAACAGCCATTGACGCAGCTGCCAAATATGGCCAGTTGGACATGCTACAATTATTGCTCAATGAATATCGTGGGTCCGAGGATATACAGGTTGTTTGCAGAAGGGCAGCGGTTTTTGCGGACGAGAAAGGACATGTGGAAATTGCCGAGTGGCTGAGGGGATATCCTGATGCTTCACTCTGGTAGTTTGGCAAGGAATGCACTGGTAAATGGTATATAGCGTTGTCTTCGATAGAGTATAGAATGAAATATGACCTCTATACCTTGCTATTTCACCCTCAAGCCACAGTATATTATTATTTCATCGACGCATGTAGCCTTGCCAATGGACTGATGCTCTACCTCATATCAACCAAAATCACTATTCCCACGGCGAACAATATGACTACAGAACAAGGAGTATGACACGCCGAATTAGGCAGGTTCCCGACATTCCCCGGACTTTCGGTCGGCACGGGCCGTCCATAGCCAACCCCACCGTTTCCGTCCACGCATTCCTCTTTAGGTCAGTCCCACGCGAAGAACTATATCTTATTCAAGAACCATGCTACTCACTCTAATCTCTCTCTCTTCCATTATGACAGGTTTTTATTGAACTCATTAAAACAAAGCTCTGGCGGCAAGTGCAGAGCACGAACTTGCTCCTGCGGAAACGGACTGGTCTCTCCCGTCTCGCGATATCCATGACGAACGTACCAACGTCTCAATTCCACGCGGGTGGAGAGAGCATTCAGCCCCATCATGTCAACAGCCCATGTCTGCCGTGAGTAGGTTTCCGCGTATGCAAGAGTTTGACGCCCTAGTCCTCCCCGCTGGTAATTCTGGTGAACTGCCAACCAGAAGAGACGGGCGGTGGAGTCGGTCTTCCTTGAGACAGAGACAGAAGACACGAGGGTTTCGTCTTCATTGAAGCCTATCAGGGTCGCGGTATCTGGCGCGTTGATCGTGGATAGCACTTCGTCGATACCAAGGGTGAAATGGGAGGTTAGGTCCAGTCCGTCGGTCCAGTTGGGGCGAGTATCTTGAGCACGAAAGGCGGATTCGATCAGTTCTTGGATACGGAGGGCATCATGGGAGGTTGCGATGCGGAAGAGGATGTTGGCCTTCATTTTCTGTTGGTAAAGTACTTTTCGTTGGTAAAACACTTGAGTAGACTTGGAAGAGTGGTCAAGTATTATATAGATAACTAAAAAATAGATAGTTATTAAATAGCTATGTCATGTCATTGCAAGGGCGTAAATACTACATCAAGGCTACCTCGGCCCAGCCCTAATAAAACCAGGCCTAGTGGATAAGATAGCAGTTTTACTTCGCTGAAGTATAAAGATAAGATAACACCTTGACATATTGTAACAAAACCTATAAAAGATATCAGGTATAGAGAATATTCAGCAGTTATAATTCATATATATGGTAGTACTCGAGGGTGTATTATAAGATATAGGTATAGTCTATGAAAGCAATTAAAGACGTTTATTTCATAACTTATGGCCTACCCATCCTAGCACTGCATTCTGGGCCTATAATGAGAATTCCAAACCTCTCCAAGCACCTGAAATGATTATTCAAATACTTCTTCAAACACCGTGTGCGATTGTTCAAGGTCGGCGTGGACAAAGGGAAGAAATGACCGCGTCCCGAAATACTCGGCCCCAGACGAGAATTCGCCGGTTTGTAAGTTTTGGTACTCGGACATAATTGAATGAGATACCCGGTTCAAGGTCTCTGTATTGAAAGCCTTTTTCTACTCACATGAAATATTTTTTTTCTATATGATTGAACTTAAAGCCAGGAAGCATGTGAACTAATGATGCATGTTAAAAGTGTAGTGTATCATGATAGATACTCTTCTTGAGATATTATTGAGACTTACCTTGATATCGTCAGGGATGTTTTATAAAACAGGGATGGTAGAATCATTTGCATGACGGTTTCAATAATTGTAGATGAAATCTGCAAAGTAGCCATAAGTACAGCTTAAAATGATAATGAAGGATAAGGGAGATGGGATAGGCAGTTATATATAAAAAGCCTAGAGGTATATTTTAAGTGACTAGTAATCATATACCAGGTCAAGAGCCTATAAAAGGCTTAATAAAGTTATATAGAGAGAATAAATCTACTCTAGACTGACAGGCACAGACCTGGATAATATGGTGGAGAACAACTCCGCATTAACAAGTGGTCTACTAGAATCTAACATCATAATGGCTGTATATATTACCACTATTCCTAGATTAGATCGTTTAGACACCTTTTTAGTCTAGTGGGTTAGCCCCCTCCCTAAAGTTGAAACATCATATCCTTAGGCATGCGCCGTGGTTGCCTTCTAGTTAGGTGAATAAGTAAGAATTTGAATGGCAATTGATTGCTCTAATGCCCTATATTCTCTCATAACATCTCAACTATATGAATTCATAATACTACTTATAATAAAAGCTTTGGCCCTCTAAACCATATATTGTACGAAAAAAACAGTCCTCGTATATAAACTTGAATTGATAAAAAGCTCTGATTAGTCCAAATTGTTCACTGCCAATGCCAAGAAACACTATACTAAGTCTAGCATAGTCAAGTCCGCATATTGTAAACTCCATGACGTCGTTCCACTCCTTATTCTGTATTCCACCATCAACCGACATGACAGCCTCAACCCTTCCGTTCTGGTTGCTCCCCAGTATTGAGTCCTCACCCCGACTGGGGGGTGATCGTACCCCTTCTACATGGCATGTGGTCTTCCTCTGTCCCATGGAGGACGCCCAACGGGTTGCCATGATGGAGGAACTCAGCTCTGTCGATAAGGAATGGCCAGACCCTCCTCAAGCAAAGATGCGACGGCTGGTAGATGTCCCCTGGCTGATGGAATTGTTGCCGCCAACATCTGTCATCTTCACGATGCTGAAAGATGACCCTCTCATCTTCATTGACGATCAGTCCCGGAGAGATCACACAGCCATCATTTCCTGGAAGACGGCTGAGGAATCTTCCCCTGAGGCTGCGCGTGTGCCAATTAGTCGAGCAAACATTCTATTGGGCATTGCTGCCGCTGGTAACTTATCATCAGAGTATACAAGAATTCAACTACCAGAGAAAGAAGAAGAAGAAGGAGAGGAAGGCAAAAAGGTCAGTCTGCGCCCTCACAATTGAATCAAGGCTAAACAGATGTATAGACTATTCACGGGGTACTTCCATCCCATTTATCAGGGATACGTCTAGAGCCCTCCATTCCGACTCTGATCTCTCTGGTGCATCTCTCGGAGGCAGCAAAAGCAAATCTTGACTCCATTATCGGCCATCGCGTCATCATCCACAACTGGCCAGAGAATCAAGAGCCATGTTCTCGCGCGGAGCTGTTCCGAATGTTCCAGGTACTGAAGATCTGTCACAAAGGGAACGACCAGGCATTTGCTCTGTTTATTGACGACGACGACGACGACGACGACGACGACGACGACGACGAGGGAGAAGATTACCATATCATCGGAGCAATTGGATCCAGCTCTGATATCAACAGACTCGAGCTGAGTATCCTGCCATCTGAAATGGTCACGGACTTCTGGAATGCAGCCTGGAACCCAGACAGTGGTCCGCCAATTCGTGCCCATACAGGCTCATATCGATATAACCCTGCGATGTGGAAGCTTCAAATCATTGGGAGGGAGCCAATCGTCAACCCTGACAATATCGCTGGGAGTCTAGACATCAGCGTGGTTTTTATATTGGAGTCAATGACTCCCACTGAGCTGCGAAAGATCCACGCCCAAATGTTCAGCGCAATGGATGAGACGTTCATGTGGGTTGACGTATCGGACCGGCTGGAATCCCCTGATATGCAGGGCTTGATAGCATATTTTGAAGCCGGGGAGTTTGCCAATAAGCCTCCACCTCTCAATTTCCTTGCAGTCGACCGCAAGACTCTCTCATTGATGGAGTCGACCAGTGAACAAGAAGATTGCGATGCTATCATCGTTGCTTCTTACGACGGAGGCGAGGTCTGCATCACAGATGATATATATAACCCCTTTGCTCGTCTCTGGGTTGGATACAGTTATGCCCGAATGGACGCTGAAGAGGCTGAAAGAGCTTATACCGATTTGAAGATCGCCAATCGGTACTTTGACGAGATCTGCTCAGATGGCCAAATGGTCTATTGGAGCGTGTACCGAGTGTGGGCTGAGGAGCATTTGGGAGAAACATTTGAGCGCTCTTTTGGCCCAGATGGAATGAGGGTTGCAAAATAATAATATGGTGTAATCATTTGTTTACTTATAAATTTCGGTGAGTCGACAATTTGGAAAGTATACCTGGATAAGATGACTGCCTAGAATACATGATATTCTCTTTATATAAATTATTACTATATCATCTTTTTGCAGTATGAAGCAAGAAGTCAGTATAGATAATATATAAATAGAAGATTTTAAAGGGGCTGTATTCATATACCTAAAAGGAAGGAAATGATGATATTAAGTATTCTAATATTTAGAGTAATTATTCTTCACAACTTTTGGTTTCAATAACTTATTATCCTTTCTACTAACCAGTCTACTCTATACAAAGCTGTAATGGCGGACCCATTGTCTAGACTCGGCTCGGGCCGTCCGATCCAGCGGGTCAGATCGGCCGCCGGGTTTGAAAGTGTAATTCCAATTCCAATTCTTATCAAATATCATCTTGAACGCCAGCTATTACCCCTAGTTATATTCAATATATAACAGGACCATCGATACGCTGCACCCAGCCAACGAAGGTGATGAATATAGGTGGGTTGTTCGGCTCGTGACGGTGGAGAGGGAGGATCAATCTGTGGTCTCGCAGGGCATTGTGATGGCGATCTAGTAGATATAATTAGCAGTGGTCAAGTAGAGACTCATCAGTAAGCAGTCATCGGCAGCGTTACCTCGGAGTGCAACGCGGATTTTGCGATGGACGGATCGGAGGAAACGATGGAAATAGCCTTTGGCGTGGATATAAAAGGCCCAGAAGAGTGGAAGAACCAAGATCAACTGCAACAGAGTCTGGGCGACCGCAAGGATATCGCCTAGTGCAGACATGTCATTAATAGCAGGTTGATTTGAAGATAGGCTATAGAATACGAGAATGAATGCTCAAGGGAAAAGCCAGATCAAATAAATAGTGTAGTGAATCACCTAAGTTGAAATTGGGCCTGAATATCAGGTTGTAGACGCTGCACTATTATTTTATAGTTCAACTAGGAGCAAAGCCCTTTTCAGTACCCAGTTGTTGGACAACTAGGAGCAAAGCCCTTTTCAGTACCCAGTTGTTGGAGTAAAAGACGCATGATTATGTCTGGAACACGTCGAGACTTAGGTAGTCATTGCTGTGTTTTCAGTAAGCCAATCAAAGAAGGGGCCATGCGGGAAGGCTGTATGTATCATATATCTTACTCCAAACTTCTGGCGCGGCTCTCCCGTCCCTGTCCCGGGGGAGACGCTCTTTCTTCCCATAGATTTATCAATCCTCTCTGCTCATTCTGCAGTGCTAGAAAAGAAGAAAACTAACCTCATCCTCATCAAATTGAGCTCTTGGGCTCTACTCAAAGCGAGGTGGGAAGGCTGGTATAGAGCATTATACTTGGTGTGCTCCACTACAGAGAATATGAAATTTATGAATTATGAGGTATCATCCAAATTAAATATACTATCTTTAAGTATCTAAGTAGGTTGCAATTATATACAAATATATAAAGAGATAAATAGTGTAATATTAAGATAGTCTTATACATTATACTAGTATATTATTAGGATAGAACTATGATAAAATAAGATTAAACTATATAGTAAAATGTCTATAATTCATGGAATCTATACATTACTAAAGACAAACATAAATAGCTAGAATAGACTAGATAAAGACTATACTTAAAGTCATTATACCTACATTAGCCCCTCGCTAGTCACTAGTTTATCTTCCTCCCATTTCCCCTCACCCCTCATGATCATCCCATCTTCCTCATTCCTCTCTCCATCCTTCTCTATCAAGTATCTTTCTCTATTCCCTATCTTATCATGACCGTCCAGCTATTAATCTTCGCGGCGAGGAAGGAAGGCATGTCCCTTGAAGCCTTTGACGAGCACTGGCGTAATGGGCATGCCACTGGATTTCTCGCGCTGCCTATCGTCAAGAAACACTGTTTGAAATATGAGCAGGTATATTATATATACGTCTTTATTGATATATATAAATACATAGTACTGATTTAATAGTACCACCATAAAAACACCGAACGAGAACAAGCAGAAGTCTCCCTCGGTCTTGACCCCTCTGGATGGGACGGCGTCGGCCTGGTCGAGTTCGATTCGATGGAGGGCGCGCAGGCTGTGTTCTCCGATCAGGGTTTTCTCGACTTTGTCACGGCTGAAGTGCCTATTTTCCTAGGCAAGATGGAACGGGTGATTCTCATGAATGAGCCGAGGGTCATGTATAAACGGGATGAATAGAGGGAGGATATCGTTTCTTCCACGGGCAGCGGCGATGGCCTATCGTATATTAGCATTGTGAGATGTATAAATACAACTCCTACCTACCATTGCACGGCGTTGCTTATTATCTTCCAGCAAAGGGTCCAGCCCCAGCTCCATAAGATAAGTAAACGACTCGACCAGCTTCTCTTCGTGCCCTGTCCGATGGTGTCTAGAAGCCACCTCAGCTACCAGATGCAGCAGACATTCTCCCTCATGATTGCGCACAAACAGGTCTACCCCGGCGGCAATAAGAGCCGTCGAACCTGTGCAGGGAATCCACACACAGCCGAGTCCGCACATAAACAGACACAGGCGTCTCGTCGCGCTTGTTCCTGACGTTGATATCGACCCCTGCGTCAAGGAAGCGACGGAACTCCAGCCAAAAGTTCTTTGATGAAGTCGGAGGAGAGTCTGTCCAGCGACCTTTCCTCTGTTCTGGTTCACGCAGCAATCCGGCGAGATGGTGGAGGATTGTGTCTCCCTCGGCGTCTGCAGGCGTATTGCAGATGAGTGATCACCGAAGCTGTCAGGACTCTTTTTTCTGCTCCCGCGATGGTTTTCATCCAAGGGATGGAAGATTGACGAATCGTCATGTCATTCGACATACTCAGGGGTGTATTGAATCCAGCAACCGGTGCCAGTGACGTATGCAGTTCGATGCTTGGAGAACTCGGTGGAGTCATCGAGATACGCTGTTGGCTGCATCCAGGGAGAGAGATTAGCGATGGAAGAGTTATCCAAAGTTCTGTTCCATTGATGATGGTAGATTCCGATGAATCTGACATGGAGATGATGAATGAGAGGAGAGAGGAGAGAGAAGGCGCAGCAGCCATGTGAGTGAATATAAGAACATAATAGAATATGAACATTATACAGATATTATAATATCTATAATATAAGATAGTATAATATATACTATACTAATATACTATATACTGTAGCTAAGAATCCCACGTATCATCCACAGTGACAGCCTCACAAGCAGTCGGCACGGTATAGCTCTCGTTATCGCCATCCGCCCAGACGACGGTCCCATCACTCTCGACCAGAATATATTTATATTCGAACGAGGTGCCAACAGGCAGATCGACAGTCAAGAACCATAGATGGTCGTCGCTCGTGTAATCGGCTGCACTGAGAGCAACGGCATCGTCTGTGTTCCAGTCTCCCAGGGCGGAAATCGATCCTGAGAGGAACATGTTCTGGCCGTATTCGGTTGTGGCGATGAGATCGAATGTTACTGCAACACTTGTACAGGTAGCAGTGGCCGTAGACGTAGTAGATGTAGTCGTCGATGTAGACTTGGTGGAAGTACTTGTAGTGGTAGTAATACTGGCAGTAGAAGTGGTGGTAGTAGCAGTGCCAGTAGTCAAAGTACTTGGCCACGCCGTATCAGTGGCAGTACTGTACACTCCCGTGGCAGAAGTGGCATAACAGGTGGCCGGCACACTGCTGGCAGAAGTCTCTCCCCATGAAGCAGGCATGATGGCATTGCGGGCATTATTGGCGGTGATCAGGGCTGCGTACGACCAGGTCAAGTCGCGGGCAGAGAGTTGGTAGCCGTCGTCTTTGTCGAACTGTTCCGACAGACTTCCATTGGTCATTGCGTGGGTTTGCTAAAGTAGTCAGTAAGTAGAATAAAGTAGGGTAGGATTAGGGTTAAAGTGTAAGTAAAGTGGTAGGGTAGGGTTGGACTTACGACAATACTCATAAATCCATCCGCATAGGTCGTAACAGCATCGACAATAGCGACAAACGCATCGCTTGACGAAGAATACGTCCCCGTCGCAGCATCAGAGTACAGATCAGTGAAGAACGCCAACGAGACGGAATCGATGGTGATCTCGCCAACTGTGTTCCACTGGTAAACAGCATCGTAAAGCAGCTCAGCAGCCGCCAGCGTACACAGAAACCAGGGGTTACCGTCATAATACGTATCCTCGGGGTACCGTCCGATCGCACACGCTGTGCCCTCCGCGGCATCATCGTTCAGCGTGTACAGGTCCCGAAACGAGTCAACCACAACCTTATGGTTGGCGAGGGCCTTGGAACTGCACGGCTGGTAGGTGGAATCATCACAGCCAGCAGATGGGTCAAAGGTATGAATCGTGCCCAGCAGGGTATTGACGTCTTTACCCGACCGACTGGACTCGTCGAAGTTGGCTTCAATATATGTTCCCAGCCAAAAGGACTGCATGTAACACAGGATCTGCGGTGCTTGACTCTCACAGTAGGAACAAGAGGAGCCGACCGAGGATGCAAACGAGGCTCCTTCAACCAGAGCGCGATGCTGGACGACAATTGTGAAAAAGGAGCTTCCATCCACTTCTTCCCAGAGATCTAGAAATATTAGTATCATAACCCTAAACCCTAAACCCTAACCCTAATATAACATACCGTAGCCAGTTTCGTTCCAGTATTGAGCCACATACGACAGATCGTTCCTCACAATCGGCCATACAATCTCCGCCGCATATTCTTCATAGCCGTTGTCCTGTTCATCAGCAAGCGATACTATGATTCCATATAGTCAGTATCTTCAACGTACTATCAACCATTCTCCAAAATCAATCAACGCCGTCGCCCGCAATGCAGGTCCATCTCGCTGCGGCCGTCCCCAAGAGCCCGTATACGCCGTTTCATCGACGTTGAATTTCGGCTCGCCCAGTCCCAGCCCGTCAGACAGATCGCCAGAGGGATTAGACACTGTCTGGATATACGCTTGGGCATCGATGTACTCTTCAATCACTCCTAGCAGGCTGGTCTCGCCGTTGCGGAACAGATCGATCAGGCATTTGGCTGTGAGAGCGGCATCACGAGTCCACGTATAGTAATCTGTAGTATAATTAATTCCCAATCATGATAATAATTATGTAAATAATCTTTACAGTCTGGATCGTCGGTGCTGGGAGAAGCGATGACAACGCCGCTGTTGGCGCTCTCGGCGTAGATGCCTGAGGCCCCAATGTTGTCCTTGATGCCTTGCAGGGCGACGGCGGTTTCACTGGCCAACCACGCATCGAGGCTGGTAGTGGCTGCTGAGGCCAGAGAAAAGAGTATTGGAGTGTAGAGTATGGAGCGCATGTTAGTAAATAAATTGATGAATATGAATACGTATTGAGTACTCCGTATAGTATATTGAATAGAATCTGCAGTGTCTGTGGGAGATGCAAGGAGTATTTATACTGCATATGCACATCATTGCATCTCAGAATAGCCGAGACGCATCTACTCCGACGGAGTACTGCAGAGTGATCTAGACTAATGATCCCTGCAGGTAATATTACAGCACGCATATGATCATCCTCGGCCCGTCATTGAACCAATCACCGCCACTCTCCAGGGTCCTGCTGCAGGGATATAGATTGAAGAGTTCATTTCTCCTGAGAGGAGATTCCATATAGCCTTCCATTGCATGTGAAGAAGTCAATATCTCGCGGCGCAATATCGGGGATGCAGCCATACAAGATTATTGTTTCATCCGACATATCTCCACGATCTGCAATCATGAGGGATTTGAAGGTTTAATTTAATCAACATGCAGGATGGAGTAGGAGTAGGGAGAGGTACTGTATGAAGTCATACAGAAAAGCATGTGGAAAATAACAATATAAATAGTCTGAAATACAGCACAGTTATGCAGTACTCATCCCCATCCTCCGTCCGTACTTTACAATGTCTCTCCATGCAATATTCTATCTCTCCCTCTTCTCCCTCTTTTCATATGGAGTCGCCCTTTCAGCCAGCGAATGGCGCACTCAGTCCATCTACCAGCTCTTAACCGACCGGTTTGGTCGGACGGACAATTCCACCACTGCCGCCTGTGATACAGGAGAGCAGATTTACTGTGGAGGAACATGGCAGGGAGTGATCAACCATGTATGACTTACTTAATTACTACCAGTTATACTATAGTTACTGACCACCAGCTTGACTATATCCAAGGAATGGGCTTCACGGCCATCTGGATTTCTCCTATTACTGAACAACTTCCCCAAGATACTGGAGATGGAGAAGCCTACCATGGATACTGGCAGCAGAGAATGTATGTCACATAACTGTGTATGCTTTGACTGTCTTTCTAATCTATAGATACGATGTGAATGCGAATTTCGGAACAAAAGAGGATCTGATCGCTCTCTCCGACGCCATCCACGACAGAGGAATGTACCTCATGCTAGATGTTGTTCCGAACCATATGGTATAACCTTTGATACTATCTGCAAAAAACGTCGTTCTAATTGCTTAGGGCTACGCAGGAGATGGAGATGATGTGGATTACTCCGTCTTCGATCCGTTCGATTCTTCTTCATACTTCCATCCCTACTGTCTGATCACCGACTACAACGACGAAGAAATGGTCCAGGACTGCTGGGAGGGCGATACGATTGTCTCCCTGCCGGATTTGAATACCACCATGTCTGTTGTGCAGGAGATATGGTATTCTTGGGTTGCGGATTTGGTGAAGAATTATTCAGGTAATACTTCCACTTGGCCGAAGACTGCACTCACTCCATACTATATATTATATACTGACTCACTTAGTTGACGGCCTCCGTATCGACAGCGTATTGGAAGTCCAACCCAGTTTCTTCCCAGACTATCAATCATCTGCAGGCGTGTATTGCGTCGGGGAAGTCGACGATGGCGATCCGGCCTTGGATTGTCCGTACCAGGAGTATCTGGATGGAATATTGAATTACCCAATGTATGATCCTGCCTTCTTGGGATTTTCAATGCTAATTGATCTCAGCTACTATCAACTGCTGTATGCGTTTGAGTCGTCCAGCGGGAGTATTTCCGATCTATACGATATGATCAACTCCGTGGCCAGCGATTGTTCGGATCCGACTTTGCTGGGCAACTTTATCGAGAATCACGATAACCCTAGATTTGCCTAGTAAGTATACCTATCCTTCCCATGACATGGACTATTCTAGTAGTTAATACTCATCTAAGTTACACGTCCGACTATTCCCAGGCAAAAAACGTCGCGACGTTCGTCTTTCTAAGCGACGGCATCCCCATCATCTATGCAGGCCAGGAACAGCACTACGACGGCGGCGCCGTACCCTATGATCGTGAGGCGACCTGGTTGTCAGACTACGATACCACTGCAGAGTTGTATGTCTGGATTGCAACGACAAATGCCATTCGCAAAGCCGCCATCGCAGCCGATGATGCATATATTACCACCGCGAATGATCCATTCTATACTGATTCGAACACCATCGCCATGCGCAAGGGTGAAGTCGTCACTGTGCTGAGTAACAGAGGCGTCGACGGGGAGGCGTATACTCTTACTCTCAGTGCAGGGTACGATGCCGACACGCAGCTGATGGAGGTCTATACTTGCACGACCGCCACAGTGAATTCCGATGGCGATCTTGCTGTGTCGATGGAGTCGGGCTTGCCGCGGGTTTTTATGCCGGTTGATTGGGCTGACAGTTTGTGCTCTACAACGACTGCAACGGCAACAGCAACGGCGACGGCAACTTCAACTTCGACTTCAACAGCAGCAGCCTGTACTGAAGTGCTGGTGACTCTCGAAGAAATCGTGACAACCGTGTACGGCGAGGAAATCTATCTCAGCGGATCCATCTCGCAACTGGGCGCTTGGGATACTTCGGACGCCCTGGAACTGTCTGCAGCGAACTACACCGCGTCCAATCCGGAATGGTATGTCCAGGTCTCGCTGCCGCCGGGGACGACCTTCGAATACAAGTTTATCAAGATCGAGACGGACGGGGATCTCGTTTGGGAGAGCGATCCCAACAGGGAGTATACCGTGCCGGACTCTTGCACGGCGACCATCGTTGATACCTGGAGGTAGTCAGTATAGCGTCATGGATCTTTTACCATATGCCCGAATAAAACTCATCTCTTTACTGATGACTCGCCTCAGATTCATATCTCCAGTAATGTACTCTTTAGTTCTGTAATTCGTAGAGTTGACCATTGACCGAGACTAGCTGGTGCTGTCGATAAGGAAGTTCGGCTGCTCTTGACGCTTAATCGTCAACCCGGCAAGGCAGAATATTCAGTGAAGTCGTGCTTCATGAAGGAAAGAAGAGGAAAGAAGAGGAGGAAACAATAGAGGTCAGGTGACGCCTATCACGTGGTCGACCGGGATGTCGAGTTCGAAGCGAACGACAAAACTTCCTTCCCACAACACCATCTCATCCTCATCAAGAAACAGAATCAATTCATCGACTCAGAGCCTCAAGGCTCCTTTGATGAGTTGTTATCTACTCACCATGCCTTTTCTGACCAGCTGATCGCAGTCCCCGTCGAGAATGCGCCTCGCGAGGCTGGCCGGGCTGATTCGGTCCATCAATCATTGGCTCTCCGCTGGGCGGGGTAGCACATCTGAGACGAGGCTGAAAGTTTGCCTGTTCAGTCCTCAGATACATAAATGGTTCGTGTTTCAAGTCAGGCTAAAATTGGGTGGGGATTTCCTTCAAGTCATTGCTAAACTGATCACGATGAATCCAGAATCTCGTGCCAAAGGGAAAGGCAAATTTTCCTCTCAGCCTGGAGAACCTCCCAAACAATCTCCCAGATATAAAGCAACACTTGGTGGTGAGGAGGAAGAGACTGACCGGGATTGGATCAAGGTACCAAAGGAGTTCTCGATCGAGCCGTCTCTTGATTCTGACGCTCTTGGTTCTTGCCTAGGTTGATCGCGTATACCTCTCACCCAGAACACTCATCGCATATGGTATACCGTTCCAGCAGACCGAGGTATGCGATGCTTGCTAGTGTTTATGCAGGTGGTGAACCGATCTTTGCTGATGAGTGGGCTGTCTGAACAGAACTCCCTCGTCATTCGAGAGTACATTCCAGACAACTTTATGCAGGAGCTCTTTGCACATACCAGAGATGTTCGCACAACCAGATCTCGCTCTCCGGATTACAGAGAGAGCTCTCACGGTGGCATCCCGGGTGACCCAGTGTATTCAGAGGTTCGAGAAAAACCGGGTTTGAAGTGCACTTTGCAGTGGGAGCTCCCGGCGCTGGTGGAACATGTATCCGACGTTGAGAAATACCTTCTTAGCGCCAGCACCCTAACTCAAGAAAGAGACCGAGTTGAATGGTGTACTTGCAAAAGCTACATCCAGAGGTTCAGTGGAGGAGAGGCATTTTTGACAAAAGTTGTCAAGGCGTTGATGACCGACGACTGGATCTACTGTAAGCATATACATGACCTCGCACAGTTCCGATGGGATGCTCAAAATATTCACAGGTGACGATGAACTTGTCATTGAGGTCGAGAATGATTTCGTTTCCCTTGTCCTTGATTCGAAGCGTCCAGATTTGGAAGAAATGCTGTTATGGTTGTGCTTGACCTTTCGCCCTCCAAAAAATGGGACCGTTAGCACATCTGCAGCTATCTGGATAAATGGCCAATGGGAATTGCGTACCTTGGAGGAAATGGTTACTTCTGTTACAACCGGAAGCTGCTGGACTGGATTGTTTGAGTCTGCTATAATTGCGACCCTCCCATCAAATCGCTTCTCATCCTCTCACTGGTTGACTGTGGACTTTGATGAAATGGTTAGTCTGGCCGCCGTCGAGTACAGTATGGCTGTTGATTCTGGATGCATTCTCATGGGATATTCTACGGCGTTGGTCCCAATGAAAATCAACGAAGCCAACGAGGTTATCTGGCATCTTGAAGTCAACGAGAAGTATTCCCAGTTCGGACTTTCCCAGTTTAGACTTTTGCAGCTCAAAGCTCTCACACGACACTGGCTCAGCGAATGTACCCTAGAGGCGCTGCAGTCGAGAAAAGCCCTGATAGGCTGGTGTCCAGAGGCCCGTATTCTGCTGGGAACGGACCAAATCAACGCAGCCACTACGAAATGGTCTGATGCAAAGTCCAAGCGCACTTCTTGGCGGTGGAACGGCATCAATCTCCAGTTGGTCGCCCAATCCGCTGCACCACTTCAGGTGGGAGGCCAGGTCGGAGTATCGTTTGATAGAACCATCAATACCCTCAAGTTCAACCCTGCGCGGAACTATCAAAAGTGCCTCGTCAACGCTACAGTTGAACAGACGGTTTTATACGATGTGGCGGAGAAGAGGGCGTGGCTGGTTCCTCTGATTTGTGTCTACCACCACATGTTATTTGTATACCTAGAAAGCGTCCACCCTGATGCCCGAGCACAAGCGGCAGACTCCTTACATACCGATCCTTCAGCGGATGGAGCAGCGGCATCTTTAGCCATACTTCAAGGGAAGGGCTCCTACGTGATTCAAGGAGAAGATGACGACACGTTGACCGTCCGCGAGTTGATCATGGGATTCTCTACAAATATTGCAAAGACGTCGCCGCGAAGAGGATCATCATTGGAGATATATGGATATGAACTCATGGATATCGTTATGGATTCGCCGAGCACCGAACTAAAGAGAAAGACCCTTCGGATGGAGGGCCTTTCCTGGGCCCCATTACTTGAATTTGTGAACTGCCTGTTTTGCTCTGGACTGGGCGATGCGATCGTTGGAATGCGTGCGGTCATCCCGGACTCCCCATGCAATAGATTGCCTTGCGGATACGACTGGATGGCTGCCTCAGTACGAAGCATGCAATCCATGCGGCGCAAGCAGCTCCCTGTCGAACACTCAATTTTAATTTTGCTGCACCGCCTCTCGACGAAACGCTTCAAGTGGGTTCTAAGCGGTGTGCCCTTTGAGACGTGCAGCCACGAAGCGACCAGCGAGGTCACATGTTGGACATCCAACGCAGTTTGTCTCCAAGATTTAAAGAGCCATATTAGCCCAAACGGTGGTGAAGAGCAGGAAGAGATCAGCAGTTCTGATGGTGCCATCATCTTTGGCCGCTGGGGAGCAGCACCACCGCGTCAAGCCATCCCCACCAAGACAGGCCTGGAATACATGGCCCTGAGACCAAAGGTAGGGCGCATAAAGATTATAGATACATGGAAATAGCGTTTGGAGTACATATTCTGCGTTACATATAGCAGTAACTACTGACTCTCCTTCCACTCCTCAACTAGCCCCCTATAATCTTCCACACCATACGGCTGCACATAATCGGCGATAAGACCCCGTTTCCTGCGTGAATGTATCCCCAAATCCGCGAGGAGGAGATCGAGATACGGCAGGGCATCAAAGACAAAGTCCGGGTTCCGTTTTCCTAGACCGGCAGGATACCTGTACCGACCAAACTCTGTGTGCAAGGCTGTCTCCCACTGCAGATCTATATCAAAATCTATATCTGCATCTTCCATTTTCTCTGGATGCATGTCTGCGCGCAAGTCTTCGACAACAGCTTGTGGGCATTTCTCCGTCGAGCGGACGCCAAGTCTATCATCCAGATAGGCCGTGGCCCACAGCGCCTGCGTCTGGGCAACCAAGGGGGTGTTGAACGTCATAGGAACCCCGAGGAAGGCCAGGGAGCGGTCCTTGAAGAAAGCCAACGGGACAATAAACCGGGCGAGACGGAACGGGTGGAGCGCTGCGGCGGGGGCTGCGGGGCCGAGCGGACGGAAAGAAGAGGCGGCTAGCGGGTTCGGACCGGGTGGCGGTGGGGTGCAGAGGCGGGGAAACCGGGAGAGGATCTCTGCGGAGGCGTGGCGGAGGAGATCCTTCCCCAGAGGATCTGGGGCAGAGGGAAACCCCATTTGCGATTCGAGAGTGGCCGGCAGGAACTGGATGGCTGGGGTGGCATGCCAGCCCGTCGCGCAGATGAGGGCTGTACTCTGCAGGGTCTCGCCCGTCGAGAGACGGACGCGGTTCGGCGCCTCGAGAGTGTCGATGTCGGCGATGTGGACGCGCACAGTGCCGTCGCGCACCAGGGCGAAGAAATCAGTCGGGTAATTGAGGATGCTGACGGAGGTGGCGGTCCAAAACGGGTCGACCCAGGGGCGCAGCTTGCTTGTCTCCGGGTGCGAGTCATACCTGTTGAGCGAGACGATGTCGTTGGTCAGCACCCACCAGAAGGCGTCGACGATCTTCCGCCCCAGCCAGGTGGAGTGCAGCAGGCGACGCATCAATGGGAATCCATCCTGGTCGCCCCAGACACACGGACTGAACAAAGTGAGCAGCCGCGTGGTGACCAGCTTCTCGAGCCAGCGTGAGAGCGGCGTCACATACGGCGGCGCCATCCAGACCGGCCCGTGGCCAGAGGCACGGATGATCCAGTCGACGGGTCGCCCCTGCGACGCCGACGAGTAGACGGCGTCCCAGGCGGACTTTGTGCCGCCAAAAACGGTGATCTTCCCTTCCCCGTCTTGCTCGGCGGCTCGGGCCAAATCGGACTCGTATTGCGGCAAGTCACGGATGTGGAAGAGCGGGGCAGAGAAAGATTCCTGGCCCGGAAAATCAGGCAGAAAGGGCTGCGAGGTGACACCAGTGGCAATAATCAGTTTCGCAGTGGTTATTGTTGATGTTGGGTGAAAATCAGTATCGACTGTCACTATCCATCCGCCGTCTTGCTGTTGTTCAACTGTTTTGACCCTGGTGTTGAGACGGATACAATCCATCACACCGAAATGCACAGCATACAACTCCAGATACTTCTGTATGACTGGACCAGGAATGTGTTCCCCGGGACGCACACCAAATGTGGCCTCGTCCATGGGGAAATCGCTGAACTCGTACGTCCCTAACATATTGTTGGACTTGAGGCCCGCGTAGAGCCGTTCTTTGGCCCAGACGCCGCCCACGGATGCCGCAGAGTCGACCAGCAGGACATTTTCCGTCGGATGCAGCTGGCGGTATGTTTTGAGAGCCGACAGACCGAACCAGCCTGGGCATTAGTATCTCATCATTAGCATGGTCAATGGGTCAATCTGCTGGTATGGATGTGTTTACCTGCGCCGATGATGACGAGATCAACAGACTCCATGGTTGACAGTGAAGGTGGGAATCGGGCACATCATGCCATATACCATGCGTTTAAATACTTCCACTAAGCATGGTGTACGGACCCTGTGCTACGGGGTAGTCTTCGCCCCTTACACGAACAATGCAATATTAGAGCCGTTGGTCATTGGTAGGGCTTGTATACCTATAGACCCCACTGTCAACGGCTCACTCTCTAATTGGCCAATTGGACATTCACCAAGGAGGCGGTAAGATCCTGGCGTGTGTCATGTATGACAGATGGTGATCGTCTTTTAGCGAAGCTGGTAGAAACAATAGTATTGACATGTCATCATCATAGGGTGTGATCTTAGATATTATTAGGGTTGAATAGTTAACCCTAACCCTAACCCTAATATTATGATAACCGGTTCAGGCTATCAGATCTAAGCTGGGACGGTAGATACCTTGGAGTTGACTGTTGACGGACAGTTTCAATCTATATCAATGGGGCTTGATTTCTGCTATCTATCTTCATGTGTAAACAAGTAGACTATCCACAGATAGTAGGATAAATCGAAAGTCAGTCTTAGCATTACCATCATCCATGATAATACACGCTGACTAGATGATACTCCTGGTAGGAATGATGATCAGATAGTAGAATCTCCCTTTCGCATCCCGCCAGGAAACACCTTAAACGAGTGTTATCCCCTTGAAGAATCATAAAATCACACACTCTTCGGCCGTTTTCTTCCAGATCGACGATCTTCTCTGCTATCTCCCTGGCCGCCTCACAGCGGTACATCCCTTGCACCTTTGGAGCCAAAGAGAGGTATTCAATGGCCTGTCTCCTCAGCGACGCATCTCGACACTTTATCGCCGTTATGAACAGGGACAGCCCGACTCCCATCTCGAAGACAAAGGGCGATTGTGGGAGTGGACAGGACTCGCTGAGAGCCGTCGCTGCGTGGGCGATAATCTGTTTGAACTGAGGTATGTATTGATCGTATCCTTCTTCACTGGCTGTGTTGTTGTGATTGTTCACCCAGATCCACGCACTGAGATATGTCATTAGGATGGTCGAGACAACACTCGCGTATTCTGGATCAGGAAGAGCTGGGAGAGACAGAAACTGTTGATGCCAGCAGAGTAACCGGTAGATCTGTTCCTCGAGGGTTTCCTTGCTATTCTTGTCTTTTTTCCTCTTTCTGCTGACGCTGCCTCTCACCTCCTGGACAATAGAATATAACGCCATACGGGCTTCGGCAATGGAAGTAAACGAGACCGGGATATGTTGGTGCTGGATCTTCTGCGTCAAGGGACCGGCAGCGATCAATGGCAAAGTTCCCATGCGTAAAAGCACGGGGGCAACGGTCTCTACGGTGGATGATACCATTGATGATGATGATGATGATGATGATGATGAAAGAACACTTCCTATCAACTGGACCCCCTGATGGAAGAGAACCAACGAAGAAGAGAAATTCCCCTGCAAGACCTCAATGGCAACGAACAGCGCACAGCTGACCAGCGCCACGCCCAGCTCGATCGTCCCCCGCGCGATCTTCTCCTGGAAGACTGCCAGCGAGCGCAGATACCACTGGATTCCGCGCGGGTTAAGCCCATCCTCGTATAGCACGCTGAGGGAATTGATTGCATCCCAGATGGCGGGTTCTGACCGGCAGATCTGCAGCACGGTGCCGCGCCAGAAGGACAGGTCCAGCACGCCCGACAACCCAGGGGCGGCGGCGTGGAAGTAGAATTCAAAGGCCCGGCGTTCTGGGGTGGAAGTCACTGAGCAGGGATTGGAAGAGAGTGATGTTTTGTCGTGTCTTCTATCTGTGTGATGAGTGTTATCAAGGGAATATTCGCATCGTCGGCCAGTCGTCGTGCAGCGTCGACATTCCGGCCGTTCTTCGGTGCATTTAACACGGCGGACCCTGTGAGTTACAGGTTAATGGGTTTATCAATGATCATGTCAAGAATGATGTCGTACTTGCAGGTTGTGCAGCCTGTCTTTGACTTGGAGGACCCGATTCGAGGCATAATTGTTTGAAGGAGGTTGGAATAAAAGGTGGAAACTTGAAAGCATCTATTAAGGTCTATTCTTTGATTGGTTAGTTACTAATAATAGTACATGAGTAACTAAGACCTACTCTTACAAGGTAGATAAGAACCTAAAAAAGAAGAATAATAATAATATATTAATTAAAAGTATAAAAAGAGATAGGCCTATAAGAAGAAAAAAACTAATAAATAAATAATCTTTTATAAATAATATATAGATAAAATAGCCTATTAAATATTCTTAGAATATTATTAAATAAACTCTTCTTAAAGATAGAAGAGGTAATATAATATTAATAATAGGATCACTTAAATACCTTAGGTGGGTCATGGTGAATAAAGATACTATCCCTATTCTAATTTAGTATAGTATAAGAAAGGGGAGAGGGATATTAGGTATACCTTATAATATATCTCTCTCTCCTCTCCTCTTTACCCTCTTTATCTAAATATTTTAATATTAAAGCCACTAATTGATTATTTATTTGCTTAGGGCCGTCACAGTTTAAGTATCAAGTTCCTATATAGAAATAAATATAAATAATATTTAAATATAGGGATATATTGCGCGGGGAATTGATCATTGTAGACTATGGAAGATAGGTGATAACTATATATATGATGTTTTAACCATAAGGTAAGGCAAGAATAGTTCTCATTGGATAGCATTTAAAGGTCCAACTCGTAATTAATTGTATTTATATACTAGCTATGCGAAAATCTCTACTTTAATAGATTGAACATGATTCTCCCAAAAAACTTCCGTCGTCACCCGCGGGAAAACCCTGAGCACTCTACCAGGCACCAGGCCCTCAAACCAGTTTTGAATGTCAGGACTTGTATCAACTCGATCCCAGCTCACTATTTGCTTCTTCCAATCTGATGATGCATGTTTGTTGCGGCAAATGATGGGGTAATGTGTGTTATGATCATCTGCCCTCACTTCTTGAGACGAATCTTCCAAACTCGCTTCAAACCAGGTCAAGGAGTTGTAGGAACCTCGGTCATATTCGAAACTGCTCCAGCCCTGGTCATGTGATACGATGGTGAAGTTAACCCTCGTCAATTTGGGGGTCCCCTCGGGGATTTCAATCTCCAGGTATGGCTCCATTACTTCGTCATTATAGTAAAACGTCTACAATCCTGTCTTCTGCTTGGAGATCAATGGTGCTTTGAGTCCGGCGATTCGCTTCAACAGACTCTCATAAAAGCCTTCTTGCATATGGAATGTCACTTCTTCCGCAGCTTGGGTCCAATAAAGCCTGGGGATAGCGTTCTGTTGGAGACACAAGTTGACCAAATCGCTGTCTCGCAGAAGCAGAGCCACGTCTAGACACCCATGGCCCTGTCCAAAGGTTGGAGGCAGAGGCTTAGAGCTTTTCAGCAGCTTGTGCATATCCTCGCTTGATTCCATTGGAATGTCAAGACCAGCCACATTCTCTGAAATAAAGCAGACTCGTTCAAAGAGAAGAAGCTCTCGACATCTTTTCCTGTCAAGGTCAAGAGCATTTCTGAGGGGCGTATGTCGCGGATTGTCCTCGAGTCCAGTGTTTATTGATGCTCCATTGTCAAGAAGAAACTTCACCACATCATCCCTATCGTGAAAGGTCGCGATGTGTAGAGGTGTCTCAGAACCATCCGCTACTGACGGCTTATTGACATCGGCTCCTTCAGTCACTAGCCATTTGACCATCTCAAAGGAACCATAGCGACATGCCATATGAAGAGGGGTACGCTTGGTTCTGCCCAATCCGTCTATTTTTGCGCCGTGTTTTAAAAGTAACTTTGCCTCTTCGAGTCGACTGGTCTGTGCTGCATAGTTGAGTGGCAGATCCCCCTGATCAAAGTCATTCACTGACTGAGGAGACTGATCAAGGAATCTATCGAGCATCGAGCAAAGTCCAAGAAGCACCATTCTTTGCACACCGCTTAGTCTTCCAGTGGTTTCATCCACATGGGACCAGTCATATGTACCAGGGTGAACTTCCTTTCCTTTCCACTGTTTCAGTGTTTGATGAATGGCGTTCTCTTGGTAAAGAGTGACAAGGAAGTGGTCAGACACTCCTCCGCTGTCTTTTTCCAGGAGCTTCTTTATTTGTGTCTGCAAGTTGATATTTGAAGCACCCACGTCTTCCACATGCGGGCCGAAATATCGAGCCGCATAATCCAGGAAGGGATTTTCGTCAAGAAGCGCACTGAGCGAGAGTGAAAACCCCTCATAGCTCAACCTGTCACATTTGTTCAAGTAGCTCAGGCATGACAGAGGAATGTATTCTTTCGGAACGATTTCAAGAAGACATTGGTGAGATCGAAGAAAAGAAAATGTTGTCTCATGCGCAAGCCGAACGACATCACTCCTCTCGTCGTAATCTACCATTCCAAAGCATGATCTAATGACGCCTTTCAAGTCATCCAGATCCATTGAGATGTTTTGTAAGTCGATTGAGCTGGTATCAGGCGACATGCTGGCATCATCCCCGCTAGTTTCGGGGGCATCTGACTCCTGAGTGGCGAGGGCAGCCAGAATCTCTCGGCTCTGTAGAGGGCGTTTTGCTTGAACAAGCCAAGTGAGCAGATTATGAGCAGAAATGCTGGAATCCCTGCTACCTGAAATTCGGGTCATGGCATTTTCGTACGTTGAATCGAGTTTATCATCCTGGACGGGAAGACTTTTCAAAGCCTCGCAAATGCTCGGCTTGGTTCGTTGATAGTTGATGATACTCGTCTGAACCTTTGGGATCAAGTAGCTGGGATCGTGATTCAGTACGGCATGAAAGCAACTTTAGCTAGAAGGACTTACACTCCCTTTGCTGCTTTGAAAAGCTGACGCCTAACCTTTCCCAAGAGTTCTTCACTTTTAAGCAAAACCGGGTTGTCGATCGAGTTATTGATGAAGGTCTGGATGTCTTTATCTGTAGGCTTGATCTCAAGGGTTCCAAATTCAGGCCGGTCGGGATATTCAACAGTAGAAGGGCGAGCGGTGGTTAATATGTGTAGAGATTTGCAATTTCGAGCCCATTCAGAGACACAGGACAGAAGGGCATTGCAGACATTTTCTTCCAACTCATCCAACGCATCGAGAAGGATAAAAACCTTTTCCTGCTTCTGGATGAACGCTTCGATCTCATTCAAAATCTGCTTCGGCGACACATTTCTGTCTGGGTGCGCTTTATATTTGGGGAGAAGAGAGGAAGACCGGCTGTGGGACACTTCGAGTAACTGTCGCAGTATAGAGGCGGTTAACCGAGGAAGATTTTGCTGCTCTTTCGATTTGTAGTCACAAAATACGAATGCCAGTGGGACCGGGTATTTCTCGGTCAAGTGCTCGATTGTAGCAGCCATGATCATTGTTTTGCCCGCTGATGGATGGCCCTTGCAGTGAAGGATTTGGGTCTGACCTTCCTTCAAACTCAGAACCTCTTTGCAATCGAAAAACCACTTGCCTATCTCCTCCTTCTGATTCCTCGCTTCGATCAAATCATTGAGTCGATTGCTGATTGGCGATTTGTAGATCCAATCCAAAAAGCCCTTCCATTCTTTGTCTGATTCTAGAGCATCTTGTTTTGCGCCTTGCGACAGGATCTGTTCGATGACTCTCTCTGTATTTCGTTCCCCCCGGAGGCTTGATGCTAGTTGTGTCCATTTTCCGAAGTTTATGTCCTCGTTCTCAACCGTAGACCTCAAGTCTTTCAAACGCTTGACTGCTGAGCCAGTTATACTTTCAACAATGGCTAGAGTGGTGGATTCTCTCTTTATTTCAACTGCCGCCACAATATAACGCATGATGGCAGTGTAGACTCGAACTATGGATTCAATAATGCCTGCGTTTGCTTCCGTGTCGGTGTTTTGAAAATGGATTTCAAAGATGGAATATCAGTGTAGAACATCAGATAATGCAATCGATGATTCTACAATATGAGCGTTCTGGATTTGACTATTCTTCACCATCTGGACAGCGCGGCTTGATTAGAAACAACAGTCTGTCTTGGGTGTTGAACGATTCCTGTATATACCGTCAGGCCAAGTGACACGACTGACCAAGCGACGGCAGCATGGCCAGTAGGGTCACAGGCAACAACCGCACCCACAATGTTCTGAACGGCAAGAGCTGCATGCAATACATGATCTGCAAATTCACGCACTGCCCCAGTTTCCCCTTCACTGGCTTGTGCTGAATTGGTCAACGTGTGAAGGACATTTTCTAAATCGCTCCCTTGAATCTCCTTTGCAAGCTGGAATTTCTCCTGTTCGCAGGGCTCCAGCTGGGAATACGCATCTTTCCACAAATTGCGTGTCTGGACTTGGCCTTTTACTATTTTTCCAGCAGCTTCTTTATGAGATTGAGTCGATGACGGATCGTGCGGGAGACATTCCTTGGTGATCTGTTCAAGGAAAAGTAAGAAAAAAAAGAAAGGTAGGGGAATCGAGAAGATGTGAGATGGGGGGAAAGAGCCAGCTCACCTTCGCCATTTGATGCTCTGTATCTTTGTCATTCCTGACATCCGCCCTGTCCGCCAGGGCCGCACCAAGGCTTGAAGACTGAACCTGATCCGCCGATGGCACCATAGGGGTGTCGTGTGAAGGGGTTGGATTGACTGGAAGCATCTCATCGTGGGACCTTCGCCCAAGCAACCTTTTCCAGAAGACTTGGAACCGATGGCAAGGCATCCTGACCTGGGAAGATTGTTTCTACCCCTTGCATAATCATTAGCTGAGGATTATTCAAGCTTTCATGTGGGTGTACCAGTTGATTGCAACCCCGGAAGCGACTCACCAAAGTTCAAATGTTATGGATCAAATATCAGTAACCATGTGTAATAAAAGGACAAAATGAAATGGTGCTGCATTCAAAAACCATGCACAGAAGAGTGGGTGTATAGAATATTTATCTATTCTATATAGCCCTTTACCATACTGCTATGCATTGTGGTCACTTTCAATTAGTTCTAGAGTTTCATTTCAGCCCGGCTCAACATTTGAAAATGCACTAGAAGTGGAGAGCAAAATGGAGACGGCTCTCCTGCAGGCCACATCACATCCATACAACAAAATGACCGGGTTACTTCTAAGGTTGGACAGTCCAAAGTACTTCAGCAAACGAGTGGGAATATAAGCTCCGAGGTCCGGTTCAATAGCTGCATGACACGTATTCAAATGGACTCGATAAGGCCTTTACATCTCTCAGTCAATGTGATTGATCTACTGCCAGGAATCCCCGCACGTTCAAGTGAGCACTTGAGGGGATTTCATGGATACCCCCGATATCCGAAAATAAAAGCATGAGCCGTACATGCATGATAACGAACATGGTCCTTGGCGCTATTAGCCCAATAATTAGTCTCAGGGCTGAACCTAAGCCTGATAGGGCCTGATATAATTGTTGAGCTCTCAATCAAGAGAGCAGAAATCTTTTGTAGGCAAATTTAACCAGCTGAAGAGGTGGTTCTATCTATAAGATTGGCTATAGAGTACTAATCAAAGCCTTCTGCTCCCAATGCATAAGTCTGCATTTTCTAATTTTTAAATGTTCCTCATATCTCTATAGCCCCTGAGTGTTTGACTGAAAATATCTCCACCTGCTTATAAGGCCACGCGTTAGAAAAATATACCACTTCAGACTGGGCATGTTTTGGCTCAAGGCTCGGGCCGGATACCCGTGCGGGTCTGACCGCAGTCTTGGAACATTTTCCAGTTGTCGCGTTTTTCATTCAAATATTGGGAATATTCACAGACATCTGGACGCAATGGTCAAATCCCGAAAGTGGATCCTTCGACCCGGGCGTTTGCATTGCATTACTCTGTAGTTAGTATGCTGCATGGTGTACGGAGTATGTAATACTTCGGAGCAACTAATTACCTGAATCATGAGACTTATTTCCCACAGGTTTATTATCGTGCTATCCGTTCCTCGGAAAATGAGGCAGTGTCACCTGGCATCGAAAGGCAGCCCCACGGGAACGAGCGATCTACCACTGCGGGCATGCAACGTGGCAATACAACACGGCGCGGTGCGATCCGTCACACTGCATGAGCGCTCTTCCCCACCCGATTGCCCGAAGGTATCGGCTGGCGGCAATGATTGGTGAGCCACATGTAGCTCACGCTCCGATATCTGCATGGCTTGGTTCTCGAGCAGCTACAACTTGCTAGGTAGCAATACGTATTCCAACGCCATAAAACACTGATGGGGTCAGCCCTGCTACCTGCAGTGGCATTTAGCTTAGCCTCGCTTTTCAATCAAGTGCAAGATTACAGGGAAGGGGTAGTCGGCATTATAGCACCTAGGCGGGAGTTTTAGGTAGATGAGTAAGTTATTAGTTTAGAATCTGATCATCAATGATTAAGAAAGATAATCCTCAAATAATAATGGTAAGCATTTAAAAAGGGAGTTCAGTCTATCAACAAAGGGGCTGGGTGGGAGTTACATTTAGTATAATCTAATATCACAATAATATAATAAGAAGAATATAAGACTAACTTGAAGATTATATAATTATTATGAGCTCGTAACCCTCGCTACGCTCGGGGGCTCGAAGAGGGGGGCTATAATCAGTATTATTCTTATTCTTATTCTTATTCTTATTCTAGATACTCAGGTCTGCTGGCAGCCACTCTGGACCTACGGCCCTACGTTCGCAATTGTTCACACTAATCTAGATGATTAGTTAAAGAATCATCTAGGGATTCGCCTAGGAATCGCCTAGGAATCGCCAAGGAATCGCCTAGGAATCGCCTAGGAATCAATGCAGGAATCAATGCAGGAATTGACGCAGGAATCAATGCAGGAATTGACGCAGGAATCAATATAGGGATAATACAAAAATTGGCCTAGGAATTAGTGTATATACCTTATTATTTAACAGTTAGTTAAATACTTACCTAGATAATTAAAAGAAGAAAAGGGGGGATAAAATAGGAAAAAAGAATTATATAGGGCTCAGCTCAGATTAAATAGAGACTAATCCTAAAGAGGAATAGTTAATTGCAGCATATAACAAGCGGGGTGCGCCAAGAAATTGATATTTCTGTATAATAGAGAGTAAGAGTAAAGAGTAAAGAATTATAGATTTATTATAGCTATCTTAAAATTAACTATAATATAAAGGACTATATAAGGATAGTTATTTATTAATATAACTAATTCTTTATAATCCTTAAATAATAATTCCTTAAGTATCAATTTAATTTATAAGACTCCTTGATTTATTTCTATATATAACTAGAAATAAGGGCCTTACTTCCTTTTCATTAAACTACTTTACCTCATACTAAGAGGATTGGTATATGGCTAATCTCACATATGTAAAGTATATTTAAGTCTAGTAATTACCAAAAAATTATGTCCTTAATCTTATTTAAGCTGGTCAGTGACATCTAGAGATCCTAGGGTTGTAACATACAGTCCTATAATCTATTATCTATACTATTCTAGAATACACCTATAGGAAGTTGTAAGTACTTGTTAAGATAGTAACTTATATACTTACTGGAGATGATAAATTCAGATATTATTTCCTCTTCTATTCTTCTACTGAATTTATTTCTATTTTCTATTTGATCTTCTTTTACTCTGCAGTACTAGTAAAGAATCAAGGTCAGGTGACCCGCTAAAAAAGCAATTCGTCATCCTCTCCACTTCGACTCCCAAACAACAAACAAAACAACGAGTGAATGAATTGATTGCATCCGTTGCTGCATTCGCCCATTGCGCAATCCATCATGTCTCGTCGCAACGGGAACGACAACGGGGCTCTGCCGCCCTGCGAACCGTGTCGACGAGCGAATCTGCGCTGCGACCAGTCGACGCCCGTGTGTCGCCGGTGCGTGCGCCACGGCAAGTCGGACGTCTGTGTCTACAACCTCGAGGCACGGCCGAGGAGCTTCTATTCAGAGCCTGAATCGCAGATTCCTGCTTCTCCCACGCAAGAGGGAACGCCAGTGGCGGCAGCAGCAGCAGCAGCAGCAGCCGTGCGGAAGAACAGTCTTGTCTCCAGTCCGGCTCTGAACAATAGAGGGAGCACCATCTCCCTAGCAACGGGGGGTTTAGACTCGAGCAATCTCAAGTCGTACGATATCCAGACCTGCGCGCGCATCCTGCGCAAGCTGGTGGACAATCTGGGTTTGTATGAGGCCGTGGTGGAGGATTTCCTCGACCGCTCCTCCGAGGGGTGCATCCTCGGTCGCGCACTGGTGCGCTTGATGTTTGCGGTTCTCAAACAGACGACGCAGTCGCTCGCCGGCGACGACTCCTTCATTATCTGGGCGCAGAGGCTGGTTGAGGTGATGCGAAGGCCCGTTGCCCAGGGCGTCCCCTCGACGACGACGACAACGCCGGAGATGTACGTCCGACAGCTGGTCGGACGGTGGGAGGGCATCGGCTTCCTCTTTGCGCTCGCGGGGCAGGCAGCTATCCGTCATCGCGACTGGAAGAGTGTCTCGCAGATGAGCAAGGACAAGAGTGACCAGAAAGCCGTCGCTGCCAGTGCGCTCACGGCCAGCGATTCGTGTCTTCGCTTCTGCACTGTCGACTCTGACTCGCTGGGGTGGCTCTTGTATCAGCATATCCAGCTGCTCACTCTGGTGTATGGAGAACGCCGTATGTATTGATTCATTTGTGTATAGATCATTATTGATATTTTCTTTTTGCATGCTAACTTTGTAGATGCCGAGCCATGGAGGAAGCTGGCGCAATTGGCGACCGTGCTCTTCACCCTGGACAACCAGAATACCTCGCTCCCCTTCTTCCTCGTGGAGCTGCGCAAGAGTCTGCTGGCAGGGTCATATATCCTGGATAAACGACTCGCCAGTGCGACGAGGCGGCCGCCGCAGATCAGCTCGCGGTACTACAACATGCAGCTGCCGCTCGATCTTCCGGACGAGGAGCTGATGACCGTCTCGGCGGGAGAGCAGCTGGACGCCGACGGCTGGAACTCGGAGCGCATCACCCACGGCGCCCAGTGGCTGCGGACCTCCCTGTTGATCGGGTCCATCCGCGAACAGATCCTCGACCTCTCGCTGAACCGCCATGTCGACGACATTGCCGACAGCGCCGGCGAGATCGCCAGCTACTCCCACCAGACCTGGGACCAGCTGCCGGCCTTTCTCCGCTGGCAGCCTGGAAGCCTGCAGCGCGAGCTCATCCCGCTCTATCTCGAGTTCCTCTGCAACGAGTTCATGCTGTATCGCGTGGTTGTGCGACGCACCCACGCCGGCCACGCCGATCTGATCACCGTGGCGCACAAGATCCTCTCCACCGTTCTGGACCTGATCGGCATGGAGATCGCCTCGGGACAGGGGACCGACAATCTCGCATCCGTAAGTCTTTCTTTTTTCTTTTCCTTCATTTTTTTCATTTTTTCATTTTTTTTTTTTTCTAATCTCTCAGGCATCGTCATTTGGAATCCCCGCCGCCGGAGCGCTCGCCATCGAACTTCTCTGCCAGACCAGCGGGGCATCAACTACATCGGTGACGACAGTGCGCCGGGCGGAAATCATCCAGAAACTAAGCGTGTTCGCCTCGTACCTGCAATATGTCGCTCGGCCGCACGAAGCACAGCACGAGGCGTGTCAGCGTGCCAAACATCTGCTCGGCCGCGTGCTCGACAAAGCCCTTTCCGGCAGTCTGTCGGGACAGCTGGACCGAGATGTCATCGGCGTGGATTGGCTGGATGGGGAGGAGGTACAGCTTGAGGGCCGAGATCTTGTCCAGTGGTTGAACGAAGATTAGCTTACGAAACGAGCCATGATTAAAGTATTTTAAAGTATTTGAATATCCATCCTACATGTAGAAAGATTCACTCAACAATACTCAACAAACTTAATGGATGATCAAGTATAAGCTAGACTATAGACAAGCAAGGTAGATACCCAACTAACACTCCTCCTCACAGTAAGAAGAAGCCCCGTCATCACACTGATTCTTGCAGTCTTGCTCGGCAATGAGGTTGTCAGACACACACTGCACCAGGCAGAACAGCTCAAAGTACTCGGTCAAGCAGGTTCCGTAGCTGCCACCGAAGCAGTCGCCGCGCTTCTGGAGCGAGTCGGCGGCAGAGCGCTCGACGTGCTCGGCGGGGGCGGCGACGGCGACCATCGAGAGGGCGAGGAGGCCGACAATGGGTTTCTGTGGATGAGTTAATTCATTCCGAGGAAAGTAGATTCAGACTAACCATTGAGAAGAACATGGTCTTGGATGGAGTGTAGAATTGAGTGTAGAATTGACTGTAGAATTGAGTGCTGGGAAGCCTTTTATACCTTCATCAGATAAGATTATAGATTAGGATGATGGCTGAATAGCCTCGAAAAGCTAACCTGGCTCGAAAGACCCTCTTCTGCAGGGTTAGTGCTTACCTCGTGTTCTGCACGCAACCAGGTCTTTCTACTGGCCAGAAGCTGTGATAAGCAAACCCTGCCTGCAGGGACCACACATTAACAGGTCTTAGCCGTGTCTTTGTCCATCAAGGAATGGCAATTGTTTCAATTCCCCGCACGGAATCCTATCATATAATGGTTAGTACTAAGAAACCCTTCTTCAGATTCTGTTCAGGGTCCATTTGGTTAGGCCTAATGGGGAGATCTATGCTATCTATAGACCCTCTACACTTATACTGATTCAGGAATATTTAGCGAGCACAGCTCATAAGGCTGACTACTATAATGATAGAGTACTAATTATTTTATATTATGTCTTATTCTATAAGACCACTAAAGTGTTCTGCTCCTCTAAGTATTATGAGCTGGTCAATAGGGCTGAAGTAGTGATACAGGTGGATGGAAATAGAAAATCATCACTACTATCTATCTAATGAAGATCTGGATATGCAGATTGCTCCACTAGTGTTTATAGTGGTAAACTCAGTGTTATTAGGTACTAACTGAGAAGGGTTGTTGGAGGCTTGAGACAGAACTATTTATATATTATAATCCTTGTCATATGGACTATCCACAGAGAATATACAATCAGAGATAAACTCTTGAATAACCTTCTACTCTATACTATTGTAGGACCTGATGAAAGTGAAATGATCAGATATAGTAGTGAATGTATAAGATTAATATGTAATGTACATCTATTCCAAGGCTTCAAAGTCCTCTCGCAGAGATGCACATATCTCCTCGACAACCCCCATCTCATCATCGCAGACCCCCAAGGCCCCCGCCTGCCAGGAGATGGCGCACACCAAACTGCCCCCCTTGACGCTGACGATATTGAAGACAAGCGGCCCGCTGAGAACATTCGCCGGCTGCGCAAAGACCATCTTGGTGATTCTCTTCTTCCCTTGGTGTGGAACACCATTGGAGCCACTCCTGCCGCCGTCAAAGGCGAGAAGATTGCTCACTTCATACGAGCAATCGCGCGGGCCGCCGACCTTGCCCAGCGTCCAGTTGCGAATGCTCGGGGCGTATCGCAACAAACCGATCGCCTGGTCATTCAGTCGCGTCGCGCATTCCGCGAGTCCCATCGTTGTCGACCTTGCAGCCGCCCACAGCTCCTCTGACCACGCCGTCTGCTGCTGCTGCTGCTGCTGCTGCTGCTGCTGTTGTTGTTGTTCCGGTGGGAGACGGGCATGGGTCTCGTAATATCCCGAGACAAAGAGACCCCAGGTATACGCCGGAGTGCCTATTGAGGCGCGCATATCGACGGCCGTCTGCGAGGCGAAATTCGTCACCACCTCGCTCCCCCCGGATTTGCCAGGGATGGTCTTGCTCAACGCCCGGATGATCAGCTGGTGGATGACGCCGGTGAGCTTGGCGTCGTGGCTTCTCGCGGTCTGGAGTGCTTTCTGCACCAGTCGGTTCTCGATCTCCAGCAGCTTCACTCGGCTCTGACGGGGAGCTGCAGGGTTGAAAAACATGTGCGACCCCGTCCATGTTCCGGCGTTGACGGTCGTGACGGCTGCGTGAAGCCCGAGCCATCGAGCCAGGAACTTGGGCAAATACACTGCTATCAATGGTCCGAGAAGGAAATTCCAGGATATGGGAAGTCGCTCCGGTGTGTCAAAGGGCGCGGGAAGCGTTCGACTGGCGGGTAGCGGGATCGTCAGCGATTCAGACATCTTGTCTGTGGCCGTGGTTTGCTGCCAGGCATCGAGAAACGTGCGATGGAAGGTGAGTCCGACCATGCCGTCGCCGAGAGTGTGCGAGAAGGCGAAGGCGATCCAGCAGCGACGCGTTCCGGCTTTGTCTTCTTTGTCGGATCGTTGAGATGAGGCCAGAGGAAGCACGACGATGCGCCAGGGCGGGATCCCTGTCGGCCATGGTCTGTCAAGGATTGGAACCAGCGCGTTTTCAAAGGCTGCAGTCTCGTTGCCGCTGCTGCTAAGTTGATCTGGAAGGATCGAGATATGATCCTTGAGATCGATACTGGAGACCCCCTCGTAGGCTGGCTTTTCGGTATCCTTGTTGGCCACAATGACGCTGAGAAATGGGTGCTGCAGGATGCATGCTTTGAGAGGCGCCACAAATGAGTGAACTGATTCAAGGTCTATTTTTTCCCCCTCTAGAACCTCGTACACGGCCGCTATGGAGAGCGCGTTGTAGAAGCCGAGGTCTTCGCGACTGATTGTGCGGCGCTCATTGGGGCCTATCAATAGTATTAATATACCTGCCAGCTGTAAGAAAAGGACTTACCAACTTGCAAATCTCATCAACATGGTTTAGACTCTGAACAGGAGAAGCATGGGGATCTTGTTCGAAATATGGGTTCATATAAGGAGGTTCTGATAAGGCAGCAGCATTGAGTTTGCATAAAACTCACCGCCTTGTCCTTGATAATTTCATATAACTATAATTTAGTGTCAACTATTAATAATATCTAATAGGGAATCTTGGTTTCTGAGGGAATATAGGGAGAATCTATAGTTGTATAGATAAAGGAACCTATAAGCAGCATATACTGATTATTTATTTCAAATATTCTATTAAAGAGATAGAAATATTCTATTATTATATACAATGTTCATTTAACAGCAGAGTCACCAGAAGGCAAGGAAAGCCGGGACAAGTAATGTCCAGCAGATAGACAACGAAGACGCGGCACCAGTGTACTGGGCGCTGGATGGTTGGGTGGTAGAGGCAGAGGCAATGGAAGAAGTGGATGCAGAGGCAGTGCCAGAAACAGACTGGAGAGTGCTGGGCTGAGTGGCTTCAGAGGCAGATCCAGACTCTCCAGTAGCAGAAGCTTCAGTAGCAGACACTCCAGTAGCAGATTCTCCAGAGCCAGATCCAGAGCCAGATCCAGACTCTCCAGTAGCAGACTCTCCAGTAGAAACAGCAGAACCAGTTACTGCAGAACCAGTTACTGCAGATACTCCGGCCGTGATGGTGGCAGTGGTGAGATAGGTGGTTTCCTGCGAGGGAGCGCAGTCAGAGACACCCTCCGGACAGGCTGTGACGGTGTACACAGAGGTAGAGTCGGAGACGCCAGTCGCGGCAACGGCTGTATTGCCCGCAGGGGTCTCGGTGGTGAGAGGCGTCGTCTGCGCAGCGGTCTCAGTGGTGAGAGGCGTCGTCTGCACAGACTCGGTGTTTCCAGTGGTGCCTGAAGCTGCAGCACGAGTCTCGGTAGCCGTGACAGGGCAGACAGTGGTATAGGCGGCCACTGTCTCGGTAGTGAGGTACGTCGTTCTCTCCGAGGCCGGGCAGTCCTTGACAGACGCAGGACACGCGGTGACAGTGTGGACATCAGTGGTGTATACCGTCGAGGTGGTCATCTTCTGTTCCGTGGAGATGGAGGTCGAGGTGGAAGTCGAAGCTGCAACGCCAGTCTCGGTAGCTGTGACAGGGCAGACGGTGGTGTACGCGGCCACTGTCTCGGTGGTTAGATAGGTGGTTCTCTCCGAGGCCGGGCAGTCGGTCACCCAAGCAGGACAGGCCGTGACAGTGTGCACATCGGTGGTATAGACCGTTGACGTGGTCATCTGCTGTCCAAGGCGAGTGTGAGCTGTCTTGGTTGGTCTGGAGGCGCCGGTTTCAGTCGCTGTTATCGGACAGATGGTGGTGCTCACGACAATGGTGTCAGTGGTCACAAACGTGGTGCGCAGCGAGGCAGGGCAGCTAGGGACGGAGGCCAAGCAAGAGGTGACGGTGTGGACCTCGGTGGTAGTGATGGTGGAAGTGGTGAAGGAGGCGGTTGTAGTAGATCCGGAGATACCAGAACCAGTAGAGACAGAAGTAGAGGCAGCACCAAGAGATCCAGTACCAGAGATAGAACCGGTGGAAACACCAGACGTAGCAGAAGTAGAGACGGCCGAAGTAGAGGCGGCAGACACAGTGCTAGACACAGTGCTAGACACAGTGCTAGAAGTGGCGGAAGTAAAGATGGAACTGGTGGAAGGTCTCACAGAGGGAATGAAAGAGCGAGAGTGAGAGTTGGAGCATGGCCGGCGATGGGCAGAAGAGCTGTGGACAGGGAGGACGCTGTGAGAGGATGAGGGAGATGGATGGATAGAGATGGAATAAGGAGGTGTAGGGCGAGAGGAGGCAATAGAGGCTGCAGGGGGAGAAGAAGCAGCTGAATCAGAAGAAGTTAAAGGAGAGGAAGAGGCCCTCAGTGAGGCCGCAGAAGAAGCAGGGGAAGAGACTGAGACTGAGACTGAGACTGAGACTGAGACTGAAGACACAGGAGAAGACGAAGAAACTGAGACTGAAGAAACTGAGGCTGGAGAGACTGAGACTGAAGAGAGAAGAGAGGATGAAGAGAGAAGAGAAGACGATGAAAGAGCAGGAGTCGGGGTAGGGGTGGGCGTCAGGGTGGAGGTAGTGCAGACGTCGACGAGGGCCGAGAGGGTGATGTCGTCAAAGTTGAGCTCCGAACTGGACGCAAAAGAGCCGGAAGTGCAGGAGATGGCGATGGTGAGATCCCCGCTGGTGGCGGAAGCAGTGAATGAAGCAGCGATCATCTCCCAGGTGGTCCCTGCCGTGCTGGCGATGGTGTTCTGCGTGATGTACTGACTCCCGAAGGTGATCTCGGCGGTACAACTGCCAGACCCGACAGCCAGCAGCTGCCAGTACGCGATGAGGGTGTAGGTTGTGCCGATGGACAGGCCGCTGAGCGCCTGGGAGACCGTGTCGGAGGAGAGCCCGCCGTTCAGCGCCAGCGTGTACCGTCCGTCGGGGGAGCTCGAGTACACAAACACGTCCGGCGACGTCGATCCGGTGATGGTCCAGGAGGAGTAGGTGCCGTCTTCAAAGGAAGGGTTGGTCACCAGCTGCTCGGTGGTCTGGCTGCAGCTCACGACGGTGCTGGCCACCACGGGGGTGGCCAGCAGGGGGAGGACGGGGAGCAGCAGAAGCCTCATGGTGGTGGTTGTGGCAAGGGAACGAGGGACTGTCAGGGTCTGCAGCAGATGCAGGAACCGGAACCAGGGGTTTTTAAAGGTTTCTTCAGCTCGGCGAAAATAGCTCTCTTCATTCGTATCATTCGCTCGGCATTCACTAGTTTTTTTAGTTCCTGCTATGGTTGCTATGGTTCAAGCAGAAATAGCCGACAGCCAATCAGAAGCAACAGAGTCATTCTCTATACGCTAGAACATGGTCTGTGGGTATTTTTTAGTTAGCATCAACCAAATTCCAGATTGAATCATTTGACGGCCAAGATTTGAAAGGAGGGTTTCTAGCCGAGACAAGCATTGGTTGTAATCACATCTCTGATTATAGAGTAACCATAGAATATAGCCAAGCATCTTAGTAAAGACTAAGCGACTATGAATTAATATCCTAGCTGATAGCTTAGCATCCTGGGCAGTTCATGAGTGAGGGAATCTACTTGTTTAGTATACTATAGCTTTAAATACTACTAACTGATGAATATTCAACTCCTGAAGCCTGGATTAGGGACGTCCTAGATGGATAATAAGATATAAGAGCATAAGATATTGAATATAGTGAAACATTTCTATCTGCTGTTAACAAAGTAAATAGACTATACTTAGACTAGACTTAAGCTATACTATCTTATTCTATTTTATTGATTATCAAGAAACCTGCTAAATTACATATTTACTAGTAACACTATTCAGTAGATCCAGGCTCCGGTCTATTAATTTATCTAAGAATTTAAATATATAAAATCAATATTAGTAGTGAATATATACTATTATTGTAATAAATGCTATAAAGGTTAGAAATAGGAAGAAATACCTACTTTCAGTAAAGAAGTAAAGAGCATATATAAAAATTAAGTGGAGAATCCAAATTAGTATCGACTATAGTTACAGTCTTAATGGTGAAGAGCTTCCCTATAAATAAGTCTAGGTATTAAAAATGCACGCCATGAACCTGCTGCTTCATCTTCCTGACATCAATGTCCTTCCACAAGAAGCACGACGCCCAGGTAATGACATAGAAGCACGTAGCGGTGATCAGCATGATGCGCTGGGTATGCCCATAGGCTTCCTCGATGGCATCGCGCACAGCAGAGCCCCTGGGGTAAGCCAGCTGGTTGGCCAGAGAGCCGTAGATGGCGCTGAAGTCCGGCTGGGCAGAGGCCGGCAACAACTGCTTGAGTTGCTTGGGGAAGATGCCGGTCCACATGGCGACGGAAATGGTGCCCCCCACGGCACTGCCGATGCTGGCGACCACGGACTCGATGGCGAGGATGGAAGGGATGTTGCGCTGGGCGGAGACGGCCATGACGGTCATCTGCTCGCAGATGACCAGGGTGCCGCCGCCAAAGGCGACGAAGATCTGACACATGACGATATAGCCGATGTAGGAGTCTGGCTGGCGGAACTTGATCATGCAGGCGACTCCCAGGACGGTCAGAGGCACGCCGAAGCAGATCGCCCACCATTTCAGCCGGCCCTGGTGGCGCAGGATGGCTCCAAACACCAGACACCAGGTGCAGGAGCCGATGGTGTAGATGTTGGAGATGTAGGTGGCCTGGGTGACGTCCTGGTCAAAGACGACCTGCAGCAGAGAGTAGAAGTAGTCGTCCCAGATGTACCAGGCCAGATAGAGCGAGACGACCATGGAAAAGGTGAAGAAGACGGTGCGGTTCTGGATCAGCTCCCAGGGCATGAACTTGACGGGGGCACAGTATCTCTCCCAGACGGGGAATGCGAGGATGAGAAGGAAGCCGATGACCAGGAAGCAGAGGATCATGGGCGACTGCCACTCCTTGGCCTGGTATGAGTAGAGGTTGAAGGCGAGCAGGAAGAGCGAGAAGCCGGTGGCGATGATGAGCAGGCCGATCACATCAAACTCCACAGCATAATGAACAATCGACTGCCCCAGCGTGCGGGTGCTGGCCTCCTTCTTGGGCGCCAGCTGCATCTTCTCGGCCTTTTGCTGCGTGTAGTACCACAGGCCCCAGAGCGGAGCGCTGATGATAGGCATGATGATGGCAAAGACCCCGAACCCCCAGCGATAGCCAATGCCGCCGGGAGCCAGGATCTGGTCGGCCGCATAGCCATAGATCCAGGGGGTGATCAGATACGGCGAGGCGGCATAGGCAATCCAAAACGCACGGTTCTTGAGCGCCGTCGTATCGGCAATGAAGATGGTCATGGAAAAGTCGATGCAGCTGAATCCCGTTTGATAGAAGACCTGCGCGGCACAGTAGGTCTGGACATTCTTGCAGGCCGCCATCATGATGAGTCCCATCGTGAGGGAGAGAACGGCGAGCGAAAAGGCCTGAGGCCGGCCCCAGATGTCCATGAGCTTCGCATAGGGGAACTTGACCAGGGCAGAGACCAAGGAAGCAATAACGCCCGTCAAGCCCGTCAGTGAGTGCAGCTCAAAGTCGCTGTAGATGTAGGGCGACAGCGAGCTGAGAAGGCCCGAACTGAAATACTCGAGGAAGTTGACAATCCAGACCCTATTGATTTCTTAGTAACAATGGATCAATAGCAGTGTGTGAAGCTTACAGAATATAGGCTGCAAGCAGAGTGTTTCTGGTCCACGCTTGAGTACTCGCCTGGGCCTTTTGGGTTCCGGCCTGCGCTTGTTCATCGATGACCTGCGACGATTCATTGATCTCCTTGGCTTCATTCACGGGGGTATTGGTGGGAATTTCAATCTCGACATCAGGGGAGACTTCAGCTTGTTTCTCCTCCCTCCCCTCAAAGGGGTTCATAAAACGTTTCCGGATGCCCATGTTGAGACACTTTGCTGAGAAGACAAGACAGAAGAGGACTCGCGGAATGTTTTAAATCTTCTAGGCTGAAAACTTACCCTCGGTCGTTGTCCGCAGAAAAGCCACCAAGTAGGGTTGTTGATAGTATCACTGACCCTGAGCGCCACCACCTCGTATATGGTGGAGATGCACGGCAGGTTCTGTTCCTATCAAGTCAGGGTAATCATGCCAAGACCCTGCTAGAAGCCATTCACTTTAGTCAACTGATTGATTAGATCAATATAAAGCCGAATTCGCCCCCACTTTCCATGCGTCAAGGCTAATTTCAAAGACATTTAAGAGAGCATATGGGTATAAAGTTCACTTTTATTCTTTATTTTCTGTCCTATGTCGAGGCGCTGATTAAACTCTTTATTATGCCCAAGAAGATTATATGATTTTAAGATACTTCAGTGATAATTCATGAAGATGATATTGAAGAATATCTACCCTATACTTCAGGCCTATGGTTCTGCCAAGTCGCGGATTTATCTAGACTAATTCAATAGATTGCCACCATCTCTAGCTCATTTCTTGTCCAATCATTAAAAGACGCGGTCTTTGAAGGATCTAGTGTGAGACAGCAGAACCAGAGGTCTTGTGAGTGCCTGTTTATAGGTCTAGTATCAATCCTTCTAAACTATAACTATTTACCTGGTTAAACTTCCAGTTTCAATGCCCAATACCTTTAATTCTTAAGAAGGTTCTTGTATTTAGGGATGTTTATTTCTAAATTCAATAGTTGATGGATTGAACTTGTGTATACTATATATATCAGTCTGCTAGAGCTTAGACTAATACACTATAAGAATATAATAAAAGTCCTTTAAAGAACTCCAGTAGTAATTCTATAATAAAATCACAAATAGTATTGACTAATACTCAAATGACTAAAAGGTGATGCCTACTTTCAAGGTGCCAGTGTTGGCTGCCTCTTGGAATCGGCGATAGGCATCCAGAACGTTAGAAAACGGAAAGTCTGGGCGGGTCAGTGACACAATAATCATTTCAGATATAAAATACATACTGTCCGTGATAAGGGCTCCCGGGTCGAGGCGATTCGACTGCCAGAGTCGCATCAGGGTTGGGATGGTGACAGCATCCACAAGGCGTGTGGTGATGGTGATGTTGCGGTCCCACAGCTTATCAAGCGCCAACGACACAGGCTGGCCATGCACGCCAACATTGGCGATGACCCCGCCGGGGCCCACGAGGCGTTGGCACAGGGAGAATGTCTGCGGAATCCCGACAGCCTCGATGACAGCGTCGAAGCCGGGGACATCCATCTTGTCCAGGAGCTGGTCCACCGCGCCGGCATCGAGCGGGCTGAGCGTCTCGTCGGCGCCCAGGCGGCGGGCATGCGCCAGACGGGCCTCATCCAGGTCGAACACCACGATCCGCGCCGGGGTGGACAGCCGCGCAGTCAGCAGGGCCGCCAGGCCGACGGGCCCAGCGCCCACGATGGCGACGGAGCAGCCCGGGGCGATGCGGGCGTTGAGCGTGCCGCACTCCATGCCCGTGGGCAGGGCGTCGGACAGGGCGACCGCCGCCTGGGGATCCAGGCTCTCCGGCAGGGGGTACAGCGAGCCCGCGGCGTGCGGGACACGCACATACTCGGCCTGCGTGCCGTCTATGAGGTTGCCCAGCTGCCAGCCGCCGCCCGTGCAGTGGGAGCACATCCCACGATGACACGCGGCACAGGCCCTACAGGCGGTGATGCACGCCAGCAGGACAATATCGCCGGGGCATAGGGTTGGCGGCACGGCGGAGCCCACCGCGACGATGCGACCGACGCCCTCATGGCCGAGGACGCGGCCACGGTCGACTGTTGGCACGTCGCCGCGTAGAATGTGCAGGTCAGTGCCGCAGATGGTGCTGTACAGCATCTGCACAAGCGCATCGCCGGGGGCTTCAATCACCGGTTTCGGCCGCTCCTGGACCTCCGGCAGGGCGGCCCCGGTGTACACGACGGCCTTCATTGTCTAATGGCGGACTCAGCAATGCTATTGAGGTAGTGGTATTTATTATTAATGTTAAGTATACCTACCTCGGTCATTCTGCAGGTAATGGGAAAAGGATGAACACTAGAAAAGTTTGGGAGGAAGAGCTGTCAGAGTATGATAGCTTTATATAAATGTAGAAGTTAGTATAGACTAGAATATTTTTAAAAGCACATAATATTACCATGTGATAAATATCATGATCAATGATATCACCAATTCTCCAGCCTGTTCCATGGGTCCTTGAACCTTTTGTAGAGTAAATAGTAAGCACCAGACAATAACCCTATCCAATGGCTGGGATGAGAATGTTGTGTCACATTTAATATACCCTTTAAGTTATAACACACGTCCACTTTTCAAGTGGGGGTAGATTATCACTAGAAAGGTTATAAGCTTTAGCTCTACTCTATGAGGTATGCTATTAGGCAGCTTTCTTATAGGGACGGCGAAAGAGACCGTATATTAAACATAGACAATAGCATCATAGTTCTTAGTATTGTGATGTTAGGCCTCCCGCAGGCCTTTATATACATTGCCAAGAGGCCTAGATCTCAATTGTATACTACCTTCAGGGTCCCAAGATTCTACCGTTTGACCGTAATAAGCTGCAGGGCAAACTGATTCCCAAACGGCCTGGTGCTTCCTTGAATCTCTCAATATTCGGGAGCTTACTTGCAGGGAAGGTTGAGCATTAATTCAAATAAGTGTTGACTGATATATTGATCAAGTCTCAGGGTGCATATCTTTAATATAGATAGAGGCTCCTTTATTATGTTATAAATCCAAGAATAAAATATACCTGCTTATATACTTAAAGAATGCACTGAATACTCCATAATTATAGATTAGGCCTACTAGGTATCTATATGTGACACAATGCAAGGGGTGAGGACCACCCATAGCTATATAATAGAGTATACCATAATAAATTGGAATATCAAAAATGCAAAGATGCCTCTCCGTGGAAACCAGCTCATGGCTGGCATCACCGCCGCGTGTGGAATGGGATTTCTCCTCTTTGGATGTAAGTTCTGGTTACTCGATACAGTGGGCTCGGTTCTAGCTAACTGTACCACTATAGATGACCAAGGGGTAATGGGAGGTGTTATTGGCTCTCCCTCGTTTGTTGAACAATTCAATCATCCTACTGTACAAAGTATCCCTCTGCAACATACAGGCCTTCTTTTTACTGATAGAATGAGGCCCTGCAACAAGGCTTGATCACCGGACTATACGACCTCGGTTGTCTTATTGGCTCTATAGCCAGCTTCGTCTTCGCTGAGAGGATAGGGCGGAGGAAATCAATTGTATGTTTTTTAACCCTAATCTCTAACCCTTTGACTAGAACAAATCACTAAAGCATGTAGTATATTGGTGCTGGGATTGTTACCATCGGCACAATCCTTCAAGTGACTGCAAAAACTACCAGCCATTTGATAGTCGGGCGGATTGTAACAGGGTGTGGAGTGGGAATCAACACTGCCATTATTCCTACAGTGAGACTTTACTCTTATAGATCCATATTATGATACCTTTATTGATTCTATTGATAGTGGCAAGCTGAGGTCTCCCCTACTCATCAACGAGGCATCTTGATTACTGTCGATGCTGCATTAATTATCGCAGGCCTGGCGATCGCCAACTGGGTGGCCTTTGGCGCATCGTACGCCACATCTTCATTCCAATGGCAGTTCCCTATTGCCCTGCAGGTTGTATTTTCACTCGATTTACTACTCACTGTCCCCTTTCTGGTCGAGTCCCCTCGTTGGACGGCCCATCACCGCTCTCTAGAAGAGGCGACGACGCTCATCACCCGATTGTATGATGTGTCCGAAACAGATAGCATTGTGATTAAGACCCGCGATGAGATCGCAAAGGCCCTCGAGGAGGAGCGGGGGGGTGAGTGGTGGGAAATCTTCCGGAATGGAGAGCAACAGAACCTCCGGCGGATGCTGCTAGGGTTTGGAGTCTTGTGTATGCAGCAATTGAGTGGGATAAAGTATGCTTATATTGATACTTGCAGTGACCCAGGGATCTACTGACTGTCTATTGATAAGTTCCATTGGGTATTATTTACCAGTGATCCTTACAGAATATGTTGGGCTTTCCCCCACCCTCTCACACATCCTTTCCTCCATCGCAGCTGTGCAGTTCTTCCTCTTCGCCCTCCTCCCCATCTGGTTTATTGAGCGTGTTGGTCGGCGCACGTGTATGATCTGGGGGGCTCTGGCGCAGATGATGGCTATGATATTCGTGGCGGTGGGCTTCAATCTCCCTCGAGGAGGTCCCATCTTGATTACCGTCATGTTTTTTCTATTCTATGATGCATGTGCATTGAGGTATGTTCTATGAGCACTTCATCTATAGTCATCCTCCTAAACTCTTAGTTATGTTCCTGTGCCATGGATGTATGCTCCGGTAAGTACCCTGCCGACTCTAGCTCTGAACCAACCTACGGAGTACTGATAAATGGCTATAGGAAATCAATAACCTCAAGATGCGCTCGAAAGGGGGGGCAATTGCCTCTGCCTCAAATTGGCTCTGTATGAAACATACATATCAAATACTGATATAATACTAATGCGATGCTAGTCAACGGAATTGTCGTCACGGTGACACCGTCCGGTCTAGCCAATATTGGATGGCGATACTATTTGATTTGTATTTCTCCTATCCTTAACGTGGATTGCTTCTGACATGTCTCAGGGATCGTTTTGAATGCTTCATTCGTTCCGATTGTGTACTTTCTCTATCCTGAAACGAAAGGGCTCTCGCTCGAAGAGATCGACCATATCTTCGAAGGGAAAAGAGGTTGGACGCAGGGAGTAAGAGTATAGTATTGATAGTGGATGGAGAGAAGACCCTTTATAGTTGACATACTCTATTAAATGGCCAGTAAAGTCTAATTTAGAAACAGATTGATATTTTCTATCATATCTGATTCATATAAGCATGTGATTCTTTATTTTTAAAACTTTCAATTATTCCTCAATCAACTGAAATATACCTCAATCTTGGAACTCTCAAGTGCAACATTGTTTTTCCATTAGTGAAGAAGATGTAAATAACGAAACCCGCCATAATTAATACCTAAATGGGCCTAGCCAAAATTTCCACATCCCTACTCTGTAATGTTGCTTCGTGGCTTCTCAACCCATAACGTCTGCCTAAAATGGAGTCTTCAAAAAAGAGAGAATTCGAAGATGCGGGCTCTAATGACCCCCCCAAGTCAAAAGCCGCAAAATTTAATATCCACACTCTGAAAAGGCTGCAAACTGCAATCAATCATGATCCTGAGTCAGACTTGTCTGCGCAAATGCCAATGGATTACTCTGATCGTTTGATGAAAATGCGAAATGCCTCTAGGCAATCACTTGGTAAGCCGATCCCGCGCAAGATCTATCAGCCCGCTAATAATACCCCCTTCTTTTTAGAAACGTCTGACACTCGCAAGCCCCCCGAGCCGGCGAATGAGGATATTCGAGAGTCTCTCAACATTTCAGACTCTGTGGAAGTCGTCTTCCCGCTATCAGACGTGATTCTTGGATATTTGAATCTGGAAGAAACCGTGGCGAAGCCTCTTCCTGATGGATTTTCACAACGTCTGTATAAATTCATGCAAGCTAGTGAAATACTCTGGACAGGCCCTTTTCCCCGACAGAAAATGGTCTTTAAGTGTGCTCCTAATGTTGTTGTAAAGGCTGTGCGGAAGCACAGTGATCATACTGAATATACAACTCTTCAGTTTTTGCAGAATCATCGACCAAGCATTCCAGCTCCAAGACCATTAGGCCTTGTCCGGATGAGTGGAATAACATTGATATTCATAACTTATACGGCTTCCAAGACTCTTGATGATGTGTGGAAAGGATTAGATCATGCCCAAAAATCCTCAATCAGCAACCAACTCGACATGATTCTAAAAGACCTCAGATCAATCCCTTATGACCCGGAGTTGCCACTTGGAGGGGTCGCTGGTGAGGGCTGCAAAGATATCAGAAGACATCTTCGAACAAGCGACAAGCCTATTAAGACTATCATTGAATTTGAAGATTTTCTATCCTCGAGTCCTCAGGCACATAGCTCCATATTTGTTGAGCTACTCCGTCAGCTATCACTACTCTCACAGTCGCAGACGTCTTTACTAAAAGTTGTTTTCACCCATGGAGACCTTCGGCCGGATAACATCATGATAGAAATGGGTGAGGATAATCAGTTGACAGTTTCTGGACTTCTTGACTGGGAATACAGCGGTTTCTACCCTGAATATTATGAAGCAGTTCGGTGTACAAATTGTCTGGCGCCATGTGATCGAAATGATTGGTATCTTTTTTTGCCTAAATGTGTTTCTCCCAAGCGTTATGCTCAATGGTGGCTCCTGGACCGCGTTCGAGAGACGATGTTTTTATAAAAGCAGAAGCCATACTAGATAATAGTACCCTTGTTTCCTTTTAGTATCTTCCTTACCTCGACGTAGTCCTCATCATCCTCTTCGAAAATAATTCCTCCTCCAGTTTGTCAAGTACTTCCAACGCAAAGTCCTGGCAGTCCCATCCAACAGTCTCGTTATCCACATGCTGAGTACTTGCTATATTTGCCTTCCCAGTGTCGTCTTTTAGTGTGCTGACGTAGAGAATGCCGACAAAACTCCTCGCATCTCGGGCTAGGCATTCACCACGCTCCAGATATAAGCCATTCTTCATGGTCATTGACGAAAAATGGCCAGTGCGGGAAGTTACCCTATTGAGGTCGATGAAACACCATGTAAATCTTAGGATATCCCATAATATACCTCATGTTTTTAAATAGTAGGTTTAAATAAGAGCATCTATCAAATTATTCATAAACCCAGAACAGCTACCTTATATTCTAAAGCTGATAATTCTTTCAATAATATATACACCAAATCAAGCCTATAAGTACAGCACATGCCCCTTTCCATGTCTCCTTTCATACTCACTGGGAGGAGATTGCTTTTGGTTTGAGGGATATAATAGGATAACATATGAGGATGCGCAAAGAAGACATTTTGATTATTTAACCAGCGGTTTATATCAGATTAGAAAAACCAATTTAAACAAGGAAGAGCTATGAACACTAGAATATTACTACGTACTATACTTTCAAGGCTCACCTACTGTTAGATACTAAAAGCTTTCTTGGAACTATTCAATAAGGAATGAATTTAGGGTTTTCTTCTTTTCTTATAGAAATACATTTTACCCAAGTGCTACAAACATGCTATCCAGTATACCAAGATTTATGTTTAACCCTGTGAGCCAATACATCAGGTTTAGTATGCATTAGTTACCCCTCTATCAGTGATTAATAATCAGACTATATCTAGCTTACTCTAGCCATTCTTTCCCTTCCTCCATGTATCTTGTATAATAGAAAACTTGTCTTGAAATGCTCCCACCCGAGCTCTGGGCAATGGTCGCCTTTTATCTTGCCCGCCTGGATCAACCGGCCTGGCAAGGCTGGCGCCTTCGCCAGCTGAATCGGACCTTCAAGAATGCAATAGAAAGCTATTACCAGGAGCAATACCTGCAGAAAGCATGGCTCCTGGTTGACTGCAGTGATTTCCTTTCCTCCCGCTATGATGTGTTACGGGAAGAGTATCATTTTGCTGGTGTTGATGGGCGGATGGTGCTGTTAAAGAGCGACGGGATAGACCTTGACAGACAGAAGGAAGTGGAGGTACAATCTTTCCACAGCATATTATATACCAACTTCTTCAGTTGGTTACTTGTTCATTCATTCATTGCGTTATTCCTGATTTAGTCCTTCCGTCGCATCGATGAAACGGTGTCCACCTTTCCTGAACGAGGATATAACCCCTTCCGACTGCTGTTTGTTCCCAACGGAGCCACCGACATGATGCCAATGGATCTGTTGTTCATGAAGCGCACCCCAAACCGCTACTATGCCTTTGACTGGCGGGTATATTTCTCGACTCTGTTCTACGAGTTGGAGGAAATTGATCGCCGGAAGAGTGAATGGGGGGTATTTACTTTATTACTATCAAGCCTAGTTTTCTTATACCTATCTGATGATGTTTTCAGGAATCCACTCAAGTCGGTCTCTCAATCCGTCTGCAACAGACGGAGCTGACTCCACCCGAAGTCGTCCACCGCTTGACTGAGGCAGCCGGTACGCTCAATGTCGGCCTCGACGGGCGACTGCGGGAGCTGCGACGGCGACGGCGCTTTCGGCTGGGAAGCCGGTCAGGCCAGGTTCCGCTGGGCTCTCAGCGAGTGTACTTTGCCATTGTGCAGGAACGCTTCTGTGTCTTGGACGAGGAGTATGTGGCGGGGAGGTTATTCCGGGAGCAGGTCCGATTAGCAGAGAGGGGAGTTTATCTCGAGTGGTGATAGCAGTCTTGAGCTTGGTTCCATGATTAACGAATGAATATACAGTTCAGAGCATTGGTTAACAGTTCTCCCCCCATCCCATCTCCAAGCGGTACCCCTGTCTTACACGGCCCAGTCCTCTAATGACATGCTCGACATTGTGAACAACCGAGGCTTCGCCTGTGATATCTCGCCCGTAATCGGCCGCGGAACCCCCGCTGCTGCCGGTTGTTAACCCTAGCAGCTGCTCCGTTCTGACTCCCTGGAGCCGGTTGGCATCTAGCCGGGTCAATACCTGGTGATCCGAGGATCGATTCCACGCCGCCTGCATCACGGCGGGACCCCAGTAATCGGCCAGAGTGGTCTCGTCGAGTCCCCGGGCGTAGCGCCTCGCAGGTCCGGCGCCCATCCAGGCGCCAGCGTCTGATTCAGCAGGATCCAGCGAGGCATGCCAGGCTGTGCTTAGCACCTCGTACCGCCGCTCGAGCAGCCAGATCACCGGCCAGGTGATGATCCACAGCTGCAGCACGACGCAGGCAAACCATACCCAGCGGTTCCTGCGGAGTCGGTTGATCCAGTGCGGCGAGTAGATGGTTACAGATCGGTGGGCAAGCGATAGCGACAGCTGCACGGTGCCGAGGTAGTTGAGCGCGCGGAGATGGGAGGCCAGTCGTTTGCGAAAGGCGTCTTCGTCAAAGCCGTCAAGGGTTCGATGGAGAGTGAATCTGATAGTGACATCTAGTTAGCAGACGGAATACATCGATAGGTAAGAGGCATTACGATTTGATAGGCGAGGGATCGGCGCAGAACCGCTCGCACCATAGCATCAGATCTGGGTCCATCTCTCCCTGCTCCCCGTCGTTTTCCTCTCCATCAGCCAGAAGGGCCGTCTCACTTTCGGGCAGAGACGAAGAAGTCTTGTTGGTTGTTGCTTTTGGGGGCTTATAGCTCCGTGACCGGAGGTTCCCTCCTCGATAAGCAGCCCGTTCATCTCCATCCCGAACAATATCAACCGCCACCCAATTATTATTATTATCATCATTATCATCATCATTATTGTTGCTGGTATCTTTTCGCGGCATCCTCCCCTCCCACCCGGTCAGCATCGTCTCGGCGAGATCAAGAGCGAAGCGGAAATCGACAATGGTTTCTTCTTTCGAACTCTTCTTGCCTTCGTCGGTGGTCTTGGTGTGTGAACCGCACACGCTGAGGATCGGTCGGGGCGGGAGTCTCATCTGCTGGCGAAGAAGACGGAGTAGAGCCTCGCTATCGCTCGACAGGGAAGCAGCCAGGGTGACATCGCTGGCTTGTTGGGCTGTGGTGCCGGAGCCGCCGGGGAGTTCGTAGGAGGAGTTGAGGAGACGGGCAGTGTCTGAGGAGGGTTCAGCGGGGTGCTGGTCTTGATAGGGCGGCGGGGGGTCTAACAGGGAGTTCAACGACTGTGACGAGGGACTGGTTCGTAAGCCCATTTCCATCTGTTTTGATAGGATTAAGGAATGTCTTCCGAGGCCAAGGGACAATGTGAGAACGTCCAGCAAGATAAAGCTACTCCGAATAGGCTCTAGGCAGCAAGGAAGTGCAGCGGGGCTGTTTTTTGAGACTAACCCTAAATGGCGAGCAGTTCCTGCTTTACACCTTATCTTTGGCACTACCTGCATCTGGACTAGCGCAAGTGATTGACTGATCAGTCAATCATGAGATCTTTTATCTTTCGGCCGACATGATCGGATCACACAAAAACTTCAGAATTCTCTGCGCCAAGTGATCTTTGGACGATATCCATCAGGAACTACAGAACCATGAATCCGCCAGAACTGGAGCTCGAGGACATGATGCCCTCAGGCACCAGGATCATGTCCATTGAAAATCCTGGCCTGACGCTTGAGATGGTGTCGTCATCACCGGGCGAACACAACCCGTTATGGAGAGAGATTGTGGTCACCTTTAGCCCGGCGTAAGAAGAGCTCACCCATATGGCTTTCTTTCCATTTAGTTTATTTGGTCTGCCTCGTAACTACTGACTGACTGGCTGCTCAGATGGTTCACTGTCTCAATGGGAACCGGGATTGTCTCCATCCTGCTCTATTACATCCCCTTTACAGCCCGCTGGCTGTATTATCTCTCCATCGTCTTCTTCATCCTCAACACGGTGCTCTTCTTTTCCATCCTCTTCATGCTCATCCTGCGTCTTTTCCTAGCCCCCGGGTCCTGGCGATCAATCCTGCACAACCCATCCCAGGCGCCCTTCATCAGCACCCTGCCCATTTCCTTGAGCACGCTGGTAGAGATGTGGGTGTTCATCTGCGTTCCCATTCTGGGCGATTGGGCCAGGACAATGGCATGGATCCTGTGGATGGTCAACGCCGTCATTGCGGTGGCAGTGACCACCTCGCTGACCTTCTTCCTCATCACCAAATCATCTCTCAACTCGCTCGACATGTTCAACGCCGTCCAGCTCCTCCCCATCGCTGCCACCATCGTGGCATCGGGCGTGGGAGCCGAGGTGGCGGGTATCATTCTCGACGCGCACCGTGCCGCGGCCATAGTGGTCGCCAGCTATGTTCTCTGGGGGATGGCAACACCGCTGGCCGGCGTCATCCTAGTCCTTTATTACCAGAGACTGATCGTGCATAAACTCCCTGCAACCGAGGTGATTGTGACCTCGTTACTCCCGCTGAGCCCACTGGGCTTCGGCTCCTACAGTATCATGTACCTCGGCAAAGTGGCGCGCACCGTCTTCCCCGAAACAGACATTCTCGATTCGGCAGCGGGACAGGCAGCGTATCTGTTCGGCTTCTTCATCGCCTTGATCATGTGGAGTTTTGGCATTACCTGGCTCGTTCTCGCCATCGCCGCCATCTACCGCACCTGGCCGTTTTCCTTCAATATGGGTTGGTGGGGGTTCACCTTTCCCACCGGCGTCTTTGCAGCCAGTACCATCCAGATCGGGCTGGAGATGCACTCGGTTTTCTTTCGTGTTTTGGGGACGGTCTTCAGTGCGGCAGTCATCATCCTTTGGATTCTCGTCGCCGCTGCCACTGTTCGAGATATCTACCCCAGAGTCTTTTCCTTCCGGCTGGATCCAAAGGAGTAGATTCGTCGTCATTAGGCGTTGTTTTGCATGTCACAAAAAGCTGTTTCAATAGTGATAGATCATAGATGATAGAATAGAGGCGGCAAGTCCCTTGCGCCGCGAGAGGGAGACTCAGACTCAGTGTGCCTGTGATCCTACATGTAGACTCACGTTCAAGGTAGGAGATCATGATTTTGTATCTGAAGAAAAAAGGCAGAAATGAAATTGACACAGCTTGGCTGATCTTTCTAGCCAGTTCGACAATTAGAGTCGGGCTTTCTAGTTGCGGCAATCAAGATGTCCATGATGAGTCAGTGCCTGAAATCACCATTGACCGCAAACTGTCGATCCGGAAACCAGACTACATCATTGGACTGCGCCATCCTGAAGAGTTGAGGACTCGCTGTCCCGGTCATCAAATGGGACGTATCGCTTCAACCCTATTGTCTGGTTTCTAGCAAACCAAGGTGACGAATGGAGAGTGTATGCCTGTGTTCCTGGTGGTAAACAAGGTGATGAAACAGTATGATATAGTTTATAGTAATCATCTAAAGGAATAGAGAAAAATATATAAATACTAATATCTCTAAGTATATTATTAATCTTTAATCATATAGGATGACTGTGCGCTGCAACTCCTCTTACTCACTAATATAATCTATAACTATAATCCTGATATATATATAGCCTCTTCTGCATCCCGCACAGTTGCATCTGAAGGCCATAAGCCATATAGAAAGTTGCGTGTGCATTTCACGCCGCACACTTATTAGGTGGGAGCTCTATTACTAAAAGAAGAATACTTCTGGCCATTGTATTCGATGAATCAGATGTCCACGATCTAGAGAAAATGGCCCAGAAGGTTCGCGATATCCTATCCCATCGGAGTTCCTCGCAACAGCAGGGCGGTTTTGACGAGGGAGAGGATGCTAAACTGTTGCAATGGTCCGAGCTTTTGAGCAGAGGCATAAACCCTTGCAAACAGCTCAGCTAGTGGCGCTGGTGGATGGCTTGTCGAATTGAATTGTAACTATATCCGATTACTCGGCGTGTGATTTATGAGCCTCAACCTGGAGCATGTCAATACCAGCCATCTGCAAGCCAGAATCCGCAGCAGTTTGATCTAATGTCTAATTGGAGAGTACAAGTACCAGATATTTGATTCCACTGGTAGGAGTGTCCTGTCTCTGAAGTTGAGGTTGGAGACGAAATGGAATAGAGTAAGAGCCTGGTGTTACGACCCATATTTTGTGTGATCCTTAATATATTGCTCAGCTGATGGTTGTAGATCAAGGGATACTGTATCATTGCGTCTAGTAAGTGAGATCAGACCATATGGAGACTTTAGGGTCATTCCAAGGCGAGATGTGTTTCATTCTTTAACCACAAATCCCTCCCATTATAGCAGTGACTTTCAATGTCATATTATATTCTTTCAAGGATTACAGTATTTAGACAAGAATGAGATTCAAAGATCAACAACGCTATATACCTAATCAAGGAGATGACCGTATCATACGACACAACCCTATTCCAGAGGCGAATGACAGACAAAAGCGCCCTCCTGCGGCTCGGCATAGACTTCAATCAAGCCCTCGATAGCGGACCAGATACCGATGCCCGCGGTAGCCAGCGCGCCGAGGAAGTAGATGACGTTAAAGACATTGACGTACCAGTATTTCGCGAAGAAGCCGCGCCAGATGCGTGGCAACCCCCCATCATGCCTGAGAGTCTGTCCTGTGGCGGGATCGAAGCCCTCGCCCGGCAGCACAGCGTGGCGCTGGATGTTGTAGGCGATATGCAGAAAGGGCGGGAATGTATATGAGAACTGCAGGATACAGACGGCGGAGGTGATGGCTGTGAAGTCACTGAAGGCCGGGATGGCGGCCCCCACGATATAAGCCAGCGACCAGTAGATGGGGACGAGGGCGATCCAGATGAGTTTGCCGGTGGGGTGGGTTAGGGGGGGGGGCATGGAACCATTCGACGCAGATGATATTGTAAATCACTATGAGACGAGTATATCATGTTAGGAAGATGGAATTACAAATGAGGAGGAAGGGATAGGTAATACCCTTTGCACCGATATTTCCATAGAGAATGGCGGCAATCAAAGCCGAGACCATGGCCATGACGTTCCCGGCAGTCTGGATGGAATAGCCCGGGATACTGAGATAGCTGGGGTTGACACAGTACTGGCCCTGGAAATGGTACATGATCATGCCGTAGACCATATAGCACAGATAGATGAACAGCTGGGCAGACCACATGCCCTTGAGGAAGTCGCGGGGCTGGCGCAGCTCCGACATGAACTCGACGAAGATCATCGCCCCGCCGTACGCGTACACGGCCTGCATCAGACCGACGATGGCGGCGCTGAAGTTGGTGGTGTTGGGCAGGCCGACCGAGGTCTGCACGGGCAGCCAGCTGAACTGGCGCAGGGTGCGGATCTGGCCGAGGAAGAAGCCGATCAGGGCCCAGACGAGACAGCAGACGGCGTAGCAGAGGTTGAACTTGGCGGCTTCGGAGAGGGCCTGGCCGTTGGAGATGATGATGGCGGACACCATGAAGATCAGCTGGATGACCTGCAGGAAGTTGAACACATGGCGGACAGTGTGGCCGTACACGCGGAAGGCGATATCCCCGTAGTTGTTGAGGGGGAATTCATGGGAATCAAGGCCTGTAGATTGTTAGTAGGGTTAGGGTTAGGGTTAGGGTTGGGGTTTGTTGTAGGTAATGCTAGGGGTGTAAAGATACCCATAAATGCACTCCACAGAAGATAGCCTGAATATATCCTGCCATGAGACCAAACGCAGTGAACATGCCGAAGCCAGGCCTGGAATGAGAAGCTATTAATATTTACCAAGAATAAGGAGAAATGACATACCCCCATCCAGTCGTTGCAAGAGCATAGGGCAAGGAAAACGGCCCCAGGATATCGGTGGTGATGAGATAGAACACAGCGCCCGCACTGGCTGTGCGCACAGCCCGCGAGGCGTTTGCCCACTCCTCATCGCTGATGTGCATGCGCTGTCGCAGATCAGAGACGTTGTGATGCACCGTGTCCTCGGTAAGAGGCTCCTCGGTTTTCAGGTTGGGGATCAGCCGGGTGAGGATGGCCTGCACGCCGCTTGCCTCTGGCGGGGGGGGGAGACTGTCCTCCTCTGCGCGGGTGCGGGCGGCATAGTATTGGTATTCCTCAAAGGTGACGCCCGTGTCGTGCAGCAGACGCATCCGGGGGCGGATGGTTGAGGCCACGGGGGGGGGCTTTTTCGTCGGCCATGATTGGAATAAATGAAGGAAATGATGGATGGGATTAATGATGGATTTGAGAAAGGATCCATTTATATATAGTAGTCTAAGGAGTGGACATGATGCTTGTCTTGCGTGGTGTGATGATCATTTACTAATGGCTTGTCATATTACATTGTAATGCAACCCCACTTTAGAGTATCACTAGAATATGTCTATATTATAAAAGAGGATTACAGTGTATAGTATTATATTATATTATATCTATTAACAGGTTTATGTATTAAATCATATATATTAAGGGGTATAATATAGGATAGTATTATAATAAGTATCTTATAATAGAGTATCTTATACTTATGGTAACTCAGTCTGTCTATCACCGTCGGTGTCCGGTATCACATGCTGACAGTTGAGTCATGCAACAAGGATTATAGTATGAATAGATAAAGGTATCAATATGAAGCTTATAAGAGTAGTATACAACTATGTATACAACTTGTCTCTAGTAGGCTCCAGGACATCTAAAGAGGTAAAAGAACAATGAGGATCCGGGGACTGGGAGATGACCTCCCCCCACATGACAGGCTTGAGGGCAGCGTCTGTATCATCCGCCGGCGGATGACACAAGGCACTGATGGCAGCACTGCAATGGGCCGCCAGCGGGATGCGCGATTTGAACCGGCGCAGACTGATGGCCAGCAGGACGAGGAGGAGAATAGACTCGAGGAGCAGGGCAATGAAGACGGCCAGGGGCGAGTAGCAGCAGCCCTGGCTGGAGGCGTCCTCGTCGACCGTGCCCATGACGCTATACACGGAGATGGTGATGAAGAAGAAGCTTTCCGACAGCAGCCAGTGGAAGAGGGCGGCGAGCACCAGAAAGGGCACGCCGTACCGATAGGGCATGGCGAGGTAATAGCGGGATCGCTGCTGGCCGTGCGGGTTCGAGACACGCAACGGTTTGCGCTGCGTCGCGTACTGGTCGTATTCGGCCGCGAGCAGCATGGAGGTCAGGGCGCCGTTGACGAGCACGTACAGAAGCGAGAGCACCAGCTGCGGCGTGTTGCTCAACAGCACCGTCGCCAGGATCCCGCCCCCTCGCATGTCGATGTTGGTCAGCGTGTCTGTGTTCGCCTTGCCAAACCCTAAGGAATACTGGTCGGACAGCGTGAGGCCCTCCGAGGCCAGCGTGTACAGATAGATGGAGACCAGCTCGGTGAAGAGCAGCAACACGATGATCACCGTCAACCGCTGGCCGCCCACGGCTTTGAACCAGAACCGCCTTTTTTTCGGCAGGCGACGGGCCATGGAGGTCGGAGTGGCTACGGTTGATTGTATCATCATCCCCTTGGCCCGGTTGTTGTCCAAAAGCGTCATGGGGAGGATGTCCGGGGAGGAGCGCAGCCCTAACCCTAACCCTAACCCTAACCCTAGCCGTGAGACTAGCCGTTTCCGGAGGATCAGTCGGCGCCCGCCCCATTTGGACGCGTCGGCCTGAGACATCAGGCAGCAACCGTCTGTAGCGGGATCGGGCCGGTCCAGGAACGAGGCCACGGCGTCGCCGACACGCAGCAGCAGCATGGAGCGGCCGTTGCGGGCGGCGAGGAACATGCAGACCACCTTGGCGAGGTTGGCGAGGAGGACGACGAGGGCGATGAGCGGGCTGAAGAAGAGCTGGCAGCGCTGTGCGACCTCCCTGGTCATGCAGTACTCGATGGCGGTGGGGGTCACCGTCGTGTTGACGACGATGCCCAAGACACTGTCGGTCCAGTTCACGGGCGCGACGGTCCAGTTGCCGCGGTCGATCTCGTCGACGAGCATCGACTTATACCCGTCGTCGACCATGTCGTAGATGGAAGTGATGGCGGCGATGTTGTCACTGAACTCCAGCGCGGCTGCCATGCTGCTTGCGTTGCCCATGGCGAGCCGGTCGACGACCAAGACGAGCGTGCCCAGGTGCGTGTTGTACTGCACGTCGTACTGGTTGAAACATTCGCGCGTCGTCAGGTTGTAGAACGTTCCATTGAACAGCTCTGCCTGGACGGTGGACGGCGGCGATCCGACCGCCGTTTCAAATGCATACGCCTCCCTCCAGCCGTTCACCAGGGGCTCGTCGGGCTGCAGATCGTTAGGGATGACCATCATCCCATAATCCAGCGACGTCATGGACGAGAAGATGACCGAATTGGACCTACAGTATAGGTCAGTTTGCTTCACCCATGATTGTGTTTATCACATGGCGCTTTCTTACAGCATATGGATCGGTATCGAGCTGAAGAAGAGAAACGCCCACAGGATCTTCCGTCTGGTGTCCATCGAGACGAAATTGCGGATGCTGAAGATGCCCACGTCAAGCCACTGCCGCCGGCGATGGGCGACGTCAATGTCTGCCCGCGTAGGGGCGGCCAGACACTGCATCACGTAGTTGCTGGCCCCCAGAAGCAGCGTGCCCAGGATGTTGATAAGAACGTGGATTCCCGTCGCCCAGTGCCGGGACACGCTGCACTGGCCATCGTACAGAGATGATTTAACAAAATGATTGCCACTGCTGCTGCTGCTGCTGCTGCTTTCTCGGATGGCGATCCCCGTAGCCACCAGGGCCAGTATGATATTGATGCAGAAAACAACAGTCGACGAGATACTGCAGATTAAAGCGCCGACAATCCACCGGTCGTCGAGATTATCCGGTCGGAAGGGCCGGGGAAGGTACGACAGCAGCTCACGGGCACGAGAAATCCATTTCCCCCGTTGTGGTGGCCGTCGCGGGCGTCGAGGGCGTCGAGGGCGTCGAGGGCGTCTAGAAGTGGAATGTCTGGCCTGGGAATGGACCAGGACGGAGTCTTCCATATCCGTTAGTAGATGGGCACATTCTGTTTCTGAGTAGCAGCTCTCTATCAATAACCACCACCTTTCACTGTTTCACGTGTTGAATTTCGATAGGGGCGGATCCACTTTTCGATGGGGCGAGCAGGTGTCGATTGGCTGGAGGACTCCAAGGCTGCAGCAATCAATGGCCTATGATTGGTGGATAGAGGATCTACCCCCAACTTCCTGTCCAATTATCTTAGAGCACTAGATATGGAGAATGTTAGATATCCAAGTTTGGTTTATTGTCTTGGCTGTTGACTCTATTTCCTATCTTTCAGGGTTAACCCTATGCACCTATTATGCCAGACCCAATAAGTAGCTAGTTTGATCTGTAGGGCATCCACTGGTAAACCCGCCGGTTGGCTTGTTGGTGACGGCGTACAGACACTCGGCGGGGAACGGTTTGACGTTTGTCTCGTAGAAGGAGATGTACGTGAAGATATCTGTATATTATATATTGTCAATGAATTATAGATATAGTATAAAGCTATATGAAGAATTGAATGATATTAAGTAGAGATAAATATTCCTCTAACTCTAGTCAAACTAGGAATAATACACCTTAATACTCATGCATCAGTATGTAAGCAATCATATTATATATATTATATAGATAGAAATAATTAACACCAGAACTTGCTATAATTGTAATCTCCACATGTCCTGTAGACGAAGACTAGGAGGGCGGGCTGATGGTCCTCGCCGTGGAGTGCCTGGGCGAGGAGACGTACGCGCCTCCCCACGATGGTCTTTCTGCCTGTCTAGACATATCTGATCAACTGCTCCATGTGGGGGCCTATTGTCCCTTCCCAGAACAGTTATTATACTCTAATTAATTCTTATGATCATTTAAATATATAGTAAGAGACGGTATGACATGCTTTTATAGATAAGTTTAAAGCTTACTAGGGATAATCTCTAGGAAATACCAAATATATTCCCTACATATAGTTGATTATTATCGAAGACTGCCTTGCACACTGAATCCAGCCATAACTTGTACCACAGGGAATTGTTCTATCCGGCCAAGCTATGCGATATATATATAAGAACATCCAGAGATTTCTAGTGCCAAAAATTGCCAACAAAGCCGTCAAGGCCTTAATGTGTGGTGGCAAATGCCGTGACCTGCCGAGTGTAGACAGTGTGTTGGTCCTCCCTGTGGTATACGTGTCGTCCACAGCATTATAAGAGATAATAGATATTATAATAGACATTAGTATTGACTATAGTCCCTAGGGCGTAAGTGGCTTTAATGACATATATATCTAGAATATATATAATGCCCCTTTTGCATCAAGCATGCTGTTTCCTTCCCTTACTAGAAAAGTGAGAAAGGAGTGGAAGAGAAGGAGTTGCTACAAAGCAGCAGGGAAGGTTAGCCCACACTATACCTAATTTATTAGAAGTATTGGTAGTGAAATCAGAATCAAGGCATTATAAGGTACAAGAGACCAGTAATCATCACTATATATATCTTTATGACCAGAGATGATTAGAAATGATCATGGAAATTAAATAAACTGCCGCATTGCTAATTCTATAAGCCAGGATACCTAGCTACAGGGCTGCTAAGTAAGTCTTTACCCTAAGGACATCAGGATATCTTTTAGTAATGAGATAACCGAACGCGCTTGTAAGCACTTATGTACCACCTGAGGTTTGGTATAGAAATTCATATGAGACGACATAAGTAGAACCTCGGTGTAGTTGTAATGTACCAGCCGATTGGTAGACTGCTGTCCTCTACCGGCATATTCCATCTTCCCCGGTCGGCTGAAAGTCCCGCTTTCAGACTAGAAGTTTAATAATATTGTCTGCTCAATAGGATCAAGTTGAATAACGCCACATATGAATAGTTACTGTGCTACATATGCACCCCATATCTGTACCCCAGGAGTCATAAGTGCTGATTAATAAGTTATCACCCTGAAGCATCAGTTGATGGCTGTTAAGACATACTCGATTACAAATATATACCTATGACCCGACTGACTTCGCCCCGAGTTCACCGAGAATTAGGATCGCTCTGAATCAGTCCAGATCCACGTGGGGAACCTTGCGAGGATCTTGGATCTGGATGGGCCCCGGCTGTGTGTTTAACCTACCACGTGACGTGTCTAGCGTGGCGTGACCAAAATCCTCTCCGCTGATTGGCTTCCCTGCCCCGGAAAAAGGTTGTCCAAAACTTTAGCACGCACTCCAGCAAGCTCTGCCATTGGCCGCCCTGATTTTGAGGCTTCAACTCCCGTTTCACTGCACCTCATCGGGCCTAGCCTCGGTCCAGTGTCAACCCGATCGGCAGGTATTCCCGCGAAACTGCGAGGCCGAGATTTTCCCTCCCCGCAACCCCAGAATTCCCCGACCGAACAGTCTGGAGGTCGTCTGGAGATATTTATTCATCGATCCCTCCACCATCATCCCCCATCTCTCCATCCCTCCATCCATCTGTCTTCTTCACTTTTCTCTTCCTCTCATCTCTTTCTTCTCCTTCTTCACCATGACCAAAGTCGAGGATCCTCAGGTGGAGCGGGTGGAAAATGCGGGCGCCAAACTGCGGCCGGAACTGGACGAGATGCAGGGCCGGGCGATCCAGCAGCAGGAGCACAACCGGGGCTACCTGGAAACGCTGCGACGGGACCCGAAGCTGCTGTTCTGGATCGGGGTGATGCTGTGGGCGCTGATTGTGCGTGGGTTCGAGGGGACGGCGGCCGGGACGGTGATCAGCATCCCGGCGTTCAAGGAGCGGTTCGGCAAGTACGAGGCCAGCACGGGCTCGTACTACATCGAGACGAGCTGGCAGTCGGCGCTGAGCGGCGGCGGCAACGCGTCGGCGATTGCAGGGGCGTGGATCGCCTCGTTCCTGTCGGACGTGATCGGGTTGAAGCCCGTGCTGATCGGGGCGGCGGCGCTGAACATCGCGTCGGTGGGCATCGAGTTCGCGACGACCTCGGTGCAGATGTTCTTCGCCGGCAAGGTGGTCAACTACGTGGCCATCGGCGCCCTGCTGAACCTGTGCACGGCGTACGTGGCGGAGATCTCGCCGCTGGCCATCCGGGCGTCGGTGATTGGGTTCTGCAACCTGTCGCAGTGCATCGGCCCCTTCATCGCGGCGCTGATGGCGTACCGCACGGAGAAATGGACGACGGACTGGTCGTGGAAGTCGCTCATCTGCACGCAATGGGGGTTCGGCGTCGTCGCGTTCATTGCCCTGCTGTTCATGCCCGAGTCGCCCGTGTATCTGGTGAAGAAGGGCCAGCTCGCCGCCGCGCGCCAGTCGCTGGGGCGTCTCTACTCGGATCCGCAGGACGCCGACGGGCATCTGGTGCGCATCCAGTTGACTCTGGAGGAGGCCGAGACGCAAAACACGGGCTCGTATCTCGAGTGCTTCCGTGGCACGAACCGCCGGCGCACGCTGATCGCCATCATGTGTTTCCTGGCCGAGGGCATGTCGGGCCTGGGGTTCGTGTCCAGCTACGGCGCCCTGATGTACGAGTATCTGGGCATCAGCAGCAGCAAGTCGTTCCGCATCCAGATCGGCGCCCAGATCCTGTCCATGTCGGGCGCGACCATCTCCTTCCTGGTCGGCGACTTGTACGGCCGGCGCCCCATGTATCTCGGCGGCTGCGTCTGCCTGTGTATCCTGTTGCTGTGCATGGGCATCTCCGGCTCCGTCAACACGGCCGCGGCCACCACCGCCTCGGTCGGCTTCTACGCCATGTTCAACTTCTTCTACAATGCCGGCGTCGGCTCCAACGTGTACGCCATCGCCGGCGAGGTGCCCACCTCGGCCCTGCGCACCAAGACCATCGCCATCGCCATCACCTGTTCCTCCGCCAGCAACACCATGTGGTCCTTTACCGCGCCCTACATGTTCAATCCGGGCTACGGCGACCTCAAGGCCCGCATCGGCTTTGTCTTTGGCTCCTTCATGTTCATCTGGGCCATTCTCGGCTTCCTCTTTGTGCCCGAGACCCGTCTGCGCACCTACGAGGAGCTCGACGAGCTCTTCATGAACCATGTCCCGGCCAGGGAGTTCCGCAAGTACGTCACCGTCGCCGAGACTCGCGCCGCCGAGGCTTTCACCATCGAGCACAAGTCCAAGGCCATTGAGCTGGAGGAGGAGTGTGTATAGTAGAGAGAATTCTCAGTTATCAGTTAAGAATGTATATAATATCCTGGCGGTGGAGTCAGACGAGGAGTTTATCTTGATGCGATGGGGGGTTACTTCTTACTTCTTATTTCTATTCTATTCTAACTTCTATTCTAACTTCCTGCATAACCGCCCATTCTGATCAGGAAGGCCATCCGCACTGTCGACCACCCAATCCTCACTGCTGACCCCCGTAGGGGCATAGAAGAGTCCCTTGGGATCGTAGACCTTCTTCAAAGCATACAGCCTGTCATAGTGATCCCCGTAAAAGGCCTGCTGGAAGTTCGGCTCCAGGATATCCGCTTCAGACATGTACGCTCCAGAGTGTGGACAGACATCGCGCCAGGCCTGCAGGACGTCAAAGGTGAACTCCTCCATCTGCTCCTTGATCTCTGCGTTGGTGGTGTTGGAATCCCATTCCGTCGAGGTGATGGCGTGCATGAGCATGGTCCGGAATGCCGGGTTGGCCGAGTCGTCGCGATACCCAGCCTGCAGCTCGGCCTTCATGTTGAACGCCAGCAAGGGATACCCGGCCGTAATGGTGGTGCGCAAGGCCTCAAGGGTCTGGTTGAACAGCGTCGCGTTCTCCCAGTTCGCCCGAGGGAAGAGCCGCGATCCCTCCATCATCGTGGGGATCCCAATCTCCTCCAGCGGGAACCCTACCTTCCAGGCGTCATGGAAGTTGTCGTAGTATTCCGTCGTGGGAGTATACTCGATCCCCAGCTCGGCGAGGAGGTCGTACCAGGGTGCCATGAGGGTTTCAAACTCGGCCAGGGTATGGTTGACGGCGAAGAAGGGGGCCATCTCGAATTCAAACTCGTCGTCGCCCAGGCTCAGCACCCAGAAATACGAATATGTGCCTGCGTCGGCCTGCTCGGGGAAGCGCTCGAACCAGGCCCGCATGGCGGTCCAGAAGGCGTCGGCCGTGACGTTCGCACTGGTGAAGCTGCCTCTCGACACGGTCACGCCGACCTGGGGATGCACTCGAGAGATGACCGAGGTTACGATGCCATAGGTTGCTAGATGGTTAGCATCGGTCTGCAGTTGAATCGGGGGGTCACTCTTACATCCGCCTCCACCCCGTAACGCCCAGAAGAGATCCGGATCAGAGGCATGGGTGACGGTAGTAAAGGAGCCGTTGGCGAGAACCACCTCCATCGCCAGCACCTGGTCGGCAGCCAGGCCGTATACGCTCGACATGGGCGAATGGCCGCCTCCGAGAAGGTATCCTCCAGCTACGCCGACGGACTGGAGTATAATTAGTGATAGTGATAGAGTGAGTTTAGGATAGGGTAGGATAGGGTAGGATAGGGTAGGATAGGGTAGGATAGGGTGGGATAGGGTAGATAGGGTAGGTAGGGTAGATAGGGTAGATAGGGTAGGTACCTCTCCCTCTCCTCCGACAGCAGTAAAGTTATACTGCTTGGACTGTTCATAGATCTCAAACGCCTGGATACCAGCGCCCATCTTGACGGCCGGGCCTGAATAGCTGTCAAGCTGGTATTCCGACAGGTACTCCATGTCCTTCATGTTGTGTGTCCAGATCCCCAGCGCGCCTTTACCCGTCGACTTGCCGTTGAAGTCGTGGCCCGTATTCTTGACCACGAGACGGAGCCCCCGGTTCCGGGCAAAGTTGACGGCCAGCTGGATCTGCGCGATTGTCGTGACATTGACGGCGTAGCTGCTGTATCCGCCGAGGGTGCACGAATCGCCATACTCGGTCGGGAGACACGTCCGGCCTTCAAACAGCGGCCACATGATCGACGAGGGGGAGGATGCACTGGAATATCAATAGATAGATTCAATAAAGAGATTCAATAGAGAACAGAAAAAGAGAGAAGTACTGCATAAAGGAATCTGTCCAGTTGGCATTCACATAGTCACATTCGGCGGCGTTGTATTCCGGCCAGGATGCATAACAGGCAGCCGCGAGGGGCACGGTGCGGATGAGAGCGCCGCCGAGGAGCGCATCGAATGTTTCCCACAGCTTGTCGTCCGGCCAGTCGGCGTCCCCAGGGAGCAGCTTGCATTTCCGTTCTTCAACCGACACCGAGGTGTTTCCAAACGAAAACAAAGACGCGTCTTCCTCTCCCAGCTCGGCGGAGAGTGTCGACAGCACGGCGGCGGTCAATTGAACGGCCTCTCCGGGGAACAGAGCCACTCCGGCCGGCGACGACGAGGAGACTGTCTGCGCGGCGATGGGCACGGAGCGAGAGACACTCGCCGAGACGAGGGGGAAGAGGACGGTCAAAAGAAGAGCCATGATGAGGGCAGTGGTTGTAGAATCCCACCTGAGGAGCTGAGGATTATAACCAAGTCTGCAGGATAATTCTCGTATTAATAACAGGGGTAATACGGCCGAGATGCGAGTTTGATTACTTTTGTAGGGATGCGAGTCAGAGGCATCAGGGGCTGACCAATGGGAGGCTGTTCCGGTTTTCGGACACGGCTCGGAACGCGCGGAAACTGACTCGCGGGGGTTTCACGTATTTACATTACCGTTATTACCATTATTACCACACCCTGAGTGGCTTAAAGACTCTATTTGCTACCCCCGGTTACTGCGTGAGTATACAGAGTATACTATCATACAGCGCAAACCTGTCATATACCCTGTTCTGTGCGTAATATGAGCACTATAGCACATATGTAGTAGGGTCTCCTTAAATGACACCCTCACCGAGGAGTAAGTCTCCAATTTCTCCCTCAATGGTGGATGACAGCCATCAGCGCACTGCTCTCGCCGTGGTCGTGGCCTTTACTCTGCTCGGAGGGGCTTCTGTCCTTCTGCGCGTCTGGAGTAAACGGCTGACACGGGCGGCGTTGAGGGCAGACGATTATCTCATCCTTGCAGGCTATGTATGTTCTCTAGAAACATCTCCTATGTGGATGAGATGGTATTGCTGATTTGGGAATTGTCAGGTCATGTCCATTGCACAATGTGTGAGCTCGTGGTATTGTAAGTGTCCCATATGTTCTATACATATAAAGAAGATTAATCCATATAGACATCAAAACCAACTATGTCGGCATTCACATCTGGGATGTCCCAACAGACTACAATGTTGAACCTGGCCTGATTGTATGCTGGGAGTGTATTTATGTTTATACCTAAGATATACTAATTCTATTGTCAGTGGAACTTTGTCAACCAACTGTTCTATAACCCCTGCTTGACCCTCGTCAAGCTCTCCATGCTCGTCTTCCTGCTCCGGCTCGAGTCGCGCTCTCGCATCGTTCACAGCCTGATCCTATTCTCCTCAGCCGTCACCATCGGCCTCTTTCTCGCCGTGCTGGTCACGGACATCTTCCAATGCCATCCTGTTCGCTATGTCTTCGACGAGTCCATCGCGGGCTCCTGTATCGACCAAGGGGTCTTCTACGTCGCCACTGCCGCCCTTAACCTCTTTACTGACCTTCTCGTCCTTTCTATCCCGATCATCATCACCGTTTCCCTCCAAATGCCCGTGAGACGGAAGATTGCGGTCTGCGCCATTCTCTGTCTAGGGATTGTGTGAGCATTCAATCTACAGCTTTGACATAATATACCATCAAGCTGACAACAACACAAAGGGCCACCGCTGTTGGGATCTGGCGCGTGATAATCCTCGCCGAGGGGTTTCTATCCAACGCCACAGATTCTGATCCAACATATAGCATCGGCTTCTGCAGCTCCGCCGTCGAGATCAACGTCGCCATCCTCACTGCCTGTGCTCCTTCGATGAAAGCCGTTGCGTCGCGGTACCTCCCCCGCCTGCTGGGCTCCAGCAGCGGTCCGTCACGCTATCCTACCTCTGCTGCATACGGCTATGGATCCAAGCTCGCCTCGCGCTCACATCACACTCCCGGAGACGCCTTTGAGTTGAATGAGGTAGAGGGGAGTCATGGCACGTCGGATCAGAACAAAACGCAGTACGCAGAGGGGAGTACAGAAAGCTTAGTGTAACTCGGTTTGTATACTATGTTGATTTCTAAAACCTACAGAATAAACAGAGCAAGTCTCAGCTAACTATACCATGGGACCATTAGAGCCCGAATTGCTTGCCCATATCTATATTTATTAAAGAGCCCAGATTACTTATAAAGAGATAGCTGGAGCCTACATAGTGCTATAGATAGCAAGACGGGAGGGTTAAGTGTATTGCATAATATCAAGTATCTGTACTCCTTACTCTAATGCCGGTATCATATAGTAAAGAGTAAAACACATGGTACAGGATATAGAGGCAGATATAAGCCCTCACTATTCATGGTTATTTAATACTGTATAGTCGTCAACTTTGTTGCCTCATACTACAGGACCTATGATAACTCTATTAGTATTCACTTAGCCAAGGCGAATACATATTCTATAAAATAAAAGTGAATGCAGAAGCTAGAACAGATGGTATATCTCTATCTATTTTTCTCTACTCTCCTTTACCCTCACTTGACTATCGCTGATGCTCCTACGGCAGTTCAATCCTATTCTTACTTAGTATGGAGTACTCTGGTGCCATGTTAGGATCACCTGCGAAAGTATCCTTCTCTTCAACAGCCAGTACAATAATTAACTAAATAATTAGCAACCCTCATTAGGTGACTTCTATATACCTAGTTCTCACTAATATATTTAACATCAGCAACATCTGATACACCAAGATTAATCACTTTATTTGACTTAAGGACATAAAATCTTCAATCTAATAAATCCCATTCTATGCTCACAGTAGGACAATTCGAATGCTATCGGATACCATTATTTTTTAAGGTGATTAATATTTGTTAGGTTTAGACCACAGCTTTTAAAGGTAAACCCTCCTGGATTATTCTACTTGAGAAGTGGCAGCTTACACCGATTTCTCTTGCTACAAGTATTTACTGTACTAGCCATACTTTAAATCTTGCAGCTCCTGTTTTCTTTTATTGTGCCGCCACTTGATTAACAACCGCCTGAAGTTCAGTATCCCTATATTACTTAATAGGCCATAATCATGCCCAACACGGTTCTGGTTATGTGCCTATTTTCTTTCTTTGGAGATTTATTTGACAGCCGGCCCGGGGAAATGAGATAGATATCCTCTTCAATAACTAGGATCTAATCAACCTTGCTATAGATCTCTGATCTGCTTACTGATCAATATTTGATTAATAGTGATCATAATTCTAGTAGTGGCTTTCTTATTAGCCATCTTGTAATATCAATTGAAATTGAACATTAAAGTATAACTAGTGATTATCATATATTTTATAAGGCCTATCAACGTGTGTATATGCCTTGTAGGAGAAGAAAAATAAGGGGGGGATAATTCAGGAGGAAGAGAAAAAGGAGTAGCGAGGAGACAAGTATTGAGTTTCTATAACCAAGAGAATCCGGCATCTTTCATAGTCTCTTATAAGCGAAATCACTGGTCTAAAATTAGTGGATAGCTGTCAAGGTGTGATGACACAGTGCCATACCTTGATAATGGGAGGCCATTTCATTAGTCAAAAGGTAAAAAGATTAAATATGCTTGATGGCCATGTTGTGGAGGAGTTGACGAGTAATTGTTGCCGTCAAATTAACCAATGATAGAATACATCACATCATCATAAATCAGCCCAATCGCCCAATCCTTTCTCATCCACCACATACACCGTAAATCAAACCGAAACCCATGATGGATATGACAGAAGCAAATCTAGACGCAGACCATCATGACAAACAGCAGGGCTGGCCTGCCGTGGCCGCCGGGTCCGCGATTTTCTTCATGTACCTGGGTCTCACGTATTCCTACGGGATTGTACAGCTGCATCTTACGCGGCAAGGCCTGGCACCTCCCTCAACGCTCTCCTTCATCGGATCCGTCGGGGCTGCTCTGGCGCCTCTAACGGGCATGCTGGTTGCGCGAGTGATGCGTCGGATCGGATACCGCCGTACCGCTTGTCTTGGGTCTCTATTGTTGGGATTGGGCGAGTTCACGGCCGGGTGGTCGACTTCTTCTGTGCCGGCAATGTTCATCACACAAGGGGTTTTATTCGGGTTGGGAGCTTCGTTGTTATTCCTAGTACGTTCTCTTTCCGGTCTCTATAAACTCATGTTTCCAATATTGATTTGTTCAGCCCGCGGCTACTGTCCCTTCGCTGTGGTTCAAGCGCAAACGAGGCCTGGCGACAGGCATCGTGTACGGCGGCGCAGGGGTTGGATCGGCCGTGATCTCGCTGTCGATGGAGAAACTGATCCAGACCAGCTCAATCAGAACAGCGATGAAGATCTTGGGCGCGGCTGCGTGGGCTGTCTGTCTCCCGGCGTCGTATTTCCTCACGGCGCCAACGCCAACAGGTAGTGATGCTCTCACTGCTCCCACCACTTCTATCTTTACCATCAGATTTCTATTGATGCTGGTCATGGGAGCGATAGCGACCTTCCCCCTATTTGTCCCTCCCTTCCTGCTCCCGCTTTATGTCACTTCCATCGGCCTCTCCAGCCAGATGGCTTCCTGGGTCCTTGCCGCCTGGAACCTGGCCTCGGCTCTTGGTCGGGTCGGGATGGGACTGGGGGCAGATACCCTCCTGGGACCCGTGAACAGCCTGTTTCTCGCGCTGGCGGTTACAGGCGTGAGCACAATTGCCCTGTGGCCGTTTGCCTCCTCGCCGGGCCTGCTGGTCTGTTTTGCCATCTTGAATGGCATCGGATCGGGCGGCTTCTTCAGTCTCATGCCTGTCGTCGTGGGCGCCGTGTTTGGAGACGGCCAACTGGCCAGTGTCATGTCGCGGTTGACGACCTCATGGACATTCGGTTATTTCTTGGTACTCCCTTACCCTTTTCATCTCTTCCTATGCTCCTCGTCAATTGCCATTTTTCTAACTGATCAGGGGAGTCCTATCGCAGGGTATCTGCTGGACGCCTATGGTGGGACAGAAGCCGGGCTTGCTGCCTTTCGCCCGGCCTTCTCCTACTCGGGCTCCTTGACGCTTGCGGGGGCTGGGTTGGTTTTGGCGGTGCGCTTCATGCTAGAGAAGCGCATTTTCACCAGAGTATAGTAGTATAGCATGGGTAGAGGGGGATATAAGTGTTAACAGACCGTGGCACTCAACCCCACTTTCGGCTGTCCGGAAAGTCAGCTGACTGAAGAGCCTGTAGGCTGTCACGTGGTCAATAAAAGCCCTAGCTGCCCTACAAACGTTGCCAAGCGAACCCTTGGCTGAAGCGGTAAAGGGCGGCAGAAAGGCAGTCAGAAATGACGTGATTATATGAGTCAGCAGAAGGATCAAAGGATCATCCTAGTATTTTCATTACTGTCAACATCTCTTCTCTGCAGTATGAGATCTCTATCTATATGACATCTATTAATGTGCCGAATATATTCTTTTGAATATCCAAGATGATGATAGGAAATCATTTAATAGAAAAAGTATACAGACTTAAGGTCTATTTATAAAGATAAAAGAATTTATTATAGGATAAGCTAATTAGCTGTATTGATGAATGAAAATTCCAAGCTCCTGATGTCGCCATCGCAGGTCCCCCAAACACCATCGCGGAGATATTCCGGACCAGTCAAAAAGACAGCCTCCCCACAGCGCGGGATGGCGTGCTAGAAGCCATGGTCTGCATATCAATCTGGCAGCCGCCGTCTGTCCATTCTTCCATCTTTCTCTCTTTCTTCCACCCTTTTCCCTTTTCAGTTCCAGAATGGGCGCCACCGAGATAGAACCAGAGGCGGAGTCGGTCTCCGCGCACTCCGGGGAGAACGAGGCGGCCGAGGAGGCCGCGTTCCAACGCGTCCTGCGCAAAATCGACCTGCGGCTTGTTCCTATCCTGGTTCTACTGCACGCTGTTTGCATCGTCGACCGGTCAAACATCTCCGTGGCACGCATCTCTGGGCTGGATGACGCATTACAGTTGGACCAGGGCAACCGGGTGTCGATAGTGACGCTCGTCTTCTTCGTCACGTTTATTGTCTTCGACATCCCCAGCAATATGGCCGTGCGGCGGGTTGGGCCTGCGCGCTGGATGGGGCTGATTGTGTTTGCCTGGGGTATCGTCAGCCTCGGCATGGGGTTTGTTCATTCATGGACTGGCATGGCCGCTCTCCGCGTTCTTCTGGGTGCCTTTGAAGCAGGGTGAGCTGAGAGTCGAATCTTCATCTCTAAAGCATTGGCTGGCGTCTCTAATAATCTCATCAAATACCCCTAGGCTCATCCCCGGCTGTCTATATCTTATTAGTGCTTGGTACCCTCGGTATGAGGTCCAGAAGCGGCTGGCCCTCTTTTACCTGTGCGCTCTGACTCTCGCGGCCTGTACCAACATCCTCTCCTACGGCCTCATCCAGATCGCAGCACACCCAACCACGGGCGGTTGGCGCTGGATCTATATTGTGCAGGGCGCCATCACTGCTGCCATCGGTGCTGTCATCCCATTTGTACTTGTCGACTTCCCGGACTCGCCGCGTAACACCTTTCTCACTGCCGAAGAGACGGCGCTGGTCCGTCGCCGGCTCGAGGCCGATCGCGGCGTCACTGAGAATGCAGAGGCTATCACACTCGCCCGCTTGGTGGAAGCGGCGGTTGACCCAAAGACATATCTCTTTGCATTCATGTATATGACAGGTGCCATGGGCACCTACTCCTTCAACCTCTTCCTGCCTGTCATCCTGCGGAACAGCTTCGATTTCTCCGAAGCCCTCAGCTTTGGACTGCTGGTGCCGCCGGCCGTCATGGCCATCTTCCTTGCCATGATCCCTGCCGTGCTCGCCGATCGGTGGCATATTCGAGGGCCATTCGTCTCGGCCCAAGCGCTGTTGGCCATCGTCGGTCTCTGCATGATGGCCTTCTTATCCTCCCCTGTGTCTAGGTGAGTTTAGAATATATACTTACTCATCATTGCCGCTATATGCTAACCAGCAGATATGTGGGAGTCTTCCTGGGAGAGGCCGGCGTGTATGGCCTCGTAACAGGAGTTATGGCCTGGCAGGCGAACAATATTCATGGCGACGCCCGAAGAGCCATCTACAGCGCTATTCAGATCATGTTTGGGGGTATCGGGGGGCTGTTTGCCACCTTGGTCTTCCGCCAGCAGGTATTTCTATCTTCTCTTCCATCCTACAAAGGCTCTTTTGCTAATTATCAGGATGCCCCCAAGTATGTTCCCGGTATCGTTGCTGTTGTCGCCTGTTGTGGCACAACATTTGCTCTCTCGATTGTCCTCATGCTTGGTCTTCGCTGGGCGAATCGGCGTGCAGATCGAGGGAAATCTATTATCAATGGTCTCCCGGGATTCCGATACACAATATAATCCGATAGATATAGATTATAAAATAGTATTTTATTAAATAGCTTTCAGATGCTATGATATGCCTACCTAGTACCTTGTTATGAAAACTCAGCGTGATGATCTTTGACGTATTTTTGATGTCTATCTTTCCTCTTAGACCTACACAAACGTGTCAAATATATATATCTACGTTTTCAATGTGATCTTTCTATTTCATAGAATTCAAACCAAGTATACACCGATATTATATTCATCTATCAGTCAAGATTGATCTACCACCATTACTCTTCATCTCAATACTATCAGTCAGGAGAATGCAATCGAGGTTGTCAATACTGTATCACATGACTACAAAGCCCTAGCCTGCTTGATATATATGAATGACGTAATATGACCATGGCGGCCCCCTTTAGGAAGAGGAACCTTTAGGAAGAGAAAACCTGCTAGACCCTTTACTGCATACCTACTGGAGCATGTCATGACGGACACTGCTAGAAAGGGCCCGGAGATGGTTCTGGCAGTCTGAACATAATTCATTCTGATTATCACCTCACTGGGATATTGAAATTTTCTTCTTCTCTCTATAATTCCAGGCCACTACTATTGCTACTGTATAGGTAAGCAGGCTTCAAAGCAAGGAGTAATTCTATGAGAGAATAATTATCACAGCTACTGTTAGGCACTCCGCCCTATCTATGTTCTATACAGCAGTTCTTGTGAGTTTAAACCTAATCTTTGGCGAATGGGGCTGCGAATGAGTCTTTTACGGTATTCTACCTTGGGAAGCACTCGCATCGCCGTGCCCCAGCCATTCTACTTGTTCTAGGGAGGGGTATCATAGTACTGTGCTGATCCTCATGGTACGGATGCTCCGACCGATCCGTCTACGGGTCATGTCATGAGGCTTTCTTGCCGACACCAAGGCCTTTCCGTCCTGTCCGGTTCCCTTCGTGTAATGATGCCCAATTCAGTGACTAGTGAGGGACATCGGCATGGCCATCACATGCTCCCACTAGGATTTAGACCCTGACCATGCAGTATAGCATGTAAAGTTAGACATGAACCAATGGTTTACATGGTTCAGTCCAAGTGTATATTACTAGAGGGTTGTATTCTGTACCATGTGTCATTATAAAGTACTATCTAGGTCTAATAGTATCGTAATAGACAATCTATAGTCTCATAGCTGAGTCTCATAGCTGAGGGATAATGTCTAGGACTTTCCATCATGGTAGAGCTAAGGTTTTTTTCAAATAATGTCCAGTTCTGAGACTCTTATCAGCAGTACTGTGCTACACCAGCCTATATAATCTAGTAATCCTGAGCTCTCAATAGATATTCTATAGAATAATAAATAATAGACATATAAGCAGCTCTATAGTCCATTAAACCTTCTTCACTAGCAAGTGACTTCACCAGTAAGTGACTTATGGATAGTTATATCCTTCATTCCTGCCTCGCAATATGATTAAGAACTCACTAGACCTACAGCTACAGCTAGTCAAGGATACCTGCCACGCGTACTCCCAACACCCCCATCACACCCTCATTACTTATCAGTGGCGGAACATCCATGCTCTCTTCATATTGTGGAGTCATGGAAGCGCTGGATCTCCAACCAATCATAGGGATGTAGGAACTAACGAGACTAAGTATTAAATATTACAGAAATCATAGATTGACGGGAAGGTCTGAGTGCTTGATAGAAATCTAGGCCTTAGACTACATATCTCATATCCCTCTACCATGTAAAAGGAAAAAAGCAACAGGCATGTATGCTCTCTTGCTCATTTACTGCCATTGAGGATTCATCGCCAGGGAAATATTTGCCACTAGAGCAATAGGAACTTGGCGCCTTGGTCGGCATCCCTCGCTAAAGCCGTGAAGTGGGTTTTTGTCTTGGCCTTTGCACCCTCCATCGGAGGAGAAATGACAAGTATCGTCCGACGAACGGCCCTCCGCACATGGGTCTCCCCACTCGTTTCTATAAGTATAAGGCTGTCGATTGACTGCTACGACCTTTTGTCTACCACTGCATCAATATCCTCAAGAGCTTTGGAATCAACCAAGAACAACAAGAAACTCTTGTCAAGATGAAGTTCACGATCCTTGCCTTCTTCCTGGCCATGATTGCCTCGGCCTATGCGTATGTTTTGTAATACATCAATCGCTCGAGAACCAGGTCTAACCTAGGATAGGTGGTCGGAATGTATGCTTGAGTGCGCAGAGGCGGCCGCTTCCAGTGCCGGCTGTTCTAGCAACTAGTATGTTTTTTTTTTTATTCCTTACCGAAAATATTACTCTTACTGACCTTCTAGTAATGCAACCTCCTGCATGTGCGACAATACCGTCTTTATGACTGACGTCAAGGCTTGTCTGTACGGGTATGTAGATCTTCCCCCCCTTCCATGTCTTCAATCAATCAATATAGGTCGATGCTAATTGAAAAAAAAAAAAAAAAGTGACTGCAAGAGTGATGTGACGACTTTCTTCAGCTTCCGCTCTGGTATCTGCTACAGCACCTCGACTACCACCGCCTCTTCGGACTCCTCCACCAGCACTTCCAGCAGCTCCTCTTCCTCCTCTTCCAGCAGCGGCTCTTCCGGTCTTAGCCACGGTGCCCAGGCCGGCATTGCTGTCGGCTGCATTGTCGGCGGAGGCCTTGTGTCTGGTATGGCCGTTTACTTCTTCCTTCGTCGCCGCAAGTCCAAGAAGGAACAGGCTACGCGCGAGGCTGAGGAGCGCCTTCCGGAGAAGGACACTGCTTCTAGAAGGTCCAGCGTCACTGTTTAGATGCTCTAGTTCACCAATAGTTTGCTCAAGTTCGGCTCTAGGCCTGAAGTGGTGATTATGCTGATGATGATGATGATTGAACATGGCTACATGTTGTGTGTTGAGGCTCGGGGAAGATAGCAGTATAGCAGTATAGCAGTATAGCAGCGTATAGTGATCAGGATACTTGCTATGACAAATGAATATCTCTGCTCGTTACTTTTTTCTATCTATAAACCAGCTATTAGCATCTGGTAAGAAATTTCCAGGGTAAACGCAGGGACCTTCAGGGCCAAAAGCTACTCCGTAAAGCTATGGCGAACCTAGTGGATAGTACCGAACATCGCCCGAGAGCCGACGTCCAGTTGTTGGCTCCACAGTCGGATTTGCGGCACTTGAGTGGAGACAAACCAGGGATCAGATAAGATCAGACGATTGATAAGATCGATCCTTTACTCCCAGAGGCTAACAACGGAGGTTACTTATCCTCCGACCCTGCATGTGCGGGTGCTCCACTCTTGTGTTAGTATATCCCTCGTTTCTTCGACATCACTATCATAGCTATATCAGCTCTTTGATCAGCCATATTATGAATAAGAAGTAGACAAACTAAGGGACGTTAGAAGAGAGGGAAAAAAAAAACAGAAGCAGTATCAAATATGAAAACAAATATTGAGACGAAAGAAAGTAACGGAATCATGAAATGAGGTCCCACGTCGGCTAAAAAGGCTGCTTGGCATCAATACGCCCCATTGAATGATAGGGTGGAGTCGGTTCTCTGACTCTGTCCAGGTTTTCTTTATCAGATCCGGCTTCTTTCCGTCCTTGGCACACTCATCCGCCGGGAAGTTGGAGTTGGCTGTTACGTATGGGGTCTCTGTCTGTTGAGGGTCTAGGGTCTTGGTACCGAGGTCGGAAGAATAGGCGCCTTGCCTGCCTCTTTGTCTATATAAGCCAGCTGTCTCCTCATCTCCAGTATACTTTTCTTCCCATCCAGCAGTCCCACAACTCTTCTTCTCCCCGCATCTATCTAATCTCTCTCCATCCTTCCCGTCACTCACAATGAAGTTCCTCGGCGCTGCCATGTTCGGCCTCCTGGCCACCGTCTACGCGTGAGAGCTTTTGACGAATCCTAGTGAGATAACCCATGAAATGCTGACATCACCAGCAACGACTGCATCAGCAACTGCGAGACCACGGCGGCTTCCGATCTCGGCTGCAGCGTGTAGGTTCTCTTGTCTATTAGACCCTTCTTCCTTTTGCTGACAATCAGTGACAACCTGTCTGGATGCTTCTGCGCTGCCGACTTCGTCAAGGAGATGAAGGAGTGCTTGGGATCCAAGTGAGTATCCTGCTATTATCTATGAATGCATGTTTATTTACATGATTCAATAGCTCGAGCTGCGGCAAGGAGTATGTCGCTTCATACTACAGCACCTACGACAGCGTCTGTGCCACTGCCACTGCCACCTCTGCAGCGGCATCGACCGCCACTGGAACTGCCACCAGCACGGCCGCTGAGTCGACGGGCACCAGCGACTGCATCGCGACCTGCGAGTCGACTGCTGCCTCGGAGCTTGGATGCAGCTCCTCCAACCTGGCTGGCTGCTTCTGTACCTCCAACTACACCACCGAAATGAAGGCTTGCCTGGGTTCCTCGTGAGTATTGCATTGAAGAAAAGAAAACATATCGGTTCCGTTGTTAATGATGATTTCAGCTGCGGTAAGGAATACGTTGCCTCGTTCTACAGCACCTACGACAGTGTCTGCGCTACCGTCTCGGCCACTGGTGTTGCTACCACTTCCGGTGCTTCTGCTGCCACGACCACGACTGCGGCCACTTCGACCTACACTGGAGGTGCTAATGCCATGTCCTATGCTTATGGTGGCGTTCAGGTGGCTGCCGCCGTGGCTGCCGTGGCTGCCCTGGTCTAAGGGGAAGAGAGTGTTTGTTTCATGATCTATGATGTGATCAATGGTTGTGGTGTGATTAATGATGGTGGCGCGATGTAATGTGATTAGTAAGTGGGGGAAATGTAATAATCCTATAGTGTCTCATTACTACATTCAATAAACCTCTTACCTATACATAACTTTACAGTAGGATCCTCAAGGAGTTTATATTATAGGTACTTCCTAATTAAAAAGATTTTACTCCTTAATATACACTTTATATACTTTACAGATGTACAGCTGTAGACTTTAGTATAAGAACACCATATAAAGATTATTTTAGTTTAGTTTACATATAGTATACCCTACAATGTACAGTTTATGGGTGGTTTATAACAATTATATAGCCCCTTCATGGCCAAATATTGAAGGCCATGATTAAAATATATTATAAAGTAGGTATATAGGTATATATAAAGGGTTTGCATCTACTCTGTGGGTGATGATTCTTTTCAATAATCTACTAGATCAATGATCTGGCTTGTCTAATTCCTTCTATTATATATTCTTTGAGCATCATCTAACTTGTAGCGCACACAACCGAGGTGCCAGGCCATATACCCGTGTTTATAATTGGCCCAGAGGACGGCAGCCAGCTGCTTGTATAGCTCTTCTTCCCGGCTCTGCAGGTCGGCCTGCAGATCTTCTTGCAAGGCTTGACCAGGTTGTATTGAACAGCTCGCAGAGCGTATCCCGTGCTGTCCATAGGGAGGTATTCTGTTCCACATCACCATTTTCGCCATTTTTATATTGAAACCGGGAAGGAAAGCCCGCAGCATGTCGCGTCTTGGTGGTAAAAGTGACTTGGTTTGCAAGATCTCCCCGTAGCACCTCCTTCGGGTAGGAAAAGATGTAGTTAATGAACTTGATTGCCATTGATGACTCGCGCATGTACGGCACCACACACGGCAGGGCACCTCACCGTCCAGCGAGACCTTGAAGATACCCACCGAATACGCTTCATGGTGGCTGCAATAGTTTATTTCTAGGCCTCATCTAGGTGACTGGGGTTAGTGTAGTCCAGGCAGTTAAATTTATCATCTGAGAAGAGCATGATGAAATTCATTATAATATAGCTAAGCAAGGTGGAAGTAGAATAGTTGAGACGAAAAATCAAGCCCATGTTAAAAGAAATAAAGGAAGAACACGCAGAGTAGATAATGACTGTTAGTAAAGATTAACTTAAGAGCTGAGATGGTAATCCTCATCTATATTTATACCATCTATATATCATCTATATATCATATATCTTTATCATCTATACAACTGATGTAAAAACCTCGTCAATGAACTCTGCCGCGCGAGAATAGGCCTCCATCGAGCCTTTGACAGGCTTAGGGGGAAACCCTTGGCTAAAGTCAACAAGACCGTGTCCTGCCTGGTCGACCGGCAAGAGCTCCGTCTTGACACCGAGCCTTTTGAGCTGTTCATAGTGGTCTATGCTCTCCTGAAGCAGCACAACCTCGTCTTCAGTGCCGTGCACGAAAACAGAGGGCGGGTAGCTTTCATCGACGAACAGCTGCAGGAATCCAGGACGGAGGTGGTCGGGGATGGCCTTGATCCGCTCGTCGCCATACTCCTTTGCATGAAGCCTTGCGCCTAGCCCCGGTTCACCAAAACAGCCATCGAGGAAAGTCCCGTCAATCTCCCACTTGACCGTGAGCGCAAAGCGGCCGGACTCGCGCGGATCGTCGCTGACAACAGTCTTATCCGCCAGTAGAGCGGGAATCTTGCTGAGATCGACAAACTTGGCGAGCGAGGTTGGTTCGCGGCCAGCCGTCCAGTGGTCCAGCAGCAGGTTACCCCCTGTGCCAAACGCGGTCATCAGCGCCGCGGGGCGGGGATCAGCGTACACACACGCCGCGCGCGCCGAATACGCCCCGGCGCTGAAGCCCGTCACGGCGATGCGGCGCGTATCGACGGAGATGGAGGCCGGGAGGACGTCCTGGAAGGCGGCGCTGGCAAGGAACGCGAGCAGGGCCTTTGCGTCGTCGATCTGGTCCAGCGTGTTGCTTGGGTGGCAGAGTCGGTAGTCGGCTGCCACAAAGATGTATCCCCTTGCCTGGCAGTGATCTGAGTCATTATTAGAAATAACGAGATCAGGGTTATGGACCAGAATAAGAATTGATAAACACACCCAGCAGCCACTGAGGGAATCCTCCGCTGTGTCGCGAGCCTGAAGTCATTCCCCCGCCGTGGTAGTAGACGACCACAGGCAGCTGGCCGCTGGAGGGGGGTAGAAAGTAGTCCATCTTGATGTCATGATTGCTGACAGTCGAGTAAACGAGGGTCTTGGCTAGTGAAGTCATTGTTTACAAGGTATTAGTCTCTGGTGTTATACAGCGGAAGCATAAATTAAATAGCAAGTTGAGGTTGTCGTGCAGCGGATATGTTTATAGCCGGTACCCCTCTTGATGAGTCATGGATTTGTAAGCAGCCTTAATGCGTGAACTGTATAGTTAAAGTGGAAGAAGAATTTATAGGCATTAAATTAGGTATGTTTTATCAATCATAAGGCAGAATCAGTCATACACATAATATAAGAGGTCATAGGTCTATCTAAGTATAGGCTGGAGAGGGAGATGTCCGAGACGATGGAAGAGGTTTAGAAATTTAATCCTGCCATAATGCCTGATCTGTGTTATATGATTTACAGAAGCTCTTATTTAGGGTCAAAATAAATTTAGACAATAACAGTGCTAGAAGTATGATATATAAATAATATCTGTAGTAGATTCCTACTAAGTTCAAATAGACCATGAGTCTTTCTCGATTACTTTCAATATTGTAGTCCTTGAACCATATGAAGAGAATATGTTCTGTTCCTTGACATCCACCAGACTGAATGCTAAAGATCAATATCATCTACTCCAATAGGAAGAACTCTAAAAGGCAGACTCACAATACTACAGGGTTGGTGCTAAAAGAGTTGCAGCGCACGCAGCCTGACATGTTCCAAAAGCCGAGTTGCAGAGGAGGATTGATGCTGGGGCAGAGGCCCCCAGGGTGGCTCCCCAAGTGAAGCCCGCGGCGGAGTAGCAGGCTGTCACCACTGCTGCACAGCCTGCTTGGCAGATGCCATAGGCTGCTGGGCCGGCCATAACAAGGCTGACAGCGGAGAACACGGCGCCTATTTCTAGGATCTTCATTTTCAAGTGAGGAGGTGGTGTCAAGAGTAGTATGATGTTTTATAGAGGAGGGAATACAAGAGCTCGGATGATGTCTTTGAGATAGGAGAGGCGGGGTATTTAATAGGAGAGGCGGGGATTTAATGTGTTGGCACTGGCTGCGTTATCATCTGCATGTCTCAGCCTTGTACTATCTTACTATACCCTAACCCTAACCTAATCCTACTCACTATACACGATCTACACGAATAGTTCCTCCGGATGCTTGGTTGGAAATAGCACATGATAATGAGTGGCAGAAGTTGAAGTCTAGTGGTCTACAGGATACCAACACAGATATAATAGTCTAACCACAGATCCGTGCAATCTGTGCCAACCGTGGGATTCCAGTCCTCAATCTCTGCTGTTGTGACGCCCTCGGCTTCGGCAATGGACGCGCACGTATCGCCCGAGCTGACAAGGTAGAACACGTCGCAGTCTGTGACCATATCGGGCTCGTATGGGGTTGGAGTTGTCACCCCATTCCCTGTCGAGGTCGAGGTCGTGGTCGTGGTCGCCAAGGTGGTTGTCGCTGTGGGTGTATACCCGATGATGTCGATACAGACGTAATCGCCTACATCAAGACTGGCACAGGAGGTGCCCACTGCAGGGTTCCAGGCGTAGAAGGTTGCCAGAGAGATACCGGCGTCGGCGGCGATGGTCGCACAGTTGTCACCGGAGACGACTAGGTAGAATTCATTGCAGGTCGACACGATGCCGGTCTGGATGGGCGATGGGGTGCTAATCCCATCCCCGGAGGAAGTGGTAGTCGTGGAAGGGGCGCTGGTGATTGCAGGCGTTGTTGTGGGTGTATAACCGATGATGTCAATACAGACATAGTCGCCAAGGTCCAGATAGGCACAAGACGTGCCTACCGCAGGGTTCCACGCATAAAAGGTGTCGAGGGAGATGCCAGCGTCGGCCGCAATGGTCGCACAGTCATCACCCGAAACCACCAGATGGAACTCATCGCAGGTCGATACCATGCCGGTTTGAATCGGGGATGGAGTGCTGATCCCATCCCCAGTGGTGGTAGATGTCACAGATCCAGTAGTGGGGGAAGCTGTTGTGCCTCCCAGAACGCCAATACAGACATAATCCCCAACATCAAGATATGCACAAGAGGTGCCCACGGCAGGGTTCCACGCGTAGAATGTGGCCAGGGAAATGCCCGCATCAGCTGCGATAGTGCCACATTCATCGCCTGAGACCACCAGGTAAAAGTCGTCACAGGTGGAGATCATGCCGGTTTGAATGGGGGATGGAGTGGTAACTCCATCGCCTGTGATTGTTACCGAAATGGATGTAGAAGAAGAAGAAGAAGTAGACGTAGACGTAGAAGTAGAAGAAGAAGAAGCAGAAGTAGAGTCAAAGTCAACTTGAATGCAATAATAAAAGCCCGTTTCAAGCTCACAGGTGCTATACACTTCGAGGATGAGAGGATTCTACCAAGAATTAGACAAGACATCGAAACATTGATTGATATCATACCCAGGCCTCAAATTCTGCCGCTGTGATGCCCTCCACGGCCTCAACCTCTGCACAGGTCAAGCCCGAAGTCGCCTCGACCCAACCGCTGCAGTCGGAGTCTGCCCCTGGAAAGACACTCCCAGGGGGGGTGACAAGATAGGCCGAGACCATAGTCACCCAAAAGGCGACGGCTATCAGCCGTGTCAAGACCATTCTGTGCAGTTGAAGGAAAAAAGAATATTGCAATGTCCCAAGGATAGAGAGGGGGAGAAACCCTTTCCTACCATTGTTATACTATTGTTATACCACCATGCTCGGGATACCGGAGCTAGCCTTCATAATTGGCTGGATAGAGGGAAATGAGGGAGCATGGGAGATTGCCACTAGCAATGATAACATCACCAGACCATTTAGTTGCCTGATGTTGGATGTTACATTACTTCTATTGATTTTCAGTTGCTAATGAGGCACTAAACAGGAACCATCCACCATCGCGTACTCGTAACTATCATCTAGCCTCGGAGTACTCCGTATTTCCACTTTGTATGGGGCCCACTACAGCCCGTGCCTGCATAGTAGGTTAACTTGGGCCAAGCGAAGCCCAAGATTAAGCGAGTTGCGACCTAAGATAGGATTCTAACAAATGTCCCTAGCTCAAGTTTAGTTAGTTTAGTCAAGTTTAGTTTAAGGGTAGTGTTTAGTCTAGTTAAGGGTCATGTCAACGCTGGCCACAGACCCTGGGGTAGTGAAAAGGGGAGAACAGCTGTTACCTGGGATAGAAAGATAATGCTGATATACTAGGATAACTGCCTAAGTATTGGTGGAATAAGAGTATTTTATCTAATAAGAGCTTTAACTACAATAAGAGGAACTAAGGCTACTCTATTTTACTCTGTAAATATTAATTTCTTGGCGTCAAGATGTAATGTACACTAGCTATTCCTATTGAAGAAGGTCGATATTTTATCTACATTCTATACTTCTATTGATTCCTATATTAATCCATCTAGATTAGCGTCATAATTGTGAAATGGGGCCATGGGCCGCCAGCAGACTTAAGGATCTAGATAAGTTTTATTTCGGAGGGCAGGTCCAAAGCAGTTTTGTAGAGCTCCACTCACTAATATCTTATATATATTGAGAAAATATCTTATATATATTCAGAATTATAGCTCTCTTCAAGCCCCTCGCGTAGAGAGGGTAACGAGTTTGTGGGCTTCCACAGACTAGTCATCACAAGTACAAAAGCTATCACTAGACTATAATCACCTGATGTGATGAATATTGTGATAGAGTATATAATATATATTAGACTATAGTGTGATAGTCTAGCACCCCTTTTTATACAGCTAGGACCTATAAGATCCCCATAATATCTGCAGGTTGAGAAATTCAGCACATGGGGGAGATTAAGAGGGTCACACCTAAGCTAGTTTAGGGACATGAGCATAAGCCACCGGATGAATGTCTACTAATCTAGCTTAACTAGTGAATTATTGAAACAATGCATTATACAAGCAATGGATGAACTACCCACTACTCCAAGCTATTCTTTCCAGTTCCACTTGACGACGTAACCCATGTAGAAAGTGCCCGGGACTTCATACTGGTCCGTGGTGTCGGCGACGAGGAAGCTTTGCTGGTAGTACCAGTAGGAGAGAACGAAGAAGATGTAGGACTGAGAATTGATGGTCGAGTCGATTGCCTGGTAGGAAGCCAGGGAGCCCTGGGCGAGCTGGAGGCATTTGCGCGCATCGTAGGAGATATCGACCACTTTGGCACTGGAGACGACCACATCGGATGCGTCGGTGGCGCCCGTTTTCTCAGTCCAGTAATTGACCAGGTGGAAGATCTCATGCAGCAGGGTGGCAGAGCCCTGTGGGATGATGGTGGAGATCTCGGCCTTGCTGTCGGGGTCCTGGTAGGTGATATCGGACAAGACATTGATCTTGTTGGTGGTGGTGCTGAAGACCCTCGGGCACAGCAAGATGCCAGGCGCCTTGGCCAGGTATTTGACGGCGCTTCCCAGGACGGTTGTGCTGTACGCCGTCGCCCCGGGGAAGGTCAGGCCCGCCAGGGTATCCTGCTTGCCGTTGAGGGTGAATGCGTCACACAGGTTGTCCGCGTAGTAGTCCTCCAGCATCTCATACGCCTTCTTTTCGGACATCCAGTAGGGAACGGTGCTGTCGCTTTCGGGAAAGATCTCGTTGATCGACTGGATCTCATCGTCGATGTCGATCTCCTCGCCATCCTCGGCGAACGCGCTCGCGTCCCAGTCGTACCGCTGCGCGAACTCGCCCGAGCACGCCAGCCAGGGCAGGTCGTCCGTGAGGCCTGGGCCGGTCATGCCGGAGCCGACGAGGAAGTCGTACACGTTGTCGACCGCAGCTTGTATCATCATCAATTAGTGAAACGGCTTCAGCTGGTTGGGAGGGGAGTTATAGGATCTACCTTCCATCTGGGTCCAGATGGCCTTGGTTTCGCTCGTCGGCGCCGGGGTCTCTTTCAGGGCGTTGGTGAACTGGATTCCAAACCAGGAGGTGAACAGCCGCCGGGCCACATAACCATCCCTGCCTGCAGTCCCGCCATCGTCGGCTTTCAGGGCCGCTGTCATGGCGTCCTTGAAGGAGGTGATGAGTGTGCCGGTGTCCTCTAGATATGAGTCGAGGTTTGTGACATAGTCATCACTACAAGACCCGGCGCCAGTCAACAGATCAAAGCGGTATTCAATGATGACAGCCTGTGCCACGGCGGCCAGGGTCAAGAGGGGTGTCCGGGTCAACATTGATAAGATGTCAGTATGGACAAGATGAAAGTGAGAAAGAAGAAAGATGAGCAGGAGAGAAGTTCAAGATGTAGGCGGAGTATCCATGTTGAATACTTCACTAATACCTGGCCATAGTCATGGTCATAGTCACCCTGGTCATAGTCACCCTGGTCATAATCTAGCCTGTCCACTAATACCTAGTCACTATTAGCCTGGCCCCGAAGGATGAGCCTTCACCCTGTGGTATGATCCTTTAATTGATATGAGGATACCCTAATTAATTAAAAACAGGGGCAGCATTTCTATAGATCATGCCCATTTTTTTATAGCTGACCTCTAAGCTATCATCTTCTTACACTCTTTATCCCTTGATAAGTATCTTCTTACACTCTTTATTCCTTTACTTGATAAGTATCTTCATCATTCAATCATTACTCTCTACCATGTGGTTCATCCTGGCGAGTCTCGCCGCGATGGCCCCCGGGGCATTGGCAAGCATCGGGGCCTCTCAGGCGCTGCAGGAGTACCTCCAGATGTACCCCATCAGCACCCGTTCGGCGCCCCAGTCCCAGGCGACCACCGATCTGGCCAGCCTCAAGGCCGCTGTGCTGGCGGGCAACTATACCCCCTCGCGCTCGTGGCAGTTCCTCCGCGACCCCTGCCCTGCGAGCTGTGTGAGTTTAGGGCTGGCGTCCTCTGCGTGGCCGGTCTACCACAGCGTCGACACGCTGACAGACCGCTGTGACGAGACGATGCTGTTGAGCTTTGCCCTCTACACGGCGCTTGACGGCTCTGACGGCCAGGTCAGCATCCGGAGCTGCACCGCCGGCCTCACTGTCTCTTCCTCGTCTTCTTCTTCTTCGTCTTCATCTTCATCTTGTCCAAAGCATAACCAAACCATGTCCGAAACGACCACCAGCCTGGAGCTCGTCTGGGAGGGCGAGTCTGCAGGGGCCGCTGTCCAGACAGACGCCCTGGCGGCCCTGGAGCAGCTGCTGGCGTACGAGAGCCAGAGCCCGTCGTCCGTCTGCAACGAGACCATGGCGTTTGCCTACTCCGGGGGCACTGCTGTCGGGCTCTATATAGGCTCCGGGCTACACCGACAGGGCCTGTTGGCGCCGGTGGTGGAGGCGCTCGTCGAGAGGGTCACCAGCGAGGGCGTCAGCGACACCCTGGCCGTTCAGCTGTGTGGCACCTATCTCAGCGGCCGATACACGCTGGGCATCATCATCACTCCAGACCTTGCCGAGGCCCAGGTCGCCGTGCAGACGTGGCGCGACAGCAAATGTCTCACGTACTTGTCCGAGACTGCTTCGTGGAGCAACATCACCTACTCTGCGCCGGTGGTGAGGAATGCCACTGTCAAACCGAGTACCACTGAAGCCAGTAGTACCGCCGTGAGAAGCAGTGCTTTGGCGACTGCAGTCAGCAACAGTACGATCAATAGCTACAATGTGCGCTCCCACGGCGAGACACTCACCCGCCGAACCACATGCACCACCGAGCAGGTCGTGTCGGGGGATAGCTGCGCAACGCTGGCTGCTGAATGCGGGATCACGGCGGCAGAGCTGGCGGACTATAACCCTAGCTCCTCGCTGTGCTCGAACCTCACGGTAGGCGAGTATATCTGCTGCTCGTCGGGCACGCTGCCGGACAATGCCCCCACGGAGCAGTCGGACGGGTACTGCTACACATACCTGGTGCAGACGGGGGATACCTGCTCGGCGCTGGCGGCAGAGTACGACATCACCGTCGCGGAGATCGACAGCTACAACACCGACACCTGGGGCTGGATGGGCTGCGACGACCTGTTGGCGGACGAGTACATCTGCCTCAGCACCGGGTATGCGCCCATGCCCGCCGTGATCTCCAACGCCGTGTGTGGCCCGCAGGTGAACGGCACTGCCACTGCGCCGCAGGGCTCTGATCTGAGCGACCTGAACGAGTGTCCCCTCAACGCCTGCTGCGACATCTGGGGCCAATGCGGCATCACGGCCGAGTTCTGCACGCCCAGCAACTCGAGCACGGGGGCGCCGGGGACGGCCGCCAACGGGACCAACGGGTGTATCTCCAACTGCGGGACAGACATCATCGAGAGCGCTGCGCCCAGCGAGACGTTCACGATCGGCTACTTTGAGGGCTTTGACCAGGACCGCCCCTGTCTCAAGCCGTGGATCACCGAGATCGACACCAGCGCCTATACACACATCCACATGTCGTTTGCGACGCTCAACGCGGACTTGTCGTACAATCTGACCAACATCGACGACCAGATGGAGGACTTTGCCGCCCTGACGGACGTCAAACGCATCATCACCGTCGGCGGCTGGTCCTTCTCCACGGACGCCAGCACGTACGACATCTTCCGCGAGGCCGTGTCGAGCGCCGACAACCGCGCCACCCTCATCGCCAACACGATCGACCTGCTCGAGGCGTACGACCTGGACGGCGTGGACTGGGACTGGGAGTACCCGGGGGAGCCTGACATCCCTGATATCCCTGCGGACACGACAGCCGACGCGGAGGACTTCTTCCTGTTCCTGTTGGAGCTGTCGGAGGAGATGGCGAGTTCGACGCCCGACAAGACCATCTCGACCACGGCGCCCTCGTCCTACTGGTACATGAAGGCGATCCCCATCCTGGCCATCAGTGAAGTGGTCGACTACATCGTGCTCATGACCTATGACCTGCACGGCCAATGGGACTATAACAACACCTATACGGATCCCGGGTGTCCGGCGGGAGGGTGTCTGCGCTCGCACGTCAACCTGACCGAGACGCTGAGCTCGCTGTCGATGATCACCAAGGCCGGCGTGCCCTCCAACATGGTGGTGGTGGGGGTCGCCAACTACGCGCGCTCGTTCCAGATGACTGAAGCCGGCTGCTACACGGCCGACTGCCACTTTACAGGGCCAGACTCGGGGGCAGACCCGGGCGAGTGCACCGACACGGCGGGCTACATCTCCAACGCCGAGCTGGCGGCCATTGCAGCGAACACGACCGTGTACGCCTACATCGACATCGACTCCAACTCGAACGTGATGGTCTGGGATGACACGCAGTGGGCGGGCTACATGGACGCCGAGATCAAGTCCGTCCGTGCCGAGCTGTATGAGGGCATCTACTTCCTCGGCACTGCCGAATGGGCAATCGATCTTACCAACGGCACCTCTTCCAACAGCAGTACCAGTACCAATACCACCACCACCACCACAGCCTGTGAAATCTCTATTGATCCCACCGTCTGGTCCGAGGCTACCCCCTCCGTCACTGCAGTCCCCGGCTGCACGCTCATCTGGCCTCCCCTGCCCCTGGAGACGACCACCACCATCACATTTCCCCCATGGGCCACGCACATCACCTGGCGCGCCACCGAGACAGAGACAACCACCTATTACGACGGCAGCGTCGTCACCTATCACCAGTTCTCGACCTACTCGGTGCCCACCCAACTCTCCATCGCCCCTGTCACTACGACTGCCATCCCGGTCTGGTACGTCACCGTCACCAGCGGCCAGAGCACTGTCTACCAGACCAGCTCTGTGGAGCCGTCTCCTTTCACAGTCGTCTATACTCCGTGAGTACCCTACCTACCCTAACCCTAGTCTGCGCCAACCCTAAACCCTAAGCCCTAACCCTAAACCCTACCCTACCCTGCTCTAACCCTACTCCTACTCTAACCCTACTCCTACTCTAACAATCCCTACTCTGGCAGAACGGTCGGAGGCAATACAACAGTAGTCGGAGGCACAACCAGCACTGTGTCTGGGGCGACCTTCTCGTCCGGAAACCTGACATACACGAGCACTTCATGGATAGGCGTGTTTGGCGGCACTACCACCGTCGTCAGCGGCACCACCCTCGCCCCCTCGACCACGACCGTCACTCCCCATCCCTATCCCACCACCACCACCTCGACCGAAGATCCCATTCTCAACACGCGCACGACTCATGTCGTCGCCGCGAGCAAAAGCAGTGGCTCAGGTCCCAAGTGTACTGAGGCCCCTTGTGGCATTGGCTGTGTGTACCCTCCCACTAAAGTATAAAATGACCCTTCTCACACTGAATAGGTGTATTCTTCTGTATCTCGGGATGTCCGTTCTGTCCTCCCGGCTTCGGTATTGATGACGGCAGCGGCAGCGGCAGCGGCAGCGGAAGCGGCAGCGGTGGTGGTGGTGGTGGTGACGACGACGACAGCTCGACCTCGACAACGACTTCAACATCTTCAGGCAGCGCTGCGTCGTACGAGGTTGGCGCTATGGTGACGGCAATGACGGGCGATCTCTACATCACCACCAGCGACGCGATCACCGCGCTGGAAGCCCAGGCCACAGAAGAGGCCAGTCTGATCAACGGGCTGTTCGGACCAGAACTGACCTTCCTGATGACCGCCGCCACTGCCACGGTCGACACGGCAACCTCCACGACAGGCACCACGGCGACAACCACCGATCCATACCCGTACACCATCACCAACGCAGCCGGCGACGTTGTGGCGTGTGCGACGGAGCTGGTCGTGTATTACATCGATGGAGCCTCTACCATCTGCTACGGCTCCTCCACTGTTCTCTCCACCAAGACCACCACCACCACGACAAAATCCAAGACCACCACCACCACGACGGCGACCACCACCACCGCCAAGGACTGTCCGGGCGGCAACGAGCTCAAGTGTTACCAGGAATACTACTACGACTGCATGATCGACTGCGAGAACTTTTACGCTACCAGTGCGGAGTTGTTGGGATGTCAAAATGGCTGTGGTGACTATGCCCTCGAGCAATGCGAGGATCTTTGTGACTAGCCTACAGCTACTTTGAGATATAGCTAGTTATCCTTTATCCCATGACTCTAGCCAGCCCTGTATTTGCAGAGTGAGTAATACTAATATGATTCACAAATCTCTAATTGACCGTTAATCTTACTAGTAAGCCTCCTGTTGAATCTAGCCTCTATTAGTCTTTTAAAGTAAATATTATCACTGTCTATATCTAGAAATTAGGTTTATAACGAGGGTATTTCCATGTGAATTCCTGAATGTCCAAATTAATTCCATATTCATTTCTACACTAATTACATATTAATCCTAATTCCTAGGGGAGTTCTTTGCTTGTTGCTTTGATTCCTAGGGCTATTCTATTTAATTCCTTAATCAATTCCCTATTATCTATGCAAAGGGCTAGGGGTCTAGAATGACTACTATAATCTATAGTACTCTATATAGATTAGCTAGGGCTATTGGTCTTACAAAGCTAGGTGCCTGTCTAGATTATTTATAATGTCTTATACCTAGGATTATTCTACTTATCTCTACTAGGGCTAAGTTGTTAATAACTATAATATTAATAGGGCATTCACTTAGACTATTAACTAAGCCATCTCTTTTATACTATACTTTTCATTGTTTAATATTTTGATTTAGTAAATTATATTATATTACTATGCTTAAAGTAAAATATAGTTAACTATTAATATAACTAGAAAAATACTTTTTAATGCAACCTAGTTACTTCTATGAGCTTACTTCTATTCAGCTTATTAGTCTTCAACTAAAAATAATAGCTACTTGGCCCTTTTATATTGATATGTGAAGTCAGCTGCTGCAGGACTGCTTTTATGATCAGAAAGCTGCGATAAATCTAGGACAGCTATATAGATACTCTAAACTCGGGTTATAACGCTGCATGAAGAGGCCACTAGGACTAGGGATCAGTGGCACTGAGCTGTTAGGTCTAATCTAACAAAGTGATTTTACAAAGAGTCCAACAGTAACAAATCTCCAATCTCGGACTCGGCTGCGGAGGTCTCGGCTAGACCGGGTCCCCGCAGTATTTCCACGCGAGCGGGGGGGGGCACTCTATAGAATCTCACCTTCCCCAACTCATTGAAAGAAACATCTCACAGTTTCTATCTTCCAACCTACTCAAAATGACTCTGATAATCCATGGCTCTCCTTCAAGCATTGTTCGTATCTCCATAACATCCTCGTCTTCTAAGCTGACTTTTAGTGCACCCGACGCATTCTCGGCGCGGTGTCGCAGGCTGGGTTGCGGGATAGTAAGTTAATATGTATTCCACTGCTAGTTGAATATATAATAACAATATAGAGGTCGAGTTGAACGTCATCACCGACTGGTCTATTATCAAGACGGAAGACTGGCTGCAGAACCACCACCCTGTTGGCCAGCTGCCTTACCTTGAAGACACGGATGCAGGGATTGAGCTGTTTGAGAGTCGGGCGATTATTAAATGTGAGACTCGTGAATTATAACCGATTGAAGCCCGGACTAATGATTAGATATCCTGCTCAAGTTCCAGTCTCCCCTGATGCCATCGACGAATGATTTGGTTGCTTTCGCCAAGTTTGAAACGGCGTGTTCAGTGGAATTTGCCGACTTTGAATCATTCGCTACCCGGATCACCTACGAGCTTATTTTCAAGAAGGGGTATCGTTATATCATCCGATGGCGCACGTTGAATAATGCTAATATTGTACAGCAAAGGAGAACCGGTCAACGAAGGTGTGTTGAAGATGGCCCAGGGTGCTCTCACCCACCGACTGCAGGGCTACAACCGCATGCTGGCCAAGACGCGGTATCTAGCTGGCGATCAGCTCACAGCTGTCGACCTGTTCCATCTTCCATTTGGCGACGCCATGATTCAGGTATGTTAGGGTTTGGGGTTTGGGGTTTTCATTTAAGTGCACAAGAATACTAACCGTCAGACCGATTCGGCCCCTGCTCTCATCGATGGAAGCCTTCCACACGTTGCCCGGTGGTGGAAGGAGATCTCGACGCTTGAAGGGTGGACCAAGGTCAAGGAGGAGGTGTGGGGAGACAAGTTGCCTGCCTGGGGGTGGTAGAGTAGAGCTCTAGAACAGAGCTTTAGAATAGAGAATGTTAGTGATAAATGTGAATAAAGAGGTGACATACTCAATCAATGTGATTCCCAACACCCGCCTCCATCCCATCTGCCATCCAACCACCGAAAAGAGTCATGAAACTCCCGATGTCCGGTGTGATGTCGCCCTGGTGGTCCTGGCCAAGTGCAATCTCTCTGTCAAACGCGCTCCCATTGATTAATGGTGATAATGAAAGACGGTTCGCATTGAATGGGTGAGTCTGTGGATTAGAATCAGGTAATACGAGATAGAGGCATAGAAGACCAACAGAGATCTCCAGCTGTCCCGCATCCATCTCATTTTCCTGCCTGGGAGGCGACTATTTGATCAGGATATATCTACGATACAATAAATACGCGGAACCATACCTGAAGGCCAATGTTTTGGACAGCCGGTGGCTGTTCGTCCTCTCTGGGATCGTGCTTGAGATTGTGGATTCGCCGTCGCCAGGGGTGGTGAGGCGTTTGGATGCCGGATGTCTCGCTGAGTGCTGATGAGCCTAAATGAACAGTGATAAACGGACAAGATGCATACCTCTGGCTGGGTTCGAGGCCTCTAATTGGAATTCCATGCCGTGAAAGCATTTTGCGCATTTCCCTCAGCTGCAAAGTCAGCATAATATAACCATGAACAGAAAGATTCAGACACTTACCAACCACTGTCCCTGGCGAAAATATTTGGCAGCCCGTTCTACAAACGGCATCAACTTCTCACATTCACTCTGTAGCTGCGGTACAGCCTCTGCGCGGGCCTCAGAGGGCAACATGAATAGCCACTGGATCTGCACACGCATCGCTTCAAATAAATAGATGGGCAGGCTGGTGTCGAGCAGGATCAGGTCGTCGGTAGAGATATACCCGGCCAAAGTATCAAAGATCCCCCCTATGCGGCGTGCATGGTCCACACACTCGCTACGATGATGCTGGACCCAGCCTGGGGGCGCCTGGGCGAGTGTCGCCAGCGGGAGACTCTCGGGGAACCCTGGGAGAGCCAGACGATGCAGATCAAGCATACATTGGTGGTACATGACGTGCAGCATGACGGTGGCTGTGAGCTGGTTCTGCGCAAGTCGTGCGTAGACAGTATTTGCCACGAGCTGGAACTGAGGCAAAAGCGTGCGTCGCCAGGCAGTGATTTTGCGCAGACACCGGGCAAAGACCGAGTTCTCTTCCCATGGAGGAGTCTCATCAGTTGGATGGCGAGTGCATCTAGAAAGGCAGTTAGCCAGTTGACAGTGACAGTAGGTGGCAGTCTTACTCTAGAATCATATGGCGGATACCAGTCAACTGGACATAATGACCAAACAAACCAACCTCGCCCGAGGCACCCAGCTCTGTCTCGCCCTCGAGATCGGGCACGGGTGTGATGCAGGGAACGCCGAAGAGAAAGTAGTGATCCTCGCAGGGGAGCTGGATGCGCACGCGTTCTGTGCGGATGAGGCCGAATTCAGGCACGCCCGTCGACATCATCCTGTCCAGACAGTAGCATGCCCAGAAGAGCCTCCGCCGCGTCTCCTGTTCCACCCAGGTCAAGCCTTGATCGTTGCTGTCATCTTGTCGGTGCAATCCCAGGGCCAACGCTGTGCGACACGCTATCGAAGACAGGATCCATGCCGTCTCAAACCGCCCGGCGTGGATATCATACCGGGCGAGCAGCAGCGCGGCGGCGACGGTGCTGGTGGTCATCTCCTCGCCGATCAGGAGCATTGCTTTGGCTTCACGCGCCCAGTTCTGCGCCACGGGCGGATCGGGCACAGGAAGAGTCGAACTGTCGCTCGAGGGGAGAAAGCGTGAGGCCACGGCACAGAGAGCCAGGATGAGCACGCGGTTGACCTGGCCAGCCTGGACATCGCGAAGCAGGGTGCCCCGGTGGACAAAGGCGTTGGCTTGGGCAGGGTAGACATAGTGGAAGAAGGCATTGATATGCTCATCGAGCACGGCTCGAGGAATATAGTCATTGCGGTCGATCACGCTCGCTTCTCTGTGATCTGGCGAGGCTATAAACACCTCGTTGGGCGACTGTTCCGTCGAACTGGGCATTACGTCAAAAGCCACTGTCGGCGCCAGCTGCTGGTCATCCCCCGTGGCTTCATAATCGCACACGATGCCCCTGTCGCGACAGTGAAAGCACGCCGGACGCTCTCGCGAGCACCGACATCGGGCAATGCGACACGCACAACAAGACACTTGGCGAGACTGGCGAGACGCTGTATAATGATCAGTATCTAACTTGACTTTTTCTGTAGAGCGAAGCTTCAATATATAGTACTCAAGGCATACAATTGTTTGAGCGGGCTTTTGCAGTGGTTGGCTGCACTTCAGGCCACTTGCACTCCAGGTTGATCCGTTCGCAGTTCCGACATCGGCCAGGCGCCTCATCACATTTTACCTGGTGGTTTAGGGTTTAGGGTTGAGGGTTGGGTTAGGAGAGGATTGTCGATGAACTCACCTTTCTCGTGCGGCAGGTTAAACACCCTGCCAGGGGTTAGAATATGGGCATTTCCAAATCTACCAGGCTTACCAGTTCTTGTACGTCTAGCCCTGCTGCGTGTATACAAGCCGGAGTGGCGGTAAGATGGCTGATCGTCGCGGGAGTACATGGGGATTGCCTTACGGGATGTTGGAGAAGAGAAATATTTGAAGGAAGAGCGGCCAAGTCCGATTTGACATGCTACCCCGCAGATTATATTACTAATCCTCTATCCGTACTAACCATAAATATACTAGCCCCCAAGTCTAAGTGGGGCATACCCCACACTTGATGCTAGCTCTAGATGTAGACACGAACTACCTAAACCCTAACCCTAACCCTAAACAGTAGTACAATGCCAACACAACCATCTCATGTCCAATAGTTAATCCTAGACTTATTAGATTATATGATGTAGGAATGCCGCATAGTTCTATAAGACAGTATTTAGATTATATTCCTAATATGCCCTTTATTGATCTAATATCCGCGACGAGGCTTCACAGTGAAGATGGTGCACACTTTAACAACAACCAACCAGGCAGCTAGAATGGGCAGACTGAGGGAAAGGGGATATGCACCCCCCTGCGACCAGATGTGCTGCTCTGCCAGCCACATGGAGTGCGCGGGGAAGAAGTAGCTGATGTGGTAGAAGGCATTCGATAGCTCAACTGGACTGCCAGCACTCGACACATTTGTAATCATCCAGGTGAACATGCAGTAGGGGATATACTGCTGTGGTACAAAGGCAGTGATGATATCAAGCACGTCAAACACAATGGTCGAGAAGACGGTATACAGGATCCAGAGAGCCCAAAATAGCCGAGCATTAATGGGGTATCCCTCGCGGAAGATCATCTGCCAGGACGTGAGACATATGCCCATGAAGCACGCCCATCCCAGGGAGAGAGGCAGCCGCCACTTGAAGTAGTCCCAAGTGGAAACGGCTGCGAAGCGGCCACATGCCTTGGAGAGGTTGTTCAGAGCAAGAAGAAAGAAGAATTGTGCAAGAACTACCACCACAATCATCAAGGTGTTGAAGGTGGTGCGGTCGCCAAAGGTAAATGATCCATAGCTGGTATCGACATATGTATACCCAAGTGGCCTCAGAAATGTGCCCAGCTGTGCTTGGGATATGTTTCTGGTCAGAACATCCTCCCAATATACTCCCGCTAGAGTCTGGCGGAAGTATGCAGCGGCGGCATTGGCAATCGCTTCCAGGTTGTCGAGCACGACCGAGGGATAAAAGGCAGTATAGCGGGCACCTAGCATGGTCAGATGCGAAAATATGACAAGGTAGTCAAAGTACATACTATTTCCAAAAAGCATATACACTGCATCCACATCATATACAGAGGTGTTTGTCCCTGCCAGTGTCGCGTTGAGTTGGGCAGTGGCATCGGCAGAGGCATAGATCGCGCCCCAGAATTGGCCTATGAAGACTGCGTGCTTCACCTCCTGCAGGGTGTATTCCCTGGCCGAAGCGACGACATAGGTTGGATTGTTGACTGGTCCATTGGCATCATCAACCGCTGCCAGGAGGGCCTGACCAACCAGAGACCCATCATAGTCCACAACAAGCATCTGGGCGCGGTACATGTACTCTGAGCCATGGAAGTAACTGCCCAGTAACCAGCTCACATTGCCTGTGCGGTTAGCCATGTTTCCAGGGAATAGGGCCGGAGATAGTTATGGTCATGGTTACCCCAGAATACAACAGCAATAATCGCCACAGATATCCCCAGCCGTTTGAGGAATTGTCTGTTCATGTTGGCTGGCTTGGCTTCATCTCCTATAGCACCCGACAGACTCTCTTCCCCCGAGATGTCAGAGGTACTCATTGCAGGGCCTTTGTCTAGCATATTTTTTAAATCACAACCAGGACATATTCATTCACTACTCACATAGCCCATCAAGATATTAAACATCTTCAACCTTGATGATGCTGATTCAGCAACCCGAGGCCGCTCGCTCCGCAGGCGACCGGAGCGACAACTGGAAGCGAACGCAGATCCTCAAGTGTAGGAATTATGTTAGCTAATAACTTGTGGCCTTTGGTATTTGAATATTAAATTTCTTTTATTACTTTATTACTTTATAAACTAAGGAATCAATATCCCAAGCAAAGTCCACAGCCTATAATCTTATGTAAATAGATGTATTCAGATGACCGCCTATATTTATGGAAATTATACTATTCTCAGTAGATGTAGCCTAGTTCACTGAATATATTTATTCTATATCTATACTGATCTATTTCTGCTCTAAAGCCTCAAAAAGCGCTCTTTCAATGATCTTCTTGGACCCCTTGACGACTGGCCCACTACCAGGCAACAATTGAGTAGAAAAGACAACCGCAATCCCGGTAGCAGGGTCGATATAAAACTAGCCAGTTAGTCAACTTACAAAAAAACCGCAAGCCCTGAGGACGAAAAAACTTACATCTGTTCCGGCTGCTCCCCCCCATCCAGCGGATCCAGGGCGTCTCCCCCAACCCCCCTTGCGCTCCTTGCCAACTATCATCGGTACGCTACCCAGAGTGACACTAACATCGTCTGTAGTGAGGAAGATGTCCTTTTCCTCCTCAAGGAAATGAAAGTACGCGTTGAGCATATCGTCCACCCCGATGACCTGTGGCCCCTCCAGATCGGGAGAGAGAAGAAGACGATATGTTTCAGGCTTGAGCAGGGGGGTAAAGTTCTCTGAAACACCCAGATGGCCAGCGAGCACGTTCTGTAGCAGAGTTGCGATATCGGCTGGAGAGGCATACAGGGCAGCTCCGCCGGTGGGATATTCAATGTTGGCTCGTCTGTGATGAGTAAGTATGGTATTGTGTAGTATAGGATGATACTGGCTAGACTGACCCTGTGGGCAGGAAATGGCTCCCCTGTTGGCCTGTCCAAGGCTCAAACTCGTGTTTCCCATCTGAATCCGTCCTTGTGATCCATCGCAGTGGCATGATGCGTCCAACCAGGTTGGGATCGTCGTGGGGATAGAAAGAGGCCGTTTGAATGGCCAGGGGACGAAAGACGTGTTCCTGGAGATACTCCTCCAACTCCTGGTGGGCGATTCGGGGGAAGAGAAGCGAAAGCCAGCTAAATGGTCAAGAGAATATAGGAAAGAAAAGATTCTCGCCCACTTACTCGTTGCTGGATCCGTACTTCCACACTTCACCTGGCTGGCCGGTCGGAGGCGTGTGAATGAGGCTCTCCTATAAAGAAGTAAGTGATCAATGGTTGAGCGTTTAGTGTTGGGAGGTCCCATATCCACTCACTGCCTTGCAGGTGTTGATGAAGCCTTTTTCGTGGCCCGGAATGGCTTTCCATTGCTTGATAATAGCTCCATACTCAGCATCAAATCCACTCGTCCCGTTAAGCATATCGCGCAGAGTGATTGCACGGATAGAAGGCTCAAAGATGGGATCGCCCTGTTCATCAAAGCCTCGTAGGATCTGGCGTGAGATGGATTCCAGCTCCGGCGAGAATTTGCTCATTGGAGTGTCCAACGCGATGAGCCCTTGGTCCACCAGTTGCAGATAGGCTGCTCGGCTGTCAGCATCATAACTTTGAGCGTTGTTACTTTAAACACCATGTCCTACCGAAAGAAACCACAAAGCGAGTCACACTGCTGGCCCAGATGATGGTATTGCCATCGACAGAAGGGCTCGTTTCACGCTGGAGGACATCGAATGGGCCGGTCTGGTAATTGAAGATCACCTCGGTGGGAGACACCACAGTTAGAAAGCACCCAGGGAAGTTGGATGACAGTTTGTCCAGGGCATCCTTAAGGTGGGTAACCCCGTTGCTCGACAGATGAGGGCTCATTCTTTGTATAATTTGTGAGTGAATGGTGTTGCGGATAACTATCTGATAACTGTTAGTTATAAGTTCTCGCGTAACTCGGTTCGAAGGAAGAGGGGCAACCCGTGTAAATAGATTGACTAGAGTATTAGTTAATAAAAATACAGTCAACTATTGAATTTCCTGCAAAGCCCAAGTAATGCTTTGATTCATTATGAATAGCATTAGGAAAAAGGCAGGAAATGGATACATCATACTGAGTTAACTCCAAGGTAACTTCATAATCTTAGTTTTACAGTTCCACAGCCAGTAGACGTCTTTATTGCTAAGCCCCGCACATTCAAACGTCGTCTCAGGATTGTCCATTAAATAACCTACTGCCTACCTTGCTTAAGAGTCTTATCTTACTTAGGGTTTAGGGTTACTGAATAAAATTGAGATTATCAATAACCGATTCCACTATAAATATAGGCCAACTAAATGTAGAGATCAAGATCCTGCACCCGTCCACTTACACGAAATCCACCATGCAACTTGTACTTAACATGCTTAAGATATGCTAAATTTATGCTGCTATGGCTCAGTTGCGGAAACCTCGTCATGTAGCACATTGCTTCCATAGTTGCCCGTACAATCAGTCGAGGCAAACTTCCTGGCAGGGATCTTGCGGGCATAGAGCTCATCAATCTGCGCGTGAGAACGCCCCGTATAGTCCGGCACCCAGACAAGACAGATGATGAGAAACAAGGCACCAAAGCCACCGAAGAAGAAGCCCACCTGGGTGCCCCAGTCCTCCAGGATAAAGGGGAAAAGGATACTGGTGCATTGGCCGACCAGACTGCCAATTGACATGCTGATCGAGGTGGTTTTAGCCCGTAAGCGGCTGCTGCCAGACTCCGAGGCATACAGAAAGCTGACTGCCTGTGGACCCAGCTGGCAGCCAATGTTGGAGATAACGACGCCAGCGATGACCAGATTCCCTGCAACCGCATTCCCGGCAATTGTTGACCCCCAGCGAGCGCCCACAGCCCCGATCATAAACATCCCCCCGGTCTGGATAAACAGGCCGACCACCAGGATCAACCAGCGGCCGATGCGTTGGTTTTCTACCAAGATAGCCGCAAACAGATTGACGGCAATGCCAGTGCACTGGACAATCACCGTGGACTGCAGCGCGTTACTCTCGCCGGCCAGGGAGAAGAAGTAGGCGCTGAGGATCAACACCACATTACCAGCCAGGACCCATGCTAGGGCTGGGATCATGGCCACGCCAGTCCGGCGGAGATTGCTCCCTTGCAGACAAGCAAGCCAGCTTTCCCCTCGGTTCTATACGGATCAGCATCACGGCCCAAAGTGTATTAACTGACTAGAGTGATAGATTTCAACTTACGGCTTCATTTTCCATCCGTTCCTTGTCAACGGTATACTGGAGCTTGGCGAGCTCGAGCTCCAGATCATCCGTCGTCATCCAGGGATAGATCCATTGCAACGATTTCATAGCATCGGGGAGTCGATTCTTGATCACGAGCCAGGACGGAGACTCGACGAGCATCACAAAGGCGGCGGCAGACATGACGACTGGCAGGGCAATCATGATATACAGGGGAATCTTCCATTGGAGAGGATTGGATGGGTCGGACCAGGTTTTGGCAGATAGATCAAGGGCGATAGCAGCGACGAGATTGCCAAGATTAGCTGGTTATTAGTTGGCATTCGTATATGTAGAAGAAGTTTATAGTCGATCTTACTGAAGAATTGATAACCGATCAAACAGCCACCACGAAGCTCACGGGGACTGACTTCGGCGACATATGTTGCAGACGACGCCATTATGGATCCAGTGGCGATTCCCATGACGACTTTGGAGAGCAGCCAGATCTTCCAGTTGATTGACTCGGTCTCAATGATGGCACCGATAACAATCAGGCCCATAGACCCGATTATCACCATCTTGCGGCCGTACCTGTCGCTGAGGATTCCAGCCATATAATATCCAAAGAACTGGCTAGGTGTAGCACCTGCATTCCAACTGATACTGATGTCAATATCAATGATTGATTTAATTTGCTTGGGGGAAATGCGTACGCAGAAACGTGTCCAGCCGCGACGACATATGCCTGAGAGGTCTCATCCCAGGCGCCCATCACCTTGCAGAAGGCCTGGGAGCCCAGCATACTGCCAGACATGCTCAGCTCCGCGCCTTGGAGAATTGCGGTCGCCTAGAAAAATAACCGATCAATGCTGAGCGTCAGGGGTGCTGGTAAAAGAATAGAGGCCACTGACCAGCACAACGACGACCACCGAGAAGGCGCGTGGATTCTGAATCAGGACTTTCCACACACTTTGTCCTTTGCCTAGTTCTTCCTCGGCTGCGACGCGCAGGTGGGCGTGCACCTCATCGGAGATTGCTTCGACATGGTCGGCCCCTGATTTCACATCGTCTATTCTTGCCATTGTTGAGGTAAAATGGATGATGAATGCAGTACTCTAATGAATTTACACAGAACCATAGTAGACAGGCCTGGACCATCTTATACTACCACATGGGAACCCCACAAAGGGCCCTGTCGGTGGGGTCTCGGTTGTCGGCAATCTGTACCCCAGATTCCAAGGGACTCTTCTCCGCACTCCGACGTACCGGTCTATGCGATCCAATAAAAGTCCTCGCTTACATCGGAAGATATAACAAGTGCTACGACAGAATATACAGTCCTGACAGATCTTGGGCTCGTGATGCTTGTTGTGGACTAATAGAGACGCCCAGTGTGAAGCTCAAGTAGACTGGCATAGGGGTTTAGCCCAGTGATTGGTGTTAGTTTTGATACCAAGGGATTTTGCGCCTTGAACTAGCATTTGGATACCATGGAGTTAGCCGAGTTCAGGTTTCTTGTGTGCTATTCAATCGAGCATTAAACTTCATCGCCTTGGCTGGTTGGTTGACGGCATTAATGGCCCTACAGCCCAGGGGCGTAAAAGGAGTACATCATTATGAGGTGTAATGGGTGTCTCTCAGAGACGATCTGGATATTTTCATCCATATATCAATAAAAGACCTATATACTAATCCTATATCTTTTTCATATCTAATCATTTGAGCTTTTGACTATGATCAAGTAGTCTTAAATACGGTAGAATATATAAAGATATGCTTGTAGTAATTTACCTTCTCTGCTGAAATAATAAGTAGAAACCTTCTCTAGAGACAGTAAGGATATTACCGGAGACGCTGTTTTGTTGCAACGGATATTAAGAGGGCCAATCATCAAGGGCTGTATAAATAGTAAATATAAGACATTAGATAGATGAAAGGCGTAGGGGAAACTAGCTGTTGCAATCATAGATATAATCATAGACTAGGTGCAGAGACGCAAGTGATGGATAGGAAAGGATAAGACGTATTGCTTGTAAAGGTGGATATATTATAGGTAAATACAGCAATTAGGGAGTAGATCCAGTGTAGTCCCCGCAAAGGAGTAGATTCGGCGTACTCCCCTCACTCCGCCGGAGTACATCAGGCCGGTGTGCATTCCTCCAGGAGAAACAGTATCTGCCAATCTCTTAAAACTAAGTTTATTTATACTGGCTGTAGAGTGTTTTATCCTATATGGCATATATGGCCAGTGCTTGGGTTTCAGCCTCATTAAGTCCTCCCTCACTATTTTCTACCTGAAGTAACTTATTAAGTACAGTATTAACTATGGATTCTATTGTCATAACTAGGGAGAAGAACGTATTCTTAGGAGAAAATTCCTCTTAGGTATAGTAGAGCCGAGAAGATAAAGACTTACTAGGTGTAGAGTTTAAGCCTGTCAGACTAGAGATAAAGAGTCAAGGACTAGTGAATCTCAGTCTAAGGAAATAAGAAATGATGATTCTAGGCTCTAGAAAACACTAATTAATGTCCTATCCAAGCTGCTCTAGAATAAAGCCTATAATTATCTAAAAATATGACAAGCTGAAGCTGGTTTAAAGCTATAGATATATTCTTTTAAACAGACCTTTCTCTAACAGGTGAAGAAACCTCACTAAACAGGAGCAGAGATAAAAAAATCTCTGAATAGATTATCTATCATAGGCTGGCTGGTCTGTAAAAGATAGCAAAGCTCGCGAACAGCGCCGGAAAAATGGGGGATATGATATTAGTGGTTTTGCCCGTCTGCCTAAGCCTATGACCGCTATGCTATAGATAAGTGTTCATATTGCCATCGAGATAATGGTCAATATAAGTATATATCATACTTCCAGTACTAATACATATAGGTCTGCTCAGAGCAAATCACAGAGATGACTACAAGGAAAGATGCTGTTCCCAATATTGTGGGCAAGATGAAATGGTATTCAAGATTCCTGACACCACTACAAGTAAACGATCTCAACGGGGAAGATCCCTTGCGCCAGACTTTCCCTCCCGGTTGGACTCGCAAATCTTTAATCTATACAAGGTTTACTTGAGTATACCAGAACCAGGTTCTAGTGTTTATGAGAAATCTAGCTAATCGCAGCGACTAGAGTGGTGTAAATAATAAGGCATAAAATGCTGAAAGTCAGTCAAACCGCCAGAATGCGCAATATCTAAGAGCTGAATTTATATCTTTGGATGTTAACGACAGTGCACATCTCTATTAAGGAAGCGAAATAATGAAGACGTGCTTTTAAGGTGATATAAGGGCCATAATTGAGTCTCTTTAATAAGAAAAGGATTTCCTGCTGCCAGACTTGTACTGGCCAGTTCTCTCTACTAATACATATTAAGTCTTTATAGCCTGGCAGAACGGCCAGAAGGAGCTGCTGTAGATTAGGGGAGATCCTGGAAAGGGTAAAACAATGCTATTGAATGAAATTGTGCGTGGGCTAGAAGCCAATGTGGAAAGGAACCTTAAAGACTTCCATCTCGTATACTTCTTCTCTTGGGGGACTGGCAATCGCCCTGACACAGCCACTGCTGTGCAAAGGGTTGATGTCGCCTATGTAAGTATAATATACTGTCAGAGCTATGTGATTTGAGAGTCAGCAAGATGACGTCATAATAATATAGAATGGAGTAAGTACCGCGTATGGATCATATGGCACTATGCAGTATAGGGAAGGTGGAGCCTAGACTTAATTCTAGTCATCTCATTTAGATAATATGACTGGCTGATATGTCTCCAAGCACAAGGCTGACATCTAAATTCCTCAATGTAGTAAGGAGGGATGTCCATCAGACCCCCAGCTGAACATTTCTTTAAATCCAGCTCAATCCCTATTCCCCACACCTCATTTATTTATGCAGTTTTATATCTAATACACTGATTGAATCTTGAATCTTCCTCCACAATCACCACCATGGTAAACCTCGCCCAGCGGCTCAGCACCGGCATCGGCTTCACCTCCGAAGCGATCCACGCGATGCGCGACAGGAAGAAAACCGCCTCTCAACCGTCTGTTTCGCCGCTACCAAGCTATTCCGAAGTCACATATGAAACCACCGACAAAGCTGTCTATAACAGTCGCCCGCCGTCATACCACACGGTCGATGAGCGCGATGAGGCGGCGAGCTATGATTCATATGATGAGAATGAGGCTGCGTGGGAGCTCGATGAGATGGGCGAGAGCATGCGACCGGAAAATGAATCGGATGCTTTAACACCGACGGCTGCCACTACCTCCGCATTCGACTTGGAGTCAGTAAATGGGGATCCGACGCTCGCGTTGGTACAGATGGCGGGCTTAATGCCAAACCCAGTGCCGAAGCTGCCTGTCCCAGTCATTATCCCGCAGCGACGACCAGGAAACAAGGACCGGGGCTTTGTGCGTGCATATGCGCCTGTATTGGAGGAGAGCGGGATCGGTCCGGATGTGTTTATGCAGTTCCTAGACACTCTTGACCAGCAAAACAAGGTAATTCTTCTCTTGACGGTTTACGCCGATTGCTAATTGCAGGCCTCTCAAAATGTCGACGTGGTTAACGTCGCCACAAACATGGTCGGCTCCCTCCCCGAGGCGGCTTTTCACGTTACCAACAATGTTCTGTCAGTCGCAGCGGGCGCCGCGTGCGAGGTCCAGACGCACAAGACGAACAGCTTCCTCAACAGGGTGAATCGTGATCTGTTTATGCCACGGGGCCTATTCGCAATGGTCATGTCCTTCAGAGACGACACTTCGGCCACAGATGGCCTCGTGAGGATTAGGAAGCAGAACATCAACCACATCGCTGCCAGATACAGCCACCTGGATCCAGCCTCGTCCAGGCACAAGCAGGGCCTGCGCAGATTGCGTTCGACAAGTAGCCAAACAGGCGGCCGGCTTGAGTTGCCAGAGTCAGCGCCTTTAGTATTTCCGCATCTAGACCGCGCCGCTGCCCAGGCTACCACCGGCGATACAACATTGACCAAACTCAAGGGTGCAAGCGCATGGGTGACGGACTATTTTGACCGTAAGGCGCAGGCAGAATTTGTATGTCGTCGTGGCTCGATGAAGATCTCGTTGGTGTAATCACTCATATGGAACAGGAAGCGGCGCATTTTGGCTCTGCACTTGCGGTCCCCGAGGCAGAGCGCGAAGGCTTCAAGTCCCGCTATAATGACCCAGAGCACCCAGCCAACAGCGGCTCCCTGGCCTCGCTGGTTACAGGCGGCAAAATCGATACAAACGTGTGGCGTGCGCGAAAGGCGTCAATCCGACGGAAGAAATACCAGCTGATTGGCTTGGAACCCCCGAACTGCAAGGGCGCCTTTGGGCCAATCCACAGTGCTATCAACGTGGGAAGGGCTGTCAAGGAGCGAAAAAACAGGCAGAAGTCGGGCATAACAGCGATAGCAGGAAATCCAAACGTCAAGACCTTCAATAAGGACGTCCTGTACCTGCTGATCATGAATCTGCCGAGCCAGGAGGAAGTGGAAGATTCCACCGCGCAGCTCGAAAAGGCGATGTGGGATCTTGAGCAGGCGCTGGGACAGCAGGCAGACCACAAGGATGCGATCTCAGGGCCAAAGCTGACACTGAGAGAGCAGGCGCTGCTAGAGGACTCGGACGAGGAGAATGAGGTGGCTTCTTCTGAGAAGCCTGCATACAGCCATAAAGATGGATACAATTCATCTGGCTGTGATGAGAAGACGTTCGATAAGGAGGATGCAGCTTATGATATGGTGCCAGCATATGACGAGAAGCCTCCACATAATACATTTGAATGTGACGAGCAGGGGTTCAATGGGGATGCGGCTTATGATATCAAACCGGCATTGGACGAGAAGCCTATCCCTGAGAATGAATCGCTCGATTATGATAAAAGGCAAGCATACGACTATGAGCAGGTTGAATACCATCATCATGCACTGGAATACGACCTCCAAAAGAGCAAATTATCAATAAGAAATATTTGACCGTGTGGGATATTGAGTACTAATCTTACATAGATGCTAATTATAAAGATGTATCATTAGAAGTATTGCTCTCTCCACTACAAGTCTGGTGAAACTCCCAAAAAGGTAAACCTAGGATAGCCCTTGGTCACCAAGCGGTAATTTTGCAAGAATAGTGAACCGTTAGTGCCCAATGGAGATATAGAAAGCCAACCGCCTGGGATGCTATAAGACCTTTAGTCTAGTGTTTAAAGTTACTAGAGGACTAGAAAATTCAACCATATAAACTAAAGGAGTTTACTTAACAAGAGATCCTCACCCTAGAGGCAACTCCCTGATTCACTATTTTAGGGTCTCTAAATACATAAAATATGGAGCAAGCAGCCAAACCCCAATTACCCCAATTAATATTAAAGGCAGGTAAGAGCATTTCGCTTGCGGCTTTCCCATAAGAAATCGTAAATCATACTGCGCCTAGACGAAGAAGGGTTGAATATAACATGAGCTAAATAGAGTGATGTGCTGAAGGGAGTCTCCTTACTTTTTCATTTTCGACATGAGGGGTTAAGTATGGTAACTATACACTAAGCCTATTATACCTATAAGGTTCAATCTCATCCATCATGGCTGATTTCATTTGCCTAGATGATATAGGTTATTAAATATAGTTCCTCATCTAGCCTTCAACCAGTTCATTAAGGGTATACCATAGCCTACTATAGTTGGTTTCAACTTAAGGACGGCCCATCCATTACACTTAGGTATCTAAACAATTTCATCTAGAATAGTGGTGTTATATAGCCATTAACTATCTAGTATATGCCTGCCTATTCAACCCGGTACTGCACTCTTCCTAAGTATTAGGTGATGCATCCATAACCTCTGTGCCACTGCAGTATGCCTCCCTTAATCTCTTCTTCCATTCCTTCAATAATATAGTCTGTGACCCAACAGGGATAAGAGTGTTTGGAAGCTCATCCATCTCCATCTTTGTGACCTCAGTAAACCTCCATTCCTCCCATGACTTCAGGGCGGATGGTATCTGCTGCAGTTTCTTGTAGCAGACAGCATCCCAAAAAATGTCCTTTACGCCATTTGTGGCCATCCACATTCCTGAAGAAATACACCCGGGCCCTTGGCACTTGTGGCAGATGTAGTCCACATGGCCATGAGATGAGGGTTGAGGCGCAATCTCTATCTTAGGCCCTTCGGCCCTGTTGTTTTCCTCATTGCAGGTTGCATCACTAGCAATATGGCTAGTAGTGCTGCCAGCGGCCGTCCACTTCTCTCTAGCAATAAGGCATTGGACCTTTGCAATTGAAGCTACTCTCTCACTTTCATCCAGAGGGCTCATGGCTGTGAAAAGAAGCTGGAACGCTAGGCGGTCATTTGAAGGGTCGTGATCCGAAAGCATTTCCAAGCCCATCCGAACAAGCTCCTGCACTGCTTCCCTGGCCTTGGATATTTGTCGATGTCTCATGTAATATGCTGCCAGGCATCTCGCAGCGGGCGGGTTTTTGGTTGTATCATGATCTTCTACCAGTCTCTCCAGCTTGTCACTCCAGACTCTGTCCTTGTTGTTGTTCACATGCTGCTGAAAGTAGAGCTCGGCTAATGTACTGATGACGATACCAACGTCCTCTCCAGAGACTTGATATAAGCCTCTCTGTACCGGGACAGGGCCGCCCAGGGCTCGTTCCAGCATTCCAATGGCGCGTTCCGAATATCTTTCCGTGTTGAGGCTGGACCCGATTCCGTGGAGGATCAAACCATACGTTCGTCTTAGTCCAAAAACAGCATCTGTATCTTGCTCCTCCTCAGCGAGCTGCAAAAGTGTATCGTGAATGCTGAAGATTGATGCCATGTTTCCGCTCTGAATGGCCGCCTGGATCATAGCAAGGTGGGTGCCAGGTGCTATGAGAGGTCTAATAAACCAGGGCATCGTTCCACGCTCCCATGTTTTGTGACTGGAGTTGACGATGTCAAAAATGGCAATTATCCCAGGCCAATCTTTATCATCAATATACTGCATCACCATAGTTGATAGATAGGATTTCGTGCCATAAAGCCCCATCCTCACCCCCCTTTGATAGAAATGTCTTGCCTTTTCCCGTTTATCGGGGGCTTGTTTCCAGTATTCCCTTGCCAAGCCCATCAGTGACGAGCAATAAATCATCAGCTTGGTCTTTTCAATACCCTCCACACCCTCATTCTCAATCATTTCAACATAACCTTCCATCAGAGGGATAGACATCTCTGGGCTGTTCTCCACAATAGCCATACTCACCATGATGCGGATGTCATCAGTAGGTGCAGCATCCTGAGCTCGGTGGAGACGCTCCCTGCTCGCATCTGCAAATGATCTTTTGGCTTCTTCACTGCGATCCTGGGCCTTTTCGCCAAAAAAGAAAAAAAGGGTGCTCATGAAGACGTTGAAGAACGGAATGAACGTTGAGTACGTGTCCTGATAGACCTCAAGCATCCGTCGCTCGACCCTCAATAAGTCATCCAAGGAGACATCGTTGAGGTCCACAAGATCATCATTTTCTATGTGCTTTCCAGAGTTCTCCTCTATGTTAGCTTTGAACGCCTGCCACATAAGACCATGAATGCACTTACTCGAGCTTGAAGTCCTACTAGGAAACAGATAGTTGTCGACCGGACGGGCAGGTTAAAGTTTCCCATGCGGACAGTGTCCAGTGAGATCAACTTCAGTGCCGTATCGTAGAGCAAGTCATATCGATTTGCCTGACCGTTGGCAAACGCTGTGATAATCTTGAGAGCGCTCTCACTCAGCCCTGGAGTCGCCGGAGGCCCGTCCTTGAACCATCGAGAGAGCTCCGTGCAGCCAAGATCGCTGTATAGCCATTCTTTCCGGATGGCCTCTAGCCACCTTCTCTGCCCGATACCGTGACCGTTGCTCCATACTGCATCGTTGGCTATGTCCCTGGAGATGCAGAAGAAGGTCATCATGGCTGTCTCACTGATGAAGAGCTCTGCGAGTAGTCTCTTCACCTGCGATTTCAAAGCTGGATCGACATGATCAAGATCAGTGCGTGCCAAATGCTGCAGGAGGTACTGCCCCGCATAATATACCAATGATGATGTCTCAGATCCATTAATGAGTGCTTGTAAGCACACCAGCGCAATATGAGGATTCCCGTTAACTTTGTCAATGTAAATTCGGGGCTGGTGTTGGGCGCGAGGGCCATGACGGCGCTTTTCCTCCAGGAAACGCCCGAATTCATATTTTTCGAACAGTGGCTCGGGGCAAATGTTGCGGAGAGAATGAGTGATAATATTGATTTCTGTGTCCAACACAGGATCGACATCTTTCTGGGCTGTGCTGCGGAACTGGTGGATAGGGAGAAGGGCCTCAATGTCTGGCGATCGCCAACCCACTTCTCCCACCTGGTTGGTATCAAAAATCGGGTACCGTTTCATTCGAGATGAGAAATCGTCAAACCACCGGTTTCCCCTGGAAATCAACACCACTGTGTTGATTTCTTCCGGCGTCAGGGGTCGGAGCCCGGCGGTTATCCAGGTGATGACAGTGTCCACCTCAAGAACTTCATCGTCGCTCAAATCTCGCTCCAGTTGGCGAAGAATGAGGCTGGATGTAGAAGCTTGTTTGTCTAGTACTCTCAGGATCCCATCAATTGCTCCAGGGCTGCGACTTTGCCGTCGGATGAGATCCAGTATATTGCTGACGGTAGTCCAATTGCCTCGACTTTTAACACATAGCTCGGTAACAATCCGGTTCCGATAGCTCATCACAATGCTGTTTGAAGTATCCGCCAGAGACTCCATTCGGCTCAGGTGGGCCTTGACATATGTTTCAATGTCCACCTGGCTGTGCAAAGCAATGTTTATGGCCTTGATCTTCATGCCAGCCTCCAGTAAGCGTTGCTGCCGTCTAGGAGTTGAGGTTATTAAGAATTTGATCTTATGGCTTTTTTCCGGACCCTGAGCAGAATGAAGTAAAGGTAGCAAGGGATCACTGCCTTCCGCCAGAAAGGAATCGTCAATGAGGATATAAAGCGTGTGGTTGCTCATCTTCCTTGTCTCGTTTTCCACGACAAGGTTCTTCCAGAGATCCAGGCTGGTCACAAACTTCGTCCTGTTGATTATCTCCACCATTGAGCGTGCTATGGGAGGGTGAACATTGGAATATTGCCAAATCAGGCTCCGGATGATCTGACTGAGGATGCTGTCGTTGTCGGCCGAAGAGAGTGACTTGCCAGGATCAAAGTATGATAGGACGAATCTCGGGAGACGGGCGGACTGTAAATGTTCGACGACATTGGCCATCGCAAAGGTCTTTCCCTCTCTATCATTGCCAGTGAGAAGTAGCACTGAATGCGGACCTTCTTTTCAGGCCTGGAATGCCTCTTGGTGTGGGATCCAAGTGCCCGTGCCTAGCAATGGTTTCTTGTAGACCAACCCAAGACAGCTCCTTATCGGCTCCTCTTTCTGGTTCAGATCCTCGGGATTGAAAGAGAGTGCTTGAGCGATAGCCTTGCGCCATTCCTTCTTTTCGGCGTCCAGATACGTCTTGGCGTGTACTTGGTTCAAGATCAAGTCCTTCCGGTCAGCAGTCACCTCGTCCAACTGCTTAGTCAAGTCCTGAACCAGGTTCTCGTTCAAGATGATCGACTTGAAGGTGGTCTTAAGACGGTAGGTACGGCTCTTCCAAATTCTTTCCCACTCACAGCATATGCTAACAAACAGGGCCAGATGTCTCTGGACTTTTGTAGCGAGTTGGGGGTTCATATTCATACCACGCAGATTGTCGATTCCTGTGATGCATTTCTGCAGCAACCCTTCCAGCTCACCAAGAATATCTGCATATTCCTTTGCACTGTTCAACACGAGGGCAAGCCCCGCGAAGCAAGGTGTTACTGGAGGAAAAGCCTGTTTTGATTTTGTTTAGCCACACGCGTTGCCAAAGACAAGATAACTTACAGTAGATGCCCCATCTGCAACTGTGCTGCCCAATGTGGTCACAACCTCACAGAATCTGTCAACCGCTTTGATGAGACCACGGTTTTTCCGAGTTTCGGCAGAAATGGCCACCTGGATCATATCATTTATATCCATTCCATCTATATACCTGTCTTCCAGCTCTTTCTTAAGAAGCATCCGCATGTATTTCTCCACCTGCGCCCAGGCTCTTGCCAACTTCTCCTCAGCATCATGATCAAGGTATTCACTTTGAAAAATTTTCTGTAGCTTGTCCACTGGTTTATTGCGGAACATGGTGACTTATTACATGGGGGAATGTTGAACTAGTATCAGCTCTGTGTTTGAAGGTGAGGGGGGAAGGTGGGCAAGCTTAAAAAAGTAAACATATGACTAAGTAAGAAACTAGACTTATTAGACTTGACAGGTCAGGCTTTGGCCCGATGCAGCCCAATCTATGAGTTCACAGGGTTCTCTTTCCACCCATATACCTGTGGTGTTTTCTAGGCTTTTTAGTAAGGGCTAATAATGACCTTCTAGCTACTAGAAGGTCACTGCAGAAGTTAGTAGATTATCATAAAATAGAATTAATATAATATGATATAATATAATGGAATTATATGGAATATATAATAGAATTATAGTTCATTAGTACTAATATAGAACTACATGAGTAGACTAAAGCTATCAAAGTGTCTTATATACTTCTACTCACATACATTAGAAAAATGGGTCTAGTCGGGTACTATGGTTTCACATAGGTCTATATTCTTAGTATATTTAATTCAGGTACTTTCTTACATGAATATATGACCATATAGCGCCTATTCAATGTCTTGACATTTTTGGTGACTCAGTGGTCTAGTGACCACCTGATTTTGTCAAAGAATCTATATTAGCCCATTATACTTACAACAACATTATATCCTATTATAGACCTAGTATGCAGACTATCTAGCCTATCCTGAAAATAATATTGTCCCTTAAGAACTAGATTATTCCTCTTTCCTCTAGAAGGTATAGACTCTGATTACTTTGGCTAGAGCTAGCCCGCGTATAAACTTCTAATCCAATCACTGGCGCTCTCTGCGGCTGCCCCGTTTGCAGCATGAGCATTACTGATAGTTTGTGGCGTACTATCTCCCCATGGCCCTCTTGCTAAATCCCCGATCAAGTTCATCTGCTGGCTATTCAACATGGCCACAACACCACACGCCGCGGTAAACAACTTGACCGCCGAGTCGCGCGCCGGCTCTGGCAAGACGCTGATGATTTGCTTTGCGGCCCTGTAGGCCTTATCAGATGCGTTGTTTGACTGATCTTTCATGCTGGTGGTGAATGTCATTAGTGCAGCATGGATTATATTTTGGTCTATTGTTTTGTCCACTGTGTTCGCCAGCTCAGTCAATCCATCAGAGAAAGCTGTTTCAACATCCTTGACCTGGCTTAGGCTGACTTGTTCAAGGGTCGCAAGGGGGTCATTGGCAGCAGCGGACTGCAGGGTGGCAAGATGGTCAATTGGATCTATAAGGTTATGGGCAAGAATCGCATCAAATAGACCAAAGTTCTCTGTGGTGATGCAGACTTTGGACAGTCTGGCTAGCCGATCCAGCCTAGATGTGAAACTAAGAGGGACAGGCATTGTAATTAGTAGTCATTAAGGATTAGAAAGATTCACTATATCCCTCTTATAAGGAAAGATGATATCATATGTACCTATACCTAATCATAATGACATAAGTACCAATCAATTGAATAAGGACTTTGACCCGGCCCAGTGCAATCAGGGCCTTTGAATCAGTAATTTAAGCCACTATGTTAATAGTGGTAAATTTAATAATAAGTAGGGATATAGAATTTAAATAAAACCTGAGGTAAATTCTATAAGACAAATCCTATACTTTAGGTACTTGCTGAACCTTTATGTTTTTTCTTTATCCTGCTCACCCTAAACCCTAAAGAATGGCGGAGTTGTGATAGAAACCTTAATTAGGTTAGCATAGAATCTTTATACTAACATGATCAAGGTTTCTATAACACCCTAAATCAGGGCTTAGGGTTTAGGGTTTAAGGTACATAAACCATAGTAAAGAGGATTTCTATAGGGCAAATCTTATATTTTAGATACATCCTAAACCTTCATACTTTTTCTTTATTTTGAAATATAATAATTCGTTTTTTAAGAGGATTTCAAAAATATAATCCTTTTTTTAATAGGCCTAATGGTGGTGAAGTTATAAGAGGTTAAAGATATTATAGAAACCTTAATCTAATTAGTATAAAACTCTTATACTAAACCTAATCAAGGTTTCTATAATATCCTTAATATCTTAATAATTAAAGGGGCTATAGACCTTAGCTAAGCTTCTAAAAAAAGCTTATTCTTTATATATGTAAGCAGTGACCTTGCACTACTTAGGAGTTAATAAGTGAGATATTAGTATAATTAGGTAATAGTAAGGTCTAAGGATATAAGAAGTTTATAGTAAGTCTAGTAAAAGAATAAAATAAAGTACTTAAGGTTCTATTATCTATCTAGAGAAATAATATATATCTTAACTTTAAGTAGAGTACTTAATAAGTGCCTAATTAATACTTAATATTAACTAGTAATTATAAGAGGTGCTTAATTAAGTAAATTATAAGATAATATTAATATTAGTCTTATAATTATTCCCCCCCTTTAAGAGGCTTAGCCCTAAGTTATTATAAAAATAAATAAAGAATAACTATTTTTACTAGTAGACTTTAATTAGATACTATATAAATATAGTATTAAATATAAGAGTTTATTAATAAAGAAATAAAAAGTATAAATAAAAGTTAAATATATTAAGAGAGAGTATTTTTAAGGGTTAAATAAATAAGATAAAGTCTATATTTATTAAGTATTAAAGTATAAATATTAGTATCTTATATAATTTAATTTTTATTTCTTAGCTTCTTAATAAGGTCTTTTAGTATATATAGCCTCTTTTTCTTAATAATAATAAGATATTAAGAGTTAATTAAATAAAATAGGTTTAATTCCTTTTTATCTATACTTTAATAAGTTATCTTAATAACTATTCCTTTATTTTACTAATCTTTTAATAATATATAATAATAATTTATAAAATAAGTACTTACTTTTTATTAACTTATTATTTTTTAATAGTTTTAGTATATAGTGGCTATTAATAATAAGAAAATAATATCTTATTTTACCTCTTATTTTATTTTCTTAATTTTAATATTATATTTATTTAGTAATAACTTAAAAAAAATAAATAATATCTCTTTAGCCTATTTAGCTTAAGAGGCTACTCTCTTTAATAATAAAATTCTTAAAGAGATGCCCTTTATTTATTATATTTAGCTTCTTAATAACTTATTTAAATTTATTTATAATAACTATTTTATCTCTAGCCTAAAGCTAGTTAAGTTTAAGATTATAAAGGCTACTTAAGATATAAATATATATATAGCTACTCTTATTTAAGGAGGTATATTTAATATTTCTAATTAACTTTAATATATATATTATATTAATACTATAGATATAAAGTACTTTATCTAGTATATCTATTTTATATTAATAAGCACCTAATATCTTTATTATACTATAAATAATATTATCTATATAATAGATTATACTTAAGGTAATATTTTTAATTAAAAAATATAATATTTTTTTAAAGTTTTTATTATACTTAATATCTTAGATATAGCTATAATAGTTATCTTTTAGTTAAATATTTATACTTAGAAGATTAATATAAATACTTATTAATATTAACTTTAATTAATAGTAATAATAAGTTAACCCCTTATTATTATTATAACTTTAATAGCTCTTATTTTAATAATATCTATATCTATATTTTAGCCACTTTTAGTTACTTTATAAGATATTATAGTAATAATTTAAGAGCTTATAGTAGCTATAAAGGAGATAAAGAATCTATTAAATAATAAATTATAAATAAGAGAGATATTAACTTAAAGTTTCTTTAATATAAATAATAATTACCCTTATAGTAGTAGTTTTTTTTAATTATAAATAATTTTATTAAGATATTACTAATAAATTTTTAAACTTATAGAAAAAAAGAGGAAGATTTATACTAATAAAAGAATAAGTTCTTATCTACTTAATATCTATAATATTTAAAGAAAACCTAATAGAAAAAAACTTTAGGTTTATTTAGGCTACTTTTATTAAAGTATAGACTTTAAAAAAGAGTTTTTTTTTAAAAAGTTTTTTAATATCTCTTAAATATTCTTTAGGTCCTCTTTAAACTATTAGAATATCTTATATAATAAGTATTCTTTTTATATAATTAAATATTATATCTCTTTATTCTTATTAATTTAATAATCTAAGATTTTATCTACTTCTTACTCTTTCTTATCTTCTACTTTAATTAGCTATAATAGAGGCTTATTATAATTATTATATTAATAATATAACTTTAGCTTAAATATATAGAAAGTAGAATAAATCCTTTTATAGGTCTTAAATAAGTATAAATAGTATACTTACTTATTTACTACCTTTATAATAAGAAAAGGTCCTAAATAATAATTATTAAGCTTCTTAAAGGATTATAGAGACTTAATATTAATACTAATAATAAAGATCTTTTAATTTACTATATAATATATAAGTGTAAGCAGTGACCTCACACTACTAGGGGTAGATAAGTAAGATGTTAGCATAACTAAATAATAATAAGATCTAAGGATATAAGGAGTTTATAGTAAGTTTAATAAGAGAATAAAATAAAATACTTAAGGTTTTATTTTATCTAGAGAAGATAATATATATCTTAACTTTAAATAAAATACTTAATAAGTGCCTAATTAATATCTAATATTAATTAATAGTTATATAATATACTTAGTTAAATAGCTTATAAAATGGTATTAGTATTAGCCTTATAATTATTCTCTCTTTTTAAGAGGCTTAGCCCTAAGCTATTATAAGAGTAAATAAAAAATAGCTATTTTTATAAGTAGACTCTAATTAAATATTATATAAATATAATATTAAATATAAGAGTTTATTAATAAAGAAATAAAGAGTATAAGTAAGAGTTAAATATATTAAGGGGAGAGTGTTTTTAAGGGTTAAATAAATAAGATAAGGTTTATATTTATTAAGTATTAAGATATAAATATTATTATTTTATATAATTTAATTCTTATTTCTTAGCTTTTTAATAAGGTCTTTTAATATATATAGTCTCTTTTTCTTAATAATAGTAAGATACTAGGAGCTAATTAAATAATATAAGTTTAATTCCTTCTTATCTATATTTTAATAAGTTATCTTAATAATTATTCCCTTATTTTATTAATCTCTTAATAATATATAATAATAACTTATAAAATAAATACTTACTTTTTATTAACTTATTATTTCTTAATAATTTTAGTATATAGTAGTTACTAATAATAAGAAGATAATATCTTATTTTACTTTTTATTTTATTTCTTTAACTCTAGTATTATATTTATTTAATAATAACTTAAAGAAGATAAATAATACCTCTTTAACTTATTTAATATAAAAGATTACTTTTTTTAATAATAAAACTCTTAAAAAGGTGTCCTCTACTTATTATACTTACCTTTTTAGTAACTTATTTAAGTTTATTTATAATAATTATTCTACCTTTAGTCTAAAGCTAGTTAAGTTTAAGATTATAAAGGCTACTTAAGATATAAATATATATATAGCTACCCTTATTTAAGGAGGTATATTTAATACTTTTAATTAGCTTTAATATATATATTATATTAATATTATAGATATAAAGTACTTTATTTAGTATATTTATTCTATATTAATAAGTATTTAATATCTTTATTATACTATAAGTAATATTATTTATATAATAAACTATACTTAAGGTGACATCTTTAATTAAGAAGTATAATATCTTTATAGAGTCTCTACTACTCTTAATATTTTAAATATAGCTATAGTAGTTACCTTTTAATTAGATATTTATACTTAAAAAACTAATATAGATACTTATTAGTATTAACTCTAGTTAGTGGTAATAATAAGTTAACCCTTTATTATTAATATAACTTTAGTAACTTCTATCTTAATAATATTAATATTTATATTTTAGCTATTTTTAATTATTTTATAAAATATTATAGTAGTGGTTTAAGAGCTTATAATAGCTATAGTAAAGATAAAGAATCTATTAAATAATAAATTATAGACTAGGGGGATATAAGCTTAATATTTCCTTAATATAAATAATAATTATACTTATAGTAATAGTTTTCTTTAATTATAGATAATTTTATTAAGATATTACTAATAAACCTTTAAACCTATAAGAAAAAAGAGGAAGGTTTATATTAATAAGTAAATAAGTTTTTATCTATTTAATATCTATAATATTTAAAGAAAACTTAATAAGAAAAAACTTTAGGTTTATTTAGGATATCTTTATTAAAGTATAGACTTTAAAGAAGAGTTTTTTTTTAGAAAGTTTTTTAATATCTCTTAAATATTCTTTAGGTTCTTTTTAGACTACTAGAATACCTTATATAATAAGTATTCTTTTTATATAACTAAGTATTATATCTCTTTATTTTTATTAATTTAATAATTTAAGATTTTATCTACTTCTTACT